GACGAGGCTGGTCTTGAACTCAGAGTTCAGCCTCCCTCTGCCTCACCAGTGCTGGGGTTAAAGGCATGCACACATCACTGACTGGCTTGTGATGTATTTTAAACACAGGGCTTCAAACATGCTCTACCACTGAGATGTTTTCTGTTGTGGGGCATTTACCAGAGAAGACTGATCAAACATGGGTTTAAACCAATAGGGAGTCTTTATTAGCCAGCTGGAAACTATAACCGGGCACTCAGGATCCCAGTGCAGCACTGAGCCCTTTTCAGGGTGAGCTTTTAAGCACAAAAACCATGTTCTGGGTTGACACACTGCAGTAAACAAGTTCGGTTAGCCAGGAGCAGAACTACAAAAGCTAAACAGCAATGTTAGTACATTTTGAGATATTCCCAGAACTATCTGGACTTGGGTGGGTTAGGCCTTTGTTTTCGATTTGGCAGGTGGTGCTGTTTATGTGCTGAATTTTATGTTACTTCCATCATGGAGTCGGCTGTGCTAAGGTCTCAGGGTGTACTAAGGTCTGGGGCCCTGTTACACTTTCCAGCCTCTATAAAAACTGATGAGATGTTTTCCTTTGTACTTTTCTTTTAAATAGACAATGTCTTGCTGTGTAGCTCAGGCTAGCTCCGGCTTCTCAATGGTGGACTTGCAGGGGTGTCTTCTTTTTGTCAAACTCTGGTCTTTGGCACTCAATATGCATTTCAGTTTACTGTGCTTCTCTCTGGGGACTAGCCATACTGAAGTGACTACATGGGGCCAGTGGCCACTACTGTGGAATAACAAAGCAGAATAATGATGTTGGCTAAGATTTACGCTTATTTTTTAAGATTTAATCTGTCTTGGTGACTCCCCTAATGGCCATCATAGAGCCTTCATCCAGTAACTGATGCAGAGAACCATAGCCGAGCACTGGGCTGAGCTACAGGAGTCCAGTTGAAGACAGGGAGGAGGGATTATATATAGGCAAGGGGCTTCAAGATCATGATGAGGAAACCCACAGACACAGCTGACCCTAGCTTGTGGGCGCTCACAGAGTCTGAACTAACAACCAGTGAGCCGGCATGGGACTGACCTAGGCTCTCTGCATTTGGGTGACAGTTGTGTAGCTTGGTCTTTTGTAGGGCCAGGGCAGTGGGACCAGGACCTGTCCCTGATGCATGAACTGGCTCTTTGGAACCTATTCCCTATGGTGGGATGTCTTGCCCAGCCTCGATTCCAGGGGGAGGAGCTTGGTCCTGCCTCAACTTGAGAGCTTGTTTGGAGGTTCTAACAGGGGAGCGCAGCTACTCGTATACCCTTGACTGAAGACCGTTCCTCCTCTATTCGGGGAAGGTCGTCCTCTTTGACCGAGCGCACAGCTTCGGGAGGGACACACATGGAGCGGTGAGGGAGGAAGTGGACACCCACCTAGCCAGCCAGATCAGCCGAATCAACCCTGGCGATCAATGGAGTGACAGATGTCGCAGCCAGATCGCCCTCACATCCCCTGCCTCAACTTGATATGTCACACTTTGTTGACTCCCATGGCAGGTCTTATTCCTTCTGGATGGAGACTGAGAAGTGGATGGGGGAGGGGGCAGAAAGGAGATGAGGGAGGGAACAGGTTGGTATGTTGAAAAAAAGATTTAATTTGTAATGTAAAACCTCTATCTCATTTCAGTGCCAATTAAAAAAAATTAGCTGCTATGAAAACAGGCTAAGATCATAAGAGAACAAAAGAAAAAAAGAAAAGCACTTCATTAAAAATATATCCAACTGCCGGGCAGTGGTGGCGCACACCTTTAATCCCAGCACTCGGGAAGCAGAGGCAGGTGGATCTCTGTGAGTTTGAGACAAGCCAGAGGCAGGTGAATCTCTGTGAGTTCGAGACAAGCCTGGTCTACAAGAGCTAGTTCCAGGACAGCCTCCAAAGCCAAAGAGAAACCCTGCCTCGAAAAACCGGAAAAAAGGGGGAGGGGTGAGGGAGGGCTGAAAGGGGGCGGGAGAGGAGGAGAGGGAAATAGAGCTAGGATTGATATGTGAAGCAACTTTTTTCTAATTTACATTAAATTAAAAATAAATTAAAAATATATTCAACTTTGAAGAGAGCTGCTTTCCTGGTGTCTTCACAGCCTTCTCTACTGTACATTGCTTGTCTGGTGAGAGCTTCCCTAGCAAATGGAAAGTATCAGCTGTCTGTGTATTCTAGTGCTATGTAGCCATCCAGGCAGGCCACGGCCCCTCAATAATCCATGCCAGAATTTAATTTCACAACTGCTCATCTGATGAGTTGCTCTAAGGAGTCACTGGGGGGTTGTTTCCACACTCATTTTTTTTTCAAGACAGGGTTTCTCTGTATTGTTTTGGAGGCTGTCCTAGAACTCTCTCTGTAGACCAGGCTGGCCTCGAACTCACAGAGATCTGCCTGCTTCTGCCTCCCGAGTGCTGGGATTAAAGGTGTGCGCCACCAGCGCCTGACTTCTATACTCATTTTTAACACTCTTGGGAGGCAGGAAACCTGGGTTCTAATTGCACATGCCAAGGTTTATTTATTTTGCTTTATGCATATGTGTGTGCCTGTGTGTATGTGTGTGCACCATGTGCATGCAGTGCCCACAGAGGCCAGAGAGGGCATCAGATCATCTGGGACTGGAGTTACAGTTGTGAGCTGCCGTATGAGTGCTGGAAATTGAACCTAGTCATCTAGAAGAATAACCAGTGCTCTTAGCCCTGAGCCATCTCTCCAGCCCCTAACATGGCTTTCTTTTGACAAATGAACAGTTTAAGATGACAGCTCCTAGATTCTTGTTCTCTCTCTCTCCTCTCTATGTCTCTGTCTCTGTCTCTCTGTGTCTAGACTAGAGGTAGAAAGGTGTCTTTCTCTTTATATCTTCACTTAAATTTTTTTTTGTTTTTTTCGAGACAGGGTTTCTCTGTGACTTTGGAGGCTGTCCTGGAACTAGCTCTTGTAGACCAGCCCGGCCTCGAACTCACAAAGATCTGCCTGTCTCTGCCTCCCGAGTGCTGGGATTAAAGGCGTGCGCCACCAACGCCCGGCTCTTCACTTAATTTTTGAGACAGTGTCTCACCGAACCTGGCCCGTGTCATCTCAGCTTGACTGGCTGGCCAGCAAGCTCCCAGGATCTCCACAATTGCTTCCCAGACGCCCAGCTTTTACATGGATGATGGTGGTCAGACCTCAAGTCCTCATGCTTGTGATTCAAGTACCGTCTCCCATCGGGCTGTCTCCCCAGCCCTCCTGGAGGTGAGGAAGCTTTATGGGACCTGGTAAAAAATTGTGCCTAGCAAAAAAATAGGTGATTGAAAAAGGGCAGACGAATGTCTCATGGGCGACATTGAATGTACATATAACTTGTCTGCTCCTATACATTTTTTTTTTCGAGGCAGGGTTTCTCTGTGTAGCTTTGGAGTCTATCTTGGCACTCGCTTTTGTAGACCAGGCTGGCCTCGAACTCACAGAGATCCGCCTGCCCCTGCCTCTCGAGTGCTGTGATTAAAGGTGTGCGCCACCAACGCCGGGCTCCCTATATGATCTTTACAAAACCTTTTCTCTCTTGAGCCTCGGTTTCCCCATTTTAGAGAAGTAGGGACCGGGGACTGACTTGCAGTCTCCAAACACCTGGGTTTCCAGGAAGGAGAGTGGATCAAGAGTGGTTAGGGACAGATCCTGAAGGCGCTCACCTGTCAGGATTGGAATCTTATTCTGGGGAGGCACCTACCAGCCTGTGGTGTAGACCTTTGAGGTGGGGATGGACCAGGGAGTCTGACTCGGGCCGCCGCTCACCTTTCCTATGTTTCCGCTGCTGTAGGTGTCCAGATGGTTTATGAACACTCTCTGTATCTTCAGAACTCGCTCAGACGCCGCAGGAACTTCCTCTTCAGCCATGGTGGCCACTGTAGCAGTTGCTAAGGTGAAAGAGTCCTGTCGGTTGCTAAGGTGGAGAGGCGGGCACTCGGAAGACTAGGCGGTCCGGCTCCCTGGGGCGTGGTTCGCTTTTGGGCGGGGCGTGTCCGGTGGGGAGTGCTCTAAATAGGGCCAGTCTTAGGGGGCGTGGCTATGGGCGTGGCCGTTGGGGACGTGTGTAAGGGAGAATGCTTTCCCCAGATTCAGGCACTCTACTCTGCTGTGCTTGTGCCGTTTCCTGTAAGACGACTTCTCTATTGTAAAGAAAAGCTGTTGTAACGAGTTTCGGCGTCTAGGACACGAGGAACCACAGAGTGAAGGCCCACCACCACACCCAGGGCAGCCAGTTGCTGTTTGGTGCAGAGTTCAACAGGCTTAGGATTTTGTCTTAGTTTGCTTATTAAAGTGATAACACCAGATCAAAAGCAACTTGGTGAAGAAAGGGCTTATAGCCTGCCGACCGTCATCCAGGGAACTCAGGGCAGAAGGCAGGAACTGAAGCAAAATGCACGTGGGAACGCTGCTTACCGACTTCCTCAGCCTTTCTACAACTCCGGGTCTGGGACCTAGGGGTGGCCCTGCCCACAGGGATCTGGGCCCACCCCCCCATCAATGAAGAAACGCCCCCACAGAGGTGCCTGTAGGCCATTCTTACGGAGAAATCTTCTCAACCGAGATTCCTCTTGTTTCCTTGGACTCTAGGCCTTCCTGACTTTCAACTGCCAAGTGCTTAGATGTATGCCATCATGCCCAGACCAGGCTGGCCTTGAACTCACAGAGATCCACCTGCCTCTCCCTCGCTGCTGGGACTGAATAAAGGTATGCCACCACTGACTAATTGGATTTTTTTCCTTTAGAAGTAAAATCAAGGCTTAATTCTAAAACTGGCTTAGTTTAGGATGGAGGTCTTCAAGTGCTTGCATTAGTGTGTATTTTTACTGACTTCCTTTATTCTGAATAAAGAGTGAAACCCTTCAGTCATTTCAACTCAAAGTATAACATGGATGAACTAAAAGTGTGGGCACAGGTCTTGGAATCAGTCATTTATCACAAAATGAACAATTTCATTTTTAAACACAATCACTTTACATTCAACTCAAAAGCAGGTAAACAATTTTATTCAAACTCTACAAACATTATTTTCTTACATTAGCCTGAGATTAAGCATGAAAAAATCCAGCTTGAAGTTGGGCTCGGTTCCCGAACATCACGCTAGCATGAGCGCCTCGTAAAGCCAGGTTCAAGCGCCCGGTGATCTCTGCTGGTGTCAGTGACGCAGAGGGAGCCTAATTGTCCTGGGCCACGCGGTCATTCTGAGTTTTCAAAACTGTTTTACTCCTCAGGATGGAGCCCAGTGCTTACCTTTGATAGCCAAGCGCTCTGCCCATCACCTTCCCTCACATGATCTTCAGAAGCTGAAAATGCCCAGTTGAAAACCAATGACAAATCATCTGCCATGACAAATGTATGAAAGGTGCACCCAGATGCAGATGGCTGCTACTCATTTCTGAAGCAGCTGCTTTGGGTGACAATTACAAACAACACCCAGGGTCTTTCTGCTCATCACGTACTGGAAAACATGCAGCAGCATAGAGTGTTTTATTAGGTTTATAAACACCAGGGACTGTAATAAAATATAAAATGCAGAGCATCTCTTTTTCAATATCAAGTTTCTGAATGCTTCATTTGTCCTTTGGTTTGAAACCATACAATGCACTCATATGACACTGTACATGTGGCAATGAGACAGAGCACTGTCCGACTGCAGGGGGAGAAGGGTGCTGCGGGAATACCAAAAGCAAAAATACTTTCTGAATATATATATGGAGATATATACTGTACATTGTAAACAAACTTTCAGAATAAGAATCAACACAGGCCAAAATATCGTTTCCTAGGAAACCAGGATCTTCTTCCTTTGAAATGATACACACTGAGGACGCAGTGGGGCCCATTCCTCTATTTGCGCATGTGCTTTGATATCTTGGAAATGAGTCATTGTTACATTCATTTGCTAACGGTCTGTCCTCTCTAGGTTGGCTGGCTGTTGCAAACGAGGAATAGGAATAGAGAACTATTTCTGTCCCTGCCTTTCATTTCATCCTAGTTAAGTAACATAGAAGCAATTCCTTTTCATCAGTCCATTTGGTAATGTAAGTAGATTAAGTAGAACAGGAAATTACAAATTTGTGCAGGGGAAACTAGTTGTCAGTTTGTTTCCAATAAGGCCAGTAACAAAATAACCACTACTAAGCCAGTCCAAGCTAGTAGTAAACCCCTGATTTAGCAGGCTGAATCCAGGTCTGAAGTTAGGTGATTCTAATTTCTATATCACTGTGCAAATCTAGGATTTTCTATGAAAAAGAGAGTGCTGGCAGCATTGAAGCCCTGTAATAAGAGAATGAAATGCTGATTAGGTATTGAAATGTAGAGAGGCTGTGTGAGGAAATCAGAATGTAATGATAGTGTTAGAGTGATGGCCTTGAAATTCCCTTAAATGAATCTGGAACTGAGACAATTTGTGAGTCAATTATGTTGTGAGTCAAAAGCCTACAAGTGAAGGAATGATAGACACATAAAGCTGACGATGCACTTTCTACGATGACTATATGCAGGGATGTCAAGTCTTATGTTACCATTCTATACCAGCAGTAGCCCCACTATAAGGAGAATGAGTCATGACTGCCCATCTCTTTTCAAAGCTTCCAGTCTCTGAAGCAGTGCATTTCCAAATGCTTCCCGGTAGGCGGGGCTGAGTGTATCCAACAAGGAGTAGACTGTCTCGTGGTAAGGGGTCTGTAAATGATCCTCCACCTGGTCAAAAGCATAGCCCACCACCTACGAGAGAAGGCAGCAGTGAGCACTCATCGGCCTCCATCCTGGCACAGAACGAAAGAGCCAGGTGTCAGAATGGCTCATTCTGTAGTGACACTATTTCTCAGCAGAAGACATGCATCTCAAAACAGCTGTTAACAAGCTATATGGGTAGTGTGTAACAGACGGGCCCACTGCCCGGAACGTGCTTCCTCCATGACTCTTCATGCTTTGCTCACCTTTGACCCCTTTTCAAGTGATAAAAATCTTGAAAGTAATACAAAAGTAGCACTTCATTTTTCATATCTCAAAATAATCTTATTCTTTATTTTTAAGTTATGTATACGTGTGCCTGTGTTTACCCAAGTGCAGGTGTCCATGGAGGCCAGAAGAGGCTCTGGGCCTCCTCCTGGAGCTGCAGTCACAGGTGGCTGTGAACTGTCTTACGTGTGGGTGCTGGGTATCAACCTGGTGCCAAGAGAAGAATGCTTTCCTAACCACAGAGCTCTCTCCAGCACACACCCTGATTGAATTCCACACCTAGTGGAGATCTACCACACTGAGATGCCTGCTTGCAATAAAGATACTAGTGGTAAAGCCTCCCCACTCCAGCCTGCTGCTGAGAATTGAACCCAGGGTCACATATGCAAGGGCCCTTCCTTCCTTCCTTCCTTCTTTCCTCCCTCCCTCCCACCCTCCTTCTCTCTTGTCTTCTTTCTTTCCTTAAGAGAGGATCTTACAATATAGTCCTGGCTGGCATTGAACTCAGAGATCCAGCTGCCTCTGCTTCCTGAGTGCTGGGATTAAAGGCGTGTGCCACCATGCCCAGCTTCTGAGTATCTTCAAAATTTCGCCTGGCTGCTTTTTCTTTTCCTTAATTTTTTGAAGACACTCAGAGGCTGGGCATGATGGTGCATGCCTTTAATCCCAGCACTCGGGAGGTAGAGGCAGGTGGATCTCTGGGTTCAAGGACAGCCTGGTCTACAGAGTGATCCAGGACAGCCAGGGTTACACAGAGAAACCCTGTATTGAAAACAACAACAACAACAACAAAATTGTGTACACACACACACACACACACACCCCATGGCATATCTACGGAAGTCAGATGACAGCACTGTGAAGTCCCACAGTGGGTTTTATGTGGGTTCCGGCTTGTATAATATGTATCTAGTTGCCAGCCTTGCTCAGATATCTCATTTGGACGGGAGATACACTTGTGAAAGGCAAGCTAAGGTCTTTCAGCACAGTAACTACAAACGCACCCACTGCACAGAGCCCACTCTGGGAGCTGCAGCTGCTAGCCATAGGAAGGAAAGATATTTGTTTGGGTGCGGTGATTCAAGCACTGAATTAATACTTTGGAAATGTATTCATCCTTCAAGTTCAACTGTTCTATGTTGCTCAAAATTTTGACCAACAAAATTTGGCCAAATTAACCAAATTTTAACCAAATTAAATTTACCCAAATTTTTGGGGAAACCATTTAAGTGTTTTTGAAGATACCCATGACTAGTTTTTATATAACGTCTTTCTCTATCCTTTCTGATAAAGTCGTAAAGATAGGCTTTTCTCTTCTAAAGATAAAAGTGAGTTACCCTGAGCCCTGCTTCTGTGAGCTCCAGGCAGTATCTGTTCCTCTCCTTTGTCTCCACGTTGATGTAAGCCACATCATCTGCACAGCGCAGGCTTTTGGAGACAAACATGCTGTTGACAGCGAAGAGAACATCGTTTACAACTGCTTCAGCCTCTAGCCGCATGTCCTTCATATCCGTTCCTTCAAATCCATTGAGCTCAGAGCCTTCTTCAAACCCAGACATACTGCTCAGCTCCACGGGGTTATAGTCTGTCTCCATTCTGCAAAAAAGTAGTAACATGTTTTACAATGGAAAAACACTCAAATTATATTTGATTAAAATAACTAAGCCTTACAATCGATACTCAGTACAAAACACAGGCTGGGAGATGGGTCAGTGGGTTAGTCACTTGTTATACAAGCATGAGGACCCAAGTTCAATGCTACCAACTCATATAACCATCCCGGCATGGTGGCAAGTGCACCTGTGACCCCAATGCTGAGAGTGGAGAGAGGACGAAAGTCAGGGTTTGCTGGTGGCCAACCACCACCTGATGTCCTCTGATTCCCTGACCCATGGGAGCATCGCACACACAAACGAATGCAGTTATACGAACACGCAAACAACTAATATTTTTTTTTAAGGGAAAATACTGTCTAAAACCATTTCCAGTTCTTTTTTTTTTTTTTTTTGAGACAGGGTTTCTCTGTGACTTTGGAGGCTGTCCTGGAAGTAGCTCTTTTAGACCAGGCTGTGCTCAAACTCACAGAGATCTGCCTGACTCTGCCTCCCGAGTTCCAGTATTTTTTTTTCCACAGTAAAATTATGGATACCTATGAAGTTTTAGGAAAAAAATTCCCTTTCTTCATTTTTTCCCTAAAACTTAAAGACACACATGCTTGCCATGCATGGCCTGATGTGGCTGGCCGTTCCTTCCAGCCTGTGGGTCCTGGGGACTGGACTCAGGGCACTGGGCTTGGCAGAAAGCACCTTTATCCACTGAGCTATGCTGCCAGCCTTAAAATGTCAACTCTCTTTGGATCAACAGTTGTCTTACACAATTTTAGCTATCTCACACAGTGCCTGAGCCAATGAGTACATAGTTCTATTTATTTATTTGAGACAGGGACATGGCATTGGCTCTTCCTGGAGCTCACTGTGTAGACCAGGCTGGTCTCTGCTCCCAAGTGCTAGGATTAAGGGTATACACCACCAGGCCCAGTGAGTGCATAGTTTTAAATGTGTGATTGTTTCTCTAACTAGATGTTCAGGACAGACACTGCAAAGTCAGAAGACACACCCATGCTAACTTTCAACAGGTGGACTAAAGGGCCAGAGCCTTGCTGACTGACTCACTCTATAGGCGGAAGGCTAAGGAGGGGCACTTAGAACCCCAGCTTTCCTATCCCTTTGTAATTTTGTCAGTCTGAGAGGCAAAGAACAAGAGCTCATTGTTCTCACATGCACAGGGCTGTGTGTCTGTATGTGTGTCTGTGCAGTGTTCAGGTGCCCATGGAGGTCAGAAGAAGGTGCTGGATGCCCTGGGGCTGGAGTCATTGTCTAGGTGTAGGCAGCCGAACCTGGCTTCCCTGCATGAGTAGGGAAGTACTCTTAATCACTGCTATCTCTTCATCTCTGGCGGTAACTTACTGTTTTGTTGGCTGTAAAGCCTCTACTATTCATATTCATGGACTGCCTTTCCCCTCCCTAGGGAAAGCTTTTCTTTTCTTCTTTCTTTCTTTCTTTCTTTCTTTCTTTCTTTCTTTCTTTCTTTCTTTCTTTCTTTCTTTCTTTTTTTGGTTTTTCCAGGTAGGATTTCTCTGTACTGTTTTGGAGGCTGTCCTGGAACTCGCTCTGTAGACCAGGCTGGCCTCGAACTCAGAGAGATCTGCCTGCCTCTGCCTCCCGAATGCTGGGATTAAAGGCAAGCGCCACCAACGCCCAGTGGGAAAGCTTTTCTGAGGGGAATAATGCCTCTTCCCTACTGAGGACAGCAGGTGGGTGTGGCTCAGTTGACTCCATATCTCAGTTGTATTGTAGTGCATTCATTTCCTTGTGGTCTTTTTAGTCCAGTCATGGCACACTCTTGGCAGCCATCTTGAGATGAGGACAGGAGTCCAAGGACAATTCTGACAAGGGAAGAGAACAGCAAGAAACAGAAGAGCAGAACCCAGCCAGTTTCCTGACCTCTGCATTTTTCAGTTGCTGGAGCCAGTACAGTCCCCAGACGTGGCTGGCAATGGAAGCATTCTCACTGCTTAGTCCATCCAAATCAAAGGCAGTGGCTGGTCTGGCTCCCCAGCAGTTGTAGGGAAGTAAAGAGATCTTAAAGACGGAAACCTGATGACGACGACGACGAAGAATGTTTCTGTAGAATTGAGAATCAATATGTGTATGTGTTTGTTATTAGCCTCCTATTGCTGCTGCACCAAATGGCCACAAACACGGTGGCTTGGAGCAGATGACCATCAACATAGCAACTGAAAGAGCACCTTTACTTTCTGGAAGCTCTGGAGTATGAAGCATAAAATCAAGATACCCATGGCTTGTTCCTTTCTGAAGGGTTCAGAGAACTGAGTACTTTCCTGTAGTTTCCAACTGCCAAGGCCACCTGACTTCCTTTGATTGTAGTCCCTTCCTGTGTCCTCCAAGGCTGCGCTAGCCATGGCTACTGCAGAGTGCCAAATCTCTTGGTAGCAGAGCAGCCAGTGGCCTGGTGGCAGGATGACTAAGCTGGGCTAATTTCCCTGTGGGAAGGTCAGCACTCTGTCTGTGTATGGATTTGCATTTCCTGCATGTAGTACTTCTCCCGAAATGACCACTTAGAGAATCCATTATCCACTGTCGTGAGCTGTATGTGGCTGTGGGGAACTGAACCCAGGTCCTCTGCAAGAGCAACAAGTGTTTGTAACTGCTAAGCCACCTCTCCAGCCCTGATACTGTTTCTTAATTAAGGGTCTTAACTCCATTTACCCACGTATCTATTATGTTTTCTCTGATTTCTCAGTATTAGACAGGGTTTCATGTTACCTAGACTGGCCCTGACCTGCTTCATCTCCTTTCAGGGCTGGGATCCAGGCATGTACCACCACTAGGTCTGCTTTTAACCACGATGTCCTTTACGACTCTGACTAGCAATCAAAAATATTTACTACTTTAAAGTCTAATTTGGGGAACGAGACAGTGGTGAAATATTTATACAAATATTAAAGCCACAGATACAATCGTAATCATAACCAAAGAAATATGCTCAAGTGTGAATAGCTGATCTAGCAAACAATTCTATGCGTGGTTCAACTACAGGCTCTACCCAAGTGTCTCTGTACTTGGGTGGCCATAAAACCTTTCTGGGCTCCTGGTGCTCTTACCTATAGAACAAGGACACTGGACAGTAGTCTCCACCATCTACGCTGGGGCCTGACTCGTAGAACAGGTCAGTCCAATGGCAGAAGTGGTTCTTAAGGGGAGAAAAGTGTTAGGAGGGTCTGCATGGGGTGAAAACAACAGTCTAGCTGAAACACAAGCACACTGTTTAGGGGGCACAGGAGCGGTCCAGTTTGTGCTGATTTTGACTAACAGGCTGTCTTAAAGTCTTGAGAATGGAAACAACGGTCACTAGAATCATGGACATAGCTGAGTGTAAATTTACTATTTTTTTTAAAGATGTATTTATTATGAATACAACATCCTGCCTCCATGTATGCCTACACATCAGGAGAGGGCACCAGAACTTATTATGGATGGTTGTGAGCCACCATGTGGTTGCTGGGAATTGAACTCAGGACCTCTGGAAGAGCAGTCAGTGCTCTTAACCTCTGAGCCATCTCTCCAGCCCGTAAATTTACTATTTTGTTTTTTTCACATTCTCTTTCCTCACCCATGCTTTATTTCCATTGATTTGTCGTTCTGTCTGTTTGCGCTGGCTAATTCTCAAATTTCGATCTGGTGCCCCAAGTGTCCTTTGTCAGCTGTCACAAGGTGAGCAGCCCTCCTCTGAATGACATTCTGCCTCATGTCAGGGGAAGCAATTCAGTCAGTCCACAGCTCCTCCGCTAGAACCTCTGGGGTGGGACAAATGCAGCTACTGCTACTTTAGGCAGTTTATGTTGGATTCTTGGTCTCAGCAGTGAAAACTATTGGATATTCTACTTTCTCTACGGTACAAAATGGGAAGAATGCACAGACGTGTGACACTGGGAAGAGAATGCACAGACGCATGTCACACTGGGAAACACCGGGTGGAGGAAGCGGAAGGATTTGCCTCAGAAGCCAGGCTATTGCTTTGACAGCTGAAGTAACCAGTAGCATCTGTTCCACAGAAAATGAAAAGTTCACGCTGACTTCATTTTAAACAGCTATTTAAAAAACAAAGGGAACAAAAACAACCTATTCTAATTGTTTAGAATTTGGGTAAAGCTCAAATCTTAAAAAAAGCTTTATATCCTATAACATCATTTACATTTGTTTTCTTTGGTTTTTCGAGACAGGGTTTCTCTGTATTGTTTTGGAGGCTATCTTTTTTTTTTGAGACAGGGTTTGTAGCTTTGGAGTCTGCTCTGGAACTTGCTCTGTAGACAAGGCTGGCCTTGAACTCAGAGATCCGCCTGTCTCTGCTTCCCAAGTGCTGGGATTAAAGGCGTGTGCGACCACCACCCAGCTCTTATGTTTTCCATGGCTCTGTCATACATATACTTATGCGTTTATAAACTATTATTTTATACGTACGGGTGTTTTGCCTGCATTTTTCTGTGTACCAATTACATGCAGTGCCCAAATAGGCCAGAAGAGGATGTCGGAGCCCGGGAAATTGAGAAGGTGAGAACTGCCAAGTAGGTGCTGGGAGCTGAAGGCAGGCCTTCTGCAAGTGCTTCAGGGCTGAGTCAGTGCTGCAGCCTCACACATAAACTTTTGAAAATGACGATTTTAAGTCAGAGTCACTGTGAGATGTATTTATAGCGATTTACAGTTTCTCTGCACTCCAACTTCAGCAGCAACTGAGACACACATGTCACAGTGCTGCAGAACAAGTCAACAGGACTGCGACCCATTCCACTAAGGACAACTTTGGAGTGACGGTATGCAGGGTGCTAACCTGAGTTTTCAAAAGGAAACATAAGCAGTAACCCTGGAACCCTCAAACCAGAGACTGAGGTTCCAAGAAAATATTCTTAAGCACTGAATGCAAAAAAAAAAAAAAAAAAAAAAAAAAAAAGTTCCACCTCCCCCAAGCCAGGTAGTACTGAAGTACTGATTCTTACTATATATCTCCCCCAAGGAAACTCGATTCTTAGAACTTTAAGTAGGGGAATATTCTAACCTACATAAGACAAATCATTAGATACAGATAATATTGGTGGCATACATCTTTAGTCCCAGCATTTTGAAGGCAGAGGCAGGTGGATCTCTGTGAGTTTGAGGCCAGCCGGGTCTACAGCCTCCAAAACAATACAGAGAAACCCTGTCTAGAAAAAAAACCAAAGAAACAAACAAAACCAACCAACCAACCAGCACCTATAGTTCCAGTCCTAGGGGACCCAACATTCTCTCTGGCCTGCTCAGACATCAGGCTCACATAGCACACATTCATACATGCAGGCCAAACACCCAATGCACATAAAATAATTCAGAAAGTATCACCGCTTCCCTTTAAATACAAGGCTGCTCTACCACACTGAGCAGCCTTCTGTGGTCAGATCTTCAAAGACCAGAGCTCCACAAGTGCCGTGTGTTCTTCTCCGGCGCCCCGTTGTTTGTAGGATGAGTCAGAAAAGATCCTTTAAAACACCCACGTAAGTGACTAGGGGCTCTGCTTTCTCCCATCTGTTGGTGACTTTTGGGCTGTGCTTACCATTTCTGTTTTTGAAGATTCATGAAACTATCAAGATACTGATTGCTGGATCTTTTATTCCCCTCTTTTATTTCACTAGACTTTATTGCATTGCACCTTCAGAGCAGGGAAGATTGGGAGATTCATCTTGTGATGTCACAAGAGATGAAGTGACAGACATCAAAGTGTCTGACAGGGCAGAGATCACCAATACTCACTTTAAAGCAAGTGTGGTTTCCAGTTGACAAGTGGCAGCAGGAACGACACGCTACGTTATGCCTTTTATTTTCGTCTTACATTTCACTCTGAAAAAATTCTCCCAGCATGACCAGCGGCAGTGTGGTGCTGTGCTCAGTGGGCCCCCAAGCAGACTGGTCAGGGCAGGAACCCCTGCTACATGCTCTGGGACTCAGGAAGAGCTTCCGTTCCACATTCCTTCTCTCTGAAGTGAAGCTGACACTAAAACCTACCTTTAAATGGCGCCGACAGGCCTCTGTAGGGGAATATCACAACATGCTCAGAGTGGTGCTGGGTACACACCAAGTTCAAGAACGATGCTGGGGCCAGGTGTGGCAGCACATCTGCAAACCCAGCATTCATGGGCACCCGGCAGAAAGATGGTGAATTAAGAATGTCATCTGCAAATATTAGGTCAACCTTGGTGACAATGAGATGTTTGTCGTCTCCAAAGAGGGGGGGAAAGTCTCTTGGGGCTGGCTATACAGCTCAACAGTAGAGTGTTTGCTGAGTATGTGTAAGGCCCAGGTTTGACGCCTAGCTCCCCACACCTGCTTATTATTACACATTACAAATGTTTCTTAAAAATGATTTGTATTTAATACCCATTGGTGTTTTGTCAGCATGTATGTCGGTGAGATGCTGCCAGAGCCTAGGAACTGGAGATACAGACAGCTGCTATGTGGTTGAGGGAATTGAACCCGGATCACTGAGCCATCTCTCCAGCCCTAAACATTCATTTATTTATTACCCATACAGTATCCTGTTGGCATGTGTGCCTGCAGGCCAGAAGAGGGCACCAGATCTCATTACAGATGGTTGTGAGCCACCACGTGGGTGCTGGGAATTGAACTCAGGACCACTGGAAGAGTAGCCAGCGCTCTTAACCTCCACCTCTCCAGCTCCCCCCAAAAGTTTATTTTATGTATATGAGAGTATTACCTGCATGTATGCCTGTGTGTCAAGTAAGTGCCCGATGCTGAGGAGACCACAAGAGGCTGTCAGATTCCCTGGGACTGGAGGTAGACTGGTGAGCTACCAGATGGGTGCCGAGTATGGGACTTGGGTCTCTGGAAGAGCAGCCAGTGGTTCTTAGCTACTGAGCCATCTTTCCATCCCCATATGCAGTATTTTTGTTTGTTTGTTTGTTTGTAAACAGAGTCTCATTATGTATCTCTGACAGGTGTGGCACTCACTACTTAGAACAGGCTAGCCTCTGCCTCTGGAGTGTTAGGAAGAAAGGTGTAGACCACCATGCCTGTTTGTTTTCTTTTTCTTTCTTTCTTTCTTTCTTTTTTTGTTTTTGTTTTTGTTTTTGTTTTTTGAGACAGGGTTTCTCTGTGGCTTTGGAGGCTGTCCTGGAACTCGATCTTGTAGACCAGGCTGGCCTTGAACTCACAGAGATCCACCTGCCTCTGCCTCCCAAGTGCTGGGATTACAGGCGTGCGCCACCACCCTCGGCACCTGTTTGTTTTCAAAGTTTATTATTTTTAATTATTTGTAGGTGTGTGTCTTATGAGCCACCTGACATGGGTGCTGGGACAAATCTGGGTCCTTTGGAGATCATCAAGTGCTCTTAGCCACTGAGCCATCTCTTTGGTGCTCCCGATCTTCTTCATTAAGAGAAAGTCTTGTTGTGTAGCCAATGGTAGCCTTCCTTGAATGAGTCATCCTCCTGCTTCTCAAAAGCTGTGATTACAGGCATGTGCCACCTTGTTCAAAATTACTTTAAAAGGAGAAAGGCAGCTCCAGATCTTACAACTCCAGGTTCGGTGCTCTCTACACATGCAGTGACGGCTGCTGCTGGGGCTCGGCAGCCTTGACATTTTAGTCCTGTTCTGTACAAGTCTTTTTTTTTTTTATAACATTTATATATTTATTCCTGCGTGCGTGCATGTGTGTGTGTGTGTGTGGGGCTGTGCACATGCCATGGTGTTCCTGTGCAGGTTAGAGGACAGCTGGGGGAACCTGGCTCTCTCCCTCTACCATGTGGGGCCTCGGGGACTGAACTCAGGTTATCAGGTATGGCAGCAAGTGACTGCCTGCTGAACCATGCCACTGGCCTGTGATCTTTCACTGATGTTTCAGTCAGGGTCACATCAACCCAGGCAGGCTTCAAACCTGGTATGTATCCAAGGGTAACACTGAGCCCCTGGTCCTTGAGCCTTCACTTCCCAGGTGCTGGGATCACAGGTATGCTCCACTGGGCTCTTCCAGGCAATTCTTCAATATAACCAACACCATTCCATTAGACTATTATTTTTATTTTGACTTGATGCACCTTCTAACCTGCCACTGAGAATTCTTTTGTAATTTTTACGAAGTTGACAGTATTTGGTTGAGTGATTATCTTCATCTTCTTCAGTGAATGCTAGGGTGCCAACATTCTCCACTAGAAGTTTTGTAGAGAGCTGCGAAGTGCCGCACTCTTAAGATGGTGCTGCCTTCCGCCTTCTGCTAGCCCAACAGCAGGTGCTCTCTATGATAAACAACACCTGTATTTGGTTAAGGCTGGATATCAGGCTTGCTTCTGCGGTACGTGGACCTATCCGCATGTTCCACGTGGCATACTGGGGTTGGCCGCCCAAGGGCTTTTAAGCTGTAGGTTGGGGCTCCCTGGCGCTCCCTGGGAGAAGATAGTTCAAGGTTCCTGAATAAACTGCTTAAAGAAGAGTCTGGGCATTGCGTCTTCCTTGCTGGTTGAGGTGGGCACGACAGAGGTTGCCTAAGCTAAACTTAAAAACAGTCTTGTGACTTGGGATGAGTTTGAATCACATTTGAGCTAAAAGCCTGATGACATTTCTTAAATCCTAATTATATTGAATCTCGCCTAGCAAAGATAAAATGTTCAAGGCAGCACACTTAACACTTTAGGAGTAGAATGCTTGTTCTTGTGGATCTTTTTTGTTTGTTTGTTTTTTGAGATAGGGTTTCAGGGTTTCTCTGTAACTTTAGAGCCTGTCCTGAACTTGCTCTGTAGACCAGGTTGACCTGAAACTCACAGAGATCCACTTGTCTCTGCCTCCCCAGTGCTGGGACTAAAGATCTTTCATTTTCACTTTTTTTTTGGCGGGGGATCTGTAAGTGCAGGCATCTACGGACAGCAGCCTGAACGTAATTTTATATTTCGTTCAGGAAACCATGTTAACAACAGTCGTAGAACTAAGCCCAAAGTCCAGTTCAAAACGCCGAAGGCCTGAATAAGGCAAGGTCCCACCCCAGACTTTACCCTTTGCTTTGTTTATACTACAAAGAGCATTGTCATTACTTGTAAGGCCCGGTCTCTCTTTGAAACAGTGTCTTCCCATGTAGACCAGGCTGGCCTTGAATCTAAGAGCCACCTGCATCTGCCTCTCTAGTGCTGGGATTAAAAGTGCCTTACTAGTGTCAAAATATAACTAGAACCCAACTGGTTCTAATTTTCAGTGCTATATTCTGTTTGGAATGATGGAATGTGGATCCCTTGCACTGTCCTTCCGGTGAGGGTCTGCCTGTTTACACTTAAGCCCCACGCCTGGCTATTTTCAACACTGTGGTCAGCAAACTTAGGCCAGATTATCTTACCAGGAGCACAAATCGAGTCCTTGCAATGGTTTACACTCCTTACATCTATCATCAGCCCATATTCCTTCCTCTCCTCTCTCAAGTTCCTGGAATTTACCAAGCACGACTCCTGCGATGAGCCTTGCAGGTGGTGATCTTGTCTGGAAAAGAACTCCTCGGTTTCTCTAAGTCTTTAACTAAAATACCACCTTTTAAACATGAGAGGCCTTTTCTTACAACCGATGTAAAGAGAGTCTGAGTAGAGTGTGGGTATGCAAATCCAAAATTTCAGCATCTCAAAAAAACAAAACAAAACAAAAAAACTACCAAACCAAAAGAACCAATTCTGAGGATACAGCATTCATGAACCAGAATTCCTTAATTCAATCTCCTCCGTCCAGGACTCCGCTTAGGTTCCTTCCCAGCTCGCATCGTTTCATTTTCCTCAATTCTCGAGTTTATGGCATTAATCTGTTCACACCTGACTGAGGCGGCAACCAAGGCTCAGGGCGGGCAGCGCACGCTCAAGGTGTCTCAGTGTCAAGAGTTTGGAATGTAACCCAGGACAGCTGACTTCCCGGCCTTTAAGGGGCTGCCTTAGTAAGGAGCCAGCGGTGCCTCTGCAGGATCAGTCTCTTAAAAGGTAAAAAATACGGCTGCGCAGATCTCCCGGCGCGCACGAAGTCTCCGCTGAGGCGCCCCCCTTCACCTCCCGGGGTCGCGAGGCGCCGGATTTTAACAGAGACAACGGTACTGCCCATAAGCTCCCCGAAAGCCAAGTTTCCCGGTCGTCGGTGTGACATACTACCAGAAGCGCTCTGCAAACATCAAAGTACCAGACCTGGAGGTTGCTTGGCAAACAATGCCAACATGAAGTGGAGAACAACTTGCTGACAATAGGTACCGGTCAAAACCCGGACAGAAACGCCAAGTCTCCAGTCATCGCCCTGCAACCCGCGGCGCCGGGAGCACCACTTCCCGGAGGACGGCCCAGGCCGGACCCGCCCCCAGGCCTCTGTCCGGCCGAATGCGGGTGTACGCTCGCACTTCGCCGCCACCGCGAGGTCAGGGCCCACGGCCGGCAGCCTGTGCGTCCACTTACCTGCGAGCACCCATTTTCCTCCTCTTCCTCGTACCGAGGCGTCCGGAACTGGACTTGGAGGCGTCGGCACTGCCCCCGCCCCCACAGTCGCCCCGCCCATTCATCACCGGAAGTGCTGCCGCCCGGACTCTTTTTCCTGACTTCCCAGCCCCACCGTATGCCGTCAGTTCCGCTTGCGCCAGCAGCTCGAGTGCGCGCGGGGAGTCTAGGTCTCGCGAACGCGCCAGGAGCGTCTCGGAGGCGGGGGCGCGCCTCGTAGATGACAACAAATTTGTCGCGCAGAGTCGGAGTCCGCCTCGCCGCCGCCGTCTGCCCTCTGACTCTCGTGCATACTCTCTCCGGGCCGACAGAGCGCTTTGTAAGCCTCCGGCCTGGGGCGCCGGGTTCCGCTCAGCGACCGGTTCCCGCCGGGCCTAGTGTGAGCGGCGCGTCACGGGCCATGGGGTCGCCCTGAGAGACGGCGGCACAGAGCCGGCATGCTGCGGCCACCGCGAACCTAGAGACCCCACCGCAGCCTGGGGACACCGGCTGGACCCCGAGGCGCTGCCGCTGCCTGGTCCCCAGGTCCGATCCCGGAGTCGCCGCCGCGGCCCTCCCAGTCGCCAGTCCTCACCAACATGCCTTGGCCATTTTCAGAGTCTATCAAGAAGAGGGCCTGTCGGTACCTCCTGCAGAGGTACCTGGGCCACTTCTTGCAGGAGAAGCTGAGCTTGGAGCAGCTGAGCCTGGATCTGTATCAGGGCACAGGGTCCCTCGCCCAGGTCCCCTTGGACAAATGGGTAAGCTGCCGTCAGCCAGCAGGGCTAGGGACTCGCTCTCCTTAGGGCAAAACCTCAGCGACTGTCATCCAGCGTCGGCGACGTTCAGTCCCTCCTTGGGAACTGTTTGGGTCCAAGCGTGGCGGAGCTCAGGGAATGTGTGTAAAGTGTAGCAAGTTTGCGCCCTTGTGTCACGTGGGCCGACTTACACGGTATAATGGAGGCACACACCATGCGAACAATTGAGTCATTGCTTGGTGGTCTGTGAAGCAGGGCCCAGGGAAGGAGGTGACCAGCCTGCCTCTTGGGCTGTGAGGGTCTGCGGGGGTTCAAGGCAAACAAACCCTATCTTAATGTGTGATGTTCGGAAAGATTAAAGATGACGAGGAGTTGTCAAAAATCCCCTGGTATTTGTTTTGGTTTGGATGCTTGTTTGGTTTGCCTGGCTGTCTTCATACAGTGTTGGGCGTCTGGAAGAAAGTTAGATAGGCCTCTTCTGTCGGTTTGCCTGCTTTGCTTGATTGTATGTTTACAAGGCCAGTTCATTTTCCCAGCCTGCGAATGGTTGTGTGGCCCCAGGAGTGCTGTTTAGATTTGCCTTTTGGCTTCACGTGATAAATCGACAGGTCGTAAACGCAAATGTTGCAAAAGCTCTGAAGCTGCAACCTCAGCCGATTTTTCAAAGAACCTGTTTTCTACTAGAGGCTGTGAGTTGATTCACTGTTTTCTGTGCTTCGTGTGTATTTCAATTCACCAAATACAGTTGTATTCACGTCAATGGGTTAAAATGCCTAGTATTTTACTTAAAGACCTTGGGCTTTTAGTGGTTTCTCTTTCCTATTGAGAAGCGTAAATTATGGAAACTCCTTTGCAGTTTGTGCTAAGGGGTATGAATATAACATAATTATATAGAAAAGAAGCAACTTAAATTGGGGAGAGTACACATGAGAGTTTAAAGAGCTCTAGTTTGAGTAACAGAAAGACCTTGTCCTCTATCAGAGTAGTTCCAGGCTGTTACAGTCTGCTGAAAGATGGCAGGCATAGTAATTAACCCAAGTTCAGAACTCATAAAAGGACAGTATGCTCACTCCATGCATGCCAGGTACTGTATCAGGCTGCTGTATAGCTGCTATTTTTTTGTTTTGTTTTTTTGAGACAGGGTTTCTCTTTGTAGCATTGGAGGCTGTCCTGGAATTCTCTCTGTAGACCAGGCTGGTCTCGAACTCACAGAGATGCGCCTGCCTCTGCCTCTCAAGTGCTGGAATTAAGGTCGTGTGCCACCACTGCCCAGCAGCTTGGCTTATTTCTAGCCATCTTTTCTTAACTTAAATTATCCCCTGTACCTTTTGTCTCTGGACTTTTACCTTTCTCATCTGTGTATATCTTACTTTCACTCTTGCTCTGTGACTTGCTGTATAACTGTATAGCTCTAAAGCTGGTTGGCTGGCCCCAGGAGTCTTCCTGTCCTCCTTTTCTTGTTTCTTGACCTCGCTTCTCAGATTTCTCCTATTTCTTCTCTCTACCAGCTCCACCTATCCTTTCTCCTGCCTTGCTATTGGTTCTTTATTAGACCAGTCAGGTGTTGTAGGCAGGCAAAGTAGCACAGCTTCACAGAGTTAAACAAATGCAACATACCTTTCTTTGCCTCATTAAACATATATTCCACAGCATAAACAGATGTAACATATCCTAAATGAATATTCCGCAATACTACTGTGTCTATTTTAATTTTTTCAATGGAGGCTCTTTATTTATAGGTTTGCTATAGTAATGGAGTGTTTAGCATGTGACACTGCTGAGGGCTGGATGATGTGACAGTGAAGTAAACAGTGATCATTTTATCTCTCTTTTTTTTTTGAGACAGATTTCTTTGTATAATAGCTCTGGTTGTTCTGGAACTCACTTTGTAGACCAGGCTGGCCTTGAACTCATGGAGATCCACCTGCTGCTGCCTCTGGAGTGCTGAGATTAAAGGCATGGTCAGCCATGCCTGGCTTGATACTTTTCTCACGAGAACTCAGTATGTTTAGGAAGGTAGACAGCAACGGATTATTATTACCCATGAGCCTTTTAATTTCACTTTAATAATTTTTATTACTCTGGTACTTATATTTTATAGGTGTATGTGTGCATGTAATAAAAATTGACTTAAGTTCAAGAAGTATTAATTTGCAACTATTTGCCAAATGCTACAGTAGAGACTAGAGTGTGACATTCTTTTTTTCTGACTATATGCATGAAATTCACTGGTGAAAACTGAAAACAGAATGACTTTAAAGAGAAGAGAATCTATCTCTTCAGAGTTAGCTCAGGTGGCTCCACTGTAAGCTCTGGAACCATTACATCTCATAGGAACCTCCTGAAGACTAGCACACAGCATGTCATCTGAGTCAGTGTAACCAAGCAGCTTGAGAAGTTCCACATGAGTGGATTTCAGATTTTCTTATCATTCAGTGTATAGGGGCTTTTTGCCAAGTACAGAGAAGTATGTATAAGTGTAAGCTATTTACTTATTTCACACTTAGAGAAATTGTACTGTAGCTTAGTGGGCTCAGTGTAAATTCTTGAATTACTGACTCTAGTCTTTTGATACTACCATTCAATACAGCCTTCAAACCACTTTGTTTAGGATGTTAATGGAGCTACAAGATTGGGGTGGTAAGTTTGGTGTATACAGAGAAGAGAGGCCCATTAAATCCAGTTTCTTGGGTAGTCTGCTGATGTTGACAGAGCCCTGGGATGCCAAGGCTAAGTTAGTGCTTCTGCACAATTGAAAATGCATTGATGTGTTTTATTTTTTGGTTTTTACGAGACAGGGTTTCTCTGTATTGTTTTCGAGGCTGTCGAACCCAGCCCAGCCTCGAACACTCAGAGATCTGCCTGCCTCTGCCTCCCGAGTGCTGGGATTAAAGGCATGCGCCACCACTGCCCGGCTGCTTTGATGTGTTTTAAATGACACAACTCAGATGCTCACTGGAAGTATGAAACATTATCCTTAAACCTGCTTGTCCAAAGATGGAAATATGGCACCCAGGTTTCAAATATAAATTACAGAAATACTTAATATATAAACAAGCATTTCTGAGCTTACCTTTTCTATTTTATATGGAGGACTTCATTTTCAGGGTCAGGTATTCAGAAACTTTTAAAAATGAATATCAAAAGACTTGAAGCCATACACACACACACACACACACACACACACACACACACACACACATTTAAATTAGAAACAAGGTTGCTTCACATGTCAATTCCAGGTCCCTCTCCATTTCCCTCCCCTCCTCCCCTGCCCTCCCACCAACCCCCCCAATATCCCCTCATTTCCCCAGGGAGGGTGAGGCCCTCCATGGGGGTGTCCATAGTCTGTCATTTCATCCAGGGCAAGGCCTAGACTCTCCCACAAGAGTTCAAGGTGAGAATGCATCTCTCATTGTTGGATGGGAATCCAAAGTCCATTTGTATACCCGGGATAAATACTGATCTACTACCCAAGGCTCTATAGATTACCTAGGCCTCCTCACTGACACCCACATTCAGGGGGTCTTGATCAGTCCTATTGAGGCCTTTTTTAATATGGAAAATGTAAAATATAGTCGCAAGAAGACTTACTGGACAGTTATTAGAGACAGTGGATTGGTGGTGAGATAGAAAAGGTTATTAGCTTGCTGTAAAAATAATTGTAGTTTTGGATTTTTGCATTTTGCTGTTTGATAATGAAGCAATACATTCTTAATAGATGTGGTTATTTATGTTCTACTCATTTCCATGCACCTTCATTGTGGTGTGTGTGTGTGTGTGTGTGTGTTTGAGTCATAGTCTCTCTATGTAGCCTTGACTGGCCTGGAACTCAGTAGACCAGGCTGGGCTTGAACTCAAAGACATCCACCTGCTTCTGCCTCTTGAGTGCAGGGATAAAAGCCTTGATATGCGACACCTGGTTCAGTGTACTCTTTTTTGCTTTAATTTCAGCTAATGACTCATGCTGCTTATTTTATTTATACTATATTGATGATGTTAGACAAAAGCAAATTCTAGTGATTTTTTAAAAAATCTGAATTAAAAATGGGTTGTAAAGCAGCAACAGCTCAGTGTATAGGCGTCTGGCCTGGGACCTGCTAGTGACCACAGTGCAGCGATGGCCCAAGACATTGTACAAAGTAGAGCCTTGAAGATGAGGTGCTCAGTGGCTGTCTGTCTACAGGAGAGGGTACCAGTAACTCAGTGTGAACCAGTCAGTGGCCATTTGGCATTTGGAGCAAATTGGAAAGGTGAAAAAGCCACTAAGTGGTGCCTCATGAACTGACAAAGATAAAAAACTCCCCATTTTGTACTGTTGTCCTCTTTAGTTCTGCACAATGAGATATTTCTCCATTGGATTGTGATGTGCCGTGAAAGGTGGAATGTATGTGACAACCAGTGATGGATAACATATCAGTGGCTAGATGAAGAAGATGCCCCAATAGTACTTCCCAAAGGCAAACTTGCACCAAAAAATATCGTGGTTACTGTTTGGTGTCTGGGTTCTGAGTCGTGGAGATGCCCTAAGATCCTAAGTGTGCATTCAACAAACCCATGAGACACACCCAAAACTGCAGTGCCTATAGCTGGTATTGGTCAATGGAAGAGAACAAGTTCTCCGTAACAGTATCCCAACTGCACATTGTGCAACTCAAGTTTCCAAAGTTGAACACATTATCATCACCTGACCTCTCACCAACTGATGACCACTTCTTCAAGCTTTTTTCTTTTTGAACAGGGAAAATGCTTCTACCTACTTCCAGCAGGGTGCAGATAATGCTCTCTTAAGAGTCCTTAAATCCTGGAGCAGAGATTTTAAAAGTACTTACTTTGTGTGTATGTGTATGCAGTTGGCTTGTGCATGTTATGTTATACATGTGGCAGCCAGAGGACAATGGGTTCTCTCCTACCAGATGGGTACATAAGTGTGCTTTGGTATACATGTGGTGGGCAAAGGACAATTTGTGGAAACGAGTTCTCTTTTTGTCCTGGGGACCAAACTCAAATGGTCAGACTTTACCTTCTGGCCCTTGCAATTCCTTTTGCACCAACCTAATAAAAGAGAAGAAGGGAAGGAGGAGGGAGGACGTCCATGTATTGAGATCTGAGCTGTATTGAGTCTCTGGCTGCCTGACAGTCAGAGACTACAGGGGGTAGTGGGAGTCGAGGATAACTATTGGGAGCTGTCAGTGAGGGTGGTGACTGGAGGAGGGACACACTGTGCGGAACATGTGCCGTGTGGATGGACGATGACAGTGTGGCGGAGGATGACATTTGCATGAGCAGTATTCCAAGTGGCGATGGATTGGAAAGATGGTGACATGCCACAGAAGCCATGGGACGTTAGAGTTTGAGAAGGTAGGGTAGTCCTAGGGGGTAGGATGGGATGAGGGTTTAAGAGCTGAACACTGGGGGCTGGGAAGAAGCTCAGCTGGAGAAGTGAAGGCACGAAGACTGCAGTTTGAATATGCAGCACCTAGTAGGATGCCAAGCGGGGTCCAGTGACACCCCTGTGGAGCTGGAGACGAGTCCAGGGACACCCCTGTGGAGCTGGAGTGCATTCCTAAAGCTGCCTGACCTGCCAGTGTAGCACAATCACTGAGTTAGGTTCAGTGAAAGACTTACTTTGTCTGGAAAGGTGGGGGGAGTGAGTGAGGAAGATAGGATGCCAGACATTGACCTTTGGCCTTTACATGTGCACTCACATGCACAATGGGCACGTACATCTGTGTGAGAACACAGTACATTTTGTGCACATATGTACTACCCCCCCACTAAATAATAATAAACAATAAATACATTTATTAGTTTAAAACTTCAATAAAAAATCCTTGCTACCTTTAATCTTAACACATGGGAGTCACAGTCAGGCAGATTTCTGAGTTCAAGTCCAGCCTGGTCTACAAAGAGAGAGTTACATAGAGAGACTCTGTCTCAAAAAACTTAAAAAAAAATCATCCTTACTTATAAATCTGTGAAAAGTATAGGGTTCAGACAAGCCTCCTGAGGAAAATCTTTTTGTATCAGTCAGGAATCTCTGGAGGAGCAGAACTGATAGCATGAATGTACATGTATATCGAAACCGATTTACTAGTGTGCCTTACAGGCTGTGGTCCAGCTCATCAAACAATGGTTGTCTACCAATGGAAAGTCACCGTGAGGGTGAAGGGATGGACTTGCCAGTGAGCGTGGGGACAAACTTGCGAAGAGCAAAAGCTTCCTCCTCCCATGGCTTTTCCATGTGCTGTCAGAAGGTGTGTCTGGGGCTGCCAGAAGAGTGTTGGATCCCTGCAACTGGAGCTACGGGTGGTTGTGAGCTGCCCTGTGGGTGCTAGGAACCAGCCCTGGTCCCCTGGACCAGCAACCAGTGCTCTTAGCCCTGGCTTTCTTAATCTCCAGTGCTCAGCACACTAGTGGGCATATCCACATCACTGAGAAGGTTGGCATTCAGTGTTTGTATTTGTGTGATTTCAAAATGAACTTGTTTTTTTCTCTCTAGGGTCTCAATGAAATCCTGGAGTCAGCAGACGCACCTCTGGAAGTCACTGAAGGATTCATTCAGTCCATCTCCCTGTCAGTCCCATGGGGCTCCTTGCTGCAGGACAATTGTGCGCTGGAAGTGAGAGGGCTAGAGATGGTCTTTCGGCCTAAACCTCGTGTAGGTAGGTGTGCTTCACGTGCCTGCTCTGTCTGTTTCAGCCTTGACCCTGCAAAGGCGGAGAAGCCGACTCAGTTGTAAACAGTTGAGCATGGGATTTATGACTTTGAACTGGGTTTGTGAGATTGTTCATTTGATAAAACAAGAGGATTTAGCACTTTGTAAGATGTATGTGAGTATGTCTTTAGAACAGTTCTCTCCTTATTCACAATCCAGAACACTAATATATAGATAATGTGTGATTATTTCCAATTATCTGAAGTGGAAGATTGTTTAAAGATTTTGTAGAGAAATGTTAGAAGGGCATAGGATTAGATTCTTTTTTAAATGAAAGTTTTTGTTATTTAATATTATGTCTATGGAGAGAGTGGGGTTGTATGTATGCACATGAGTGTAAGTGCCTATGGAGGTCAGAAGCATTGGATCCCCCTGGACCTAGAATTACAAACAATTGTGAGCTTCCTGATGTGGGTGCTGGGAACTGAGCTCAGGTCCTCTGTAAGAGTAGTACAGGCTCTTACCTGCTGTCCTCTCCAGCCTCCAGGACTGGATTTGAAGGGACTTTTTCATCAATGTAATCTGAAACAACTGTCATGTTGAAGAATAATGACACTGAGCGATTACAACACTAAATTTAAAACTCGCCACATCGCCTTTAATCTCAGCACTTGAGAGGCAGAGGCAGGTGGATCTCTGTGAGTTCGAAGCTAGCTTTGTCTACAGAGTGAGTTCCAGGTTGGCCAGGGCTACACAGAGAAACCCTGTCTAGAAATACAAAACAAACCAACCTTAAAAAACTACCACCACCAACAAAAAAACCTCACCACATCCATGTTGATAATAGTTATGTAAGGTGGACTTGGATAAGGGATATGCATCTCAACTGTAGAATGTAACCTAGAGAAATGGTTAGAAATCATCCATCTAGGTAAATGCTGTGTACATATGCATGTGTTTCCTGGAAAACAAAAGTTTAAATTATACTTTATAGAGTTATAGTGATCTATTTTAAAAATAAAATGCTCTAAATATTTTATTTATCTATCTGGTCACTCATTCATTCATTCATTCATTTTGGGGCAGTCTCACTCTGCAGCCCAGGTTGGCTTTGTGCCTATAACTTTCCTGCTGTAGCCTTTTTTTGTTTTGTTTTGTTTTTCGAGAAAGGATTTCTCTGTGACTTTGGAGGCTGTCCTGGAACTAGCTCTTGTAGACCAGGCTGGTCTCAAACTCACAGAGATCCTCTTGCCTCTGCTTCCTTAGTGTTGGGATTAAAGGTGTGCGCCACCACTGCCAGGTAGCCTCTTGAATGTTGAATTGTAGCAGTATTTCACCACACCTGAAAACAGTCTGATATTGTGTGTTCATGAATTTTAAAGGGCATTCTCTGGTATTGTTTCTTATATTCTACATTCCTTACATTCTGAGTCAGGGTCTGTTAGTCTGGACCTACAGAGGCTAGACTGGCAGATCAGAGAGTCCCAGGGGTCTGCTTGTCTCTATTCCTTGGTACTAGGACTGCCATATTAAAATTTTTAATGCTCAGACAAGAACTTTACTGACTGAACTATCTTCCCAGCTCTCGGATAATTTAATTCATAGTAATGTTGTATCTAGCCAGGTGCGGTAACACCTGTGATCCCAGTTCTCATGCTGAGACAGGATGATGCAAGTTTGAGGTCAGCCTGAGTGCATAGTAAGATTCTGTCTTAAACAAAACAAAACCCAAACAACAAACATGGTTCCATCATCATCAGCATCATCATCATCAGGGTCTTTTTGTGGCAGGATCTCATTATGTAGGTCTGGCTGTCTTGGAACTCAGAAATCCTCCTGCCTCTGCCTCCCTAGTGTTGGGATTAAAGGTATGTGCCACTAGTCCCGGCTCTGATTCTTTTAACCATGGTGGGTAAATACTCCCTTTGGAACTTTAGCTTTGAAATGTTTTCCCCTTTAAAACTGCCTATTAAAAGGGCCTTTAAGTTCTATTTGGAAGGTAGTAACTGTAGAAATGTATCGGTTGTTCTGAGCAGTGCAAGAAGATACGGCGTTCCCCAGCAGGCGAGGTCTGGGAAGGGTTTGTAAGGTTCCTTGTCCAGCCCTCTGAAGACACATCTTTTATTCTATCTGTATTTGTACTGATTCTGCAGTTGGTGTCATCTGTTGCTGCCAGATTTCCTGGTGATACCTCTGTATTCATCCTTGACAGCCTTCTCTTATCTTTCCTAATGTGTGGTAAACATTCTTAAGTGCATAACTCATAATTTATTTTTCTATCTCTATGGCTGGTTAGCAAACCTCAGTTCCTAGTCCAAATTAGTCTGCCTCCTGCTTACTTTAAGTTAGATTGTATTGAAACATACCCATGTTATTCTTTACTCTCGGTAGCCGCTTCGACAGAGAGGAGAGCTGCACAGTGTGACAGACACATTGCCCACAAAGCCTGAGTGTCCTCTGCCTGGCTCTTTACAGGGGATGTTTGTCGGCTCTTGTTCTGTGGTATCCAGCATGTTGCCGTATATCTGCTAGTTTTTTGTTGAGTGGATATCTGAATTAAAATTTGATAAAAGTAAAACTTGAAATAAGAATATGTCACAGGGCTTTTTTATCCTGTAATTTTTTTTGTTCTGTTACTGTAAGGTGGTTCTCAAATGTCCAGTGTAATTTCTCACAGGTAGCATTGAAAAACTACCATAAATATATTGTAAGAAATGCCATTGATATACAAATTATTTAGGTTTATTTGTACTTTCTGCAGCAACTGGGTCTGAGCCTATGTATTGGTCAAGCTTCATGACCAGCAGTATGCAGCTGGCAAAGGAGTGTCTTAGTCAGAAACTGACCGATGAGCAAGGAGAAGCATCCCAGCCTTTTGAAGGGCTGGAGAAGTTCGCGGAAACCATTGAAACAGGTTTGCATCACAAGCATCCTCACAGCCCAGGCTGAATGTGGTGGTGTGGGGCCCAAGACCATTCCGTTGCAGTGATTTTGAAAAGGTTTACTATGCTCACTTCAGTACTTCAGAACTCAGGCTGTTTTAGACATTCCATTCAGTTTGATTGCATGCTTTTGTTCCCGGGGTTTTCCTTGTTTAGTTTATTATGCCCGTGGGAGGATCAGGTGAGAGATCTATGCCGTCCCAAGTGTCTGTTGTGATGTAACTTGGGGACATGCTTATGGGGCATAGCGTGTTTTACAAATTCAGGCTCTGGGGGTTTAAAAGGACACAAACCTGCCTTTTTAATGTTCTTATCAGACTAGGAATTGTTTCTTGAGAGTGGGTGGGGAGGCAGCAGGGATGAAGCACTTGCCCAGCATGAAGGAGGCCCAGCTTGGTCCCCAGCTGCCTGAAGGGGAGGAACACGTGGGGCAGAGGTGGGGTTCTCACTTGGTGTCCTCGTGGTTTTCCATTGATTTTTGCTGGTTTGTTTTAGTACTAAGAAGAGTGAAAGTCACTTTTATAGACACTGTGTTAAGAATTGAACATGTGCCAGAAAATTCCAAAACTGGAGCTGCACTTGAAATCCGAGTAGAGAGGTAAGATTTTTTTTTTTTTTGGTCTGGAAATGTCTGACCTCACTCTGGATTATGACATTACACTTCAGGATGCTTTAGAGATGAAAGGTGATAGTAAACTAATATATTGTGTAATTTCAGAGTAAAGTACTGCTCTCTGAGTTACCCTCTCATCCCATCTGAGACTGTAAGCACCAGTTAGTGTGTAATTCTATCCAGTGCTATGTTGAGCTTACCTAAGCGGTTAACTGCAGTGCCACTATGTTGAGGCTCTTTTCAGTGTCCTATTCCCATGTGCACAGTGCAATGCTAGGTGCCTCTTGCTAATGTGAAAGGCTCAGCTTCATGGTGTGGGGCTTGGGTGTTTCTTTAGTGAAAAAGGGTGATGGTGTTGTTCCTTTAGAGGATTTTGTGAGGATTATTTTAAGGTTAAATATCTAATGATGATTTACTTAAGTCAAACATGTTGCTTTTATTTTTTATGTATATTCACTGGCGCTCTGACACAGTCTTAATTTGAGGTAGTTACTGCTAGCCGTGGCCGTATTATGTGGCCTCCCAACTGAAATGTATGGCTCAGTGACCAAGAGCATTTCCTGCTCTTCCAGAGTTCAGCTCCCCCCCATTCATGCAGAGCAGAGCTCAATGGCCTTCAACTCCAGTTCTGTGGGATCCAGTGCCCTCTTCTGTCCTCTCTGGGCACTGCATACACATGGCACACACACAGATGCACATACCCATACACAGAAATAAAAATTAAAAAAATGTACATTGAATACTAAAGACCTTCTATGTGTGCATCTATTTGGGGCCCTTCCCAAGATTTGTACAGATATTTTTGTGGTTTCACTCTTTAACAAAGATACACCTATGCATAAAATAGTTGTTACAGATCTTTGGAGTTAGGGTGCATTACCTTAGGTGGTATAATAAAGCAGTAACATCCAATTAGAACCATGTTATTTATCTCATTAAACTGGAGGTTGCTGACCCAAGAATTTAAGACATTCATTGTTCTGACTTGGAGACAAATGGGTCTTACTGTGATTCTGTGTTTGTAACCCTGGCACTGTGGAGGAGGAGCTAAGAGGGAGTTGAGGGTTAGAGACACCCTAGGCTATGTAGCGGGAGTCAGTTTTGTGACGGAGATAAGGAATGTTCCCCTTGGGTTAGCTTTGTGAAGATACTAACTTTTTTCTCTCTAATTTAAGGGAAAGTAATCTATCTTAGATTTTAGGACTCTCTCTTTGTGAAAATTTTACTTATTTAAATATTTAGTGCAGTGATGTTGACATGTTATAGACTTTAAGGTTTTTATGTTTATTATAATAGTGAGTTTTATTATATTTCATACATGTACATGATGTATTTTAACACATGTACACACAAGTGCACACATACCCACAAAATTACTCTCTTGTTTGTTTCCACTCCCTCTAATCCCCCTTTTTCTTCCCAATTAAATATAATTCTTTTGCCAGGTGGTGGTGGTGCATGCCTTTAATCTCAGCATAGGGGTGCTAGAGGCAGGTGGATCCATGTAAGTTCAATGCCAGCCTGGTAGACAGAGAAGTTGCATGATAGCTAGGACCATCTCGAAAAACAAAACAAAATTCTTTTGAGACAGAATCTCATGTGGCTCAGGCTGCCCTTGAACTCTTGATGTTCCTGCTTCTACCTTCCCTGTGCTGGGATGCAAGCATTCTTACAGCCATAGTCTTAGGGATGCTAGCTCTGACATTTCCCTCGTTTCCCAGTTTTGTACAAATGTCTGTTTGTATGTTTCAGAACCGTGTACTGTGATGAAACTGCTGATGAGTCCTCAGGAGTCAATGTACATCAGCCCACAGCTTTTGCTCACAAATTGCTGCAGCTCTCTGGAGTGTCTCTCTTCTGGGATGAATTTTCTGCTTCAGCAAAATCTTCTCCAGTGTGTTCGACTGCACCAGTCGTAAGAAAAATGAAATATAATCCTCCAGACAGTGGTGGGCTCAGTTGGTAGAGGACTGTCCTAGCATGCATGAAGTCTTAGGTCTTACCACCAGCACCTGGGAGGTAGAGTCGGGAGAGTTCAAGGGTATTCTCAGATAGTGAGTTCAAGACCAGCATGTATACACACAAGACTGACTCAGAAAACCAAACCAAAAACCAGTCCAACAAAACAACCCAAAACGTGCTCACAAATTTTAGAAGGTTTAAATAAAGACTTGCAACCAGGTATGGGAGGGCAGCACTTGAGAGGTTGAGACAAGAGGGCAGCTTGGGCTACTAGTGAGTCTCTAGGAAGCTAGAATCTGGGGACTGTTAGGTTTTTCTGAGTACGGCTTTTTTTTTTTTTTTTTTTTTTTTGGTTTTACGAGACAGGGTTTCTCTGTATTGTTTTGGAGGCTGTTGGTCCAGCCCAGCCTTGAACTCACAGAGATCCGCTTGCTTCTGCCTCCCGAGTGCTGGGATTAAAGGGGTGCGCCACCACTGCCCGGCGAGTACGGCATTTGTTAATGAATCTCCATCTGGTTTAGCAAATCTGTTAATGCAAATATTCAGCTAATGTAGCTGAGACCAGCCCTGAACCCCTAAAGCTCTGCCCATCCTGCAGGCCTGCTGTTCATTAGTTAATAGAGAAATGGTTCCTACATATCCGTAAGTAAAATGAGGTGTTAACATCTGAGAGAGCTAACCCTAGTGGCCAAGCCTTTGGGCATGCCAGTGAGGGTCCTCTAGATTAGGTGGGAGGATCTTTCCTAAATGGGGGTGGTGTCATTCAATGGGCTGGGTCTCAGACCACTTAAAGAAGAGTGTCTGAGTTGTAGCTTGCTTTCTGACTGTGGGTGTGATGTGAGCAGCTAGCCTCCTGCCCTCTTGCCTTTTGCACTCTGGTGGAATGTATGCCTGCACCTGGGAGCCAGAAGAAGCCCTCCATTTCTTATGGTGCTTCTTGCTAGGTATTTTGTCACAGCAACTAGAAAAGTGACTCTTGCAGTGTCTGGTCCTTTCACATTAAAAAGCAGTGTTATTGTCCATGAATAATGATTCTATTAGAGAGCATTAGCATGGGGTCATACCTTAGGTGTGTTCTGTTATTAAGAGCTCTTAATTCTTTATGGAGCACAGAATCCTTTAGTAAGTTCGTAAGTCTATAATTTGCCTTTTATATCACAAGTCAGGTTTTTTTTTCTTAATATTTTTCTGAGCTAGAGTCTCTCACTCTGTCACTGTGTGGCTCAGGTTGACCTCAAACTGGTGATCTCTGGTCTCACCTCCTGAATGCTGGGTTACAGGCACTGCTTCCATATTGGTTTGGTTTATACATTGTGTATTATTTGAGCAGATGCTGTGTATGTGCAATGCAGATGCACACAGACATACGTACTGCATTTGGGGGCGTGTGTGGAGATTGGAGGACAACTTTGTGGAGCCAGTTCTTCCGTCTTTATGTGCATTATGGGGTTGGACTCAGGTCTCTAGGTTTAGGGCAAGTGTCTTTACCCACCTGGCCATCTTGTGGGCTCTGTGCTATTTCATAAAGTCTTTTTTGATGACTTGTTTTTATTTCTAAGTAGCTATACTAATAGTACTGCTTCATTTTAGTCTTAAGATAGTGGTATGTCCAGTTTTGCATGCCAAATCCAAGATGACATTCATATATACCCTCACTCATTTATGCTAAGATATTTTAAATAGTTACTTCACTTTTATTGCATTATTGTAGGAAACTGAGCCAAAGCTGTCACCTAGCTGGAATCCCAAAATTGTTTATGAGCCACACCCACAACTAACTAGAACTTTACCAGAGATAGCACCCTCGGATCCAGTGCAAATTGGAGGGCTAGTGGGCAAGCTGGAGTTGAGTCTCACTTTGAAACAGAATGAAGTGCTTCCAGGAGCCAAGGTCAGTATTGTTTAGCTTTCTCTGCTAAACTCCAGGTATTTCATCTGCACAGTGGCATAGTGCTTGATTGCTGTGAGCTGTCCTGTGGCTAAGCATCTACTCTCTTCACTCTCAGTGTTCTTGCCCAGATTTTCCCACCCTCTCTTTCGTGAATTGCTCTCAGGTTAAGAAGACCTTACCAGGTCTCCCCTTGCTGGCTTCTGAGGAGGTTGTTAATGGAGCATAGTGTAGATAGATGTAAATGCTGCAGGGATTGTCCTGCTGTGGCAACAGCCTTGGCAAACCCCAGCACCTGTGTGTCTTTGGGGAGTGCACATGCCATTTCTTAAAGAAGCAGGAGCCATGAAAGAAGCTTTTGTGCTTCTGTTGTGACTGCATATAGTCTTCTACATTCGTAAGCTTTGATTTCCATGCAGATGTAAAGTTTTGCACACTTGTCTTTTGATTTGTTGCTTTTAGAGTTCTGCATATTAAGGGACAGAGGAATGGGAGGTAGTTTTGTATGGTGGTGTTATATTCCAGTTCCAGACAGTACTGAGTGTTTGGAGATGCTATTATCCTTGCCTACATTAATGTTTTTTGTATACTAACTTGGGTATGCATATTTTGTTTAAATGTAAATGAATATTATATGGAAAAATTAAGTTCTGGAGATTAACACTGGGCAGCATAGAACTTAGAGGTGTAACTGGGCAGCATGGGGCAGAGCACCAGGTTAGATCTTAGTCTCTTCCAGTGATCTTTAAACCCCAGTCTTTCAGCCATGAGTTCAAATGTTCCAAGATTTCCTGCTTTCGTTTCTGAGATAGTGCCCCTGGAGTTGGTTGTATTCACACATTCAATTTTAATAGATCGTGGGGGGAAGTATTGGTACAAAAGCAGGGGATTGCTTTGGTTGAGTTTAGAGAAATTTCTGTTACATTACACTGAGTTGAAAAATGCTTTATTGTTATTTTCAGTGTTTTATATTTTCAGAACTTTGTTGTTTTTATTCCAAATTCAGAATGTACCCGTAATGAAATATTCCTATGGCAATTAGAAATGAAACTTGTGATTTTCTATCCTAATGAAAACCAAAGATTATGGTTTCAGTACAAGAAAGAAACCATCTAGTAACAGAAATACATTTCCACACTCTGAGGCCTGGTTGTCACCAGTCTGTGAGGAATCCTATAAAACAGTCTGTAGGCATACCAGGAGAGCCGTGTTGTAGAAAGAGTAAGGCTTTGCATTTGTGTCTGCCTAGGTTCAGACCTAGGTGGAGGTATGTGATCTTTGTTTTGTGAATCTCTTTCCTTGTCTGTATAACAGAAACTCTAGAAAGCAGAGAGTAGGAGCTAGTGATGACTCGGTGCTCTCCACACCAAGGGAGACATGAGGGGAAGTGTGCATAGAGAGCAAGAGAAGAAGCACCCATTAGCACTGCTTTCTGCCTGGGTCGGCTGTGGCTTCCAGCCCCTGTGCAGGGGAAAGCAGTGTCTGCAGCCTGCAAGGCATCAGAGAGGCGAGCTGTGGAGTCCCAGTGTGGCCAGCCTGGTCTTGTAAACGGATGCTGACTTCATTGGTTCTGAGGACTTGGTTGTTCTGAAGGGTGATGAATATCATTTTGTTGCTGTGTTCTACAGTCTCCAGAAGACTTAGAGACAGATAGTACGACATTGGACTTGTTGACTTGGAATTTCTCAGGATTCCCCCCTGCAGCTATGTTGCTGGTCTTTACACCCTTTTGTTGAGTTTGTGTGCATTAGGTAAAGCTGCCCAACCCCAAGGGTGATACTTACCTTAGTGCTCTGACATCTGCCTAATTCCTGGTGATGAGTTTGAAGTATTTATTCTCATTCTCAACTCTTCTTATGTTTTTAAGCTGGATGTTGATGGACAGATAGATTCCATTCATCTGTTCCTGTCACCAAGGCAGGTACACCTGCTTTTGGATATGTTAGCAGCTATTGCTGGACCAGGCAAGTATGACTGTTAGGATTATTTCTTATATAACATAGATAGATAAAAATTAGAGTATGTGACATTAAAGGTGTATTTCTAATAGATATCCTGATTATTGTATTAGGTCTTTTAAACTATGTTATCATGGTATAAATTTGCATTCAGGTTACTTGGTCACATTCATTTTTTTTTTTTTTTTTTTTTTTTTTTTGGTTTTTCGAGACAGGGTTTCTCTGTATTGTTTTGGAGGCTATCGGTCCAGCCCAGCCTCGAACTCACAGAGATCCGCCTGCCTCTGCCTCCCGAGTGCTGGGATTAAAGGCGTGCGCCACCACTGCCCGGCTGGTCACATTCATTTTAAAAGTTGTTCTGAACCAGACAGTGATGGATCATGCCTCAGAGGCAGGCAGATCTCTCTGAGTTCAAGGCCAGCCTGGCCTACAGAGAGAGTTCTGGGACAGCCAAGGCTACATAGAGAAACCTTGTCTCAAAAAACCAAGCCAATCAAACAAATCAACCTAAATAACAAAAAACATAATTTTGTACACAGTAAGTCGTGCACATGTTTTTAGGTACTCAAATCTTCTAGAGGTAACAGGAGACTGTTGGTTACTTGCTAAAACCGTTGCTTAGACCTCTAATTGATGTCACTAACTTCCTGCTAGTGTGGTCAGGTTGCCATTGCATACATGGGGTCTTGGAAAGAAATGCTTAAATAACTGACTACAAATTGAATTTTTCTTTCTTTTCATATACTTATAGAAAATTCAAGCAAAATAGGGTTAGCTAATAAGGACAGGAAAAATCGACCCATGCAGCAGGAAGACGAGTATCGGATTCAGATGGAATTAAACCGGTATTATCTGAGGAAAGACTCCCTGTCTATGGGTGTATCTTCAGAGAAAAGTTTCTATGAGACAGAAACAGCTCGTACACCTTCTAGCCGTGGTAAGCACTCACAAAGTCATGGCTTGACCTATGCTATCCCCTAGGTGGAATTAGATATTTGGTTCTGTTCTGTTGGTTCACTGGCAATGCAGTGATGGTATTTTTCCCTAAAGGAAGTCAGTTTGTAAAAATGCAGACCGGCACAGAAATATGTTGGGAAACACTGTCATTATTTCATTCTGCTCATGTGATTATGTGCAGCGGACAGCCCTAAGTAGGGAACATTGCTGACCTTTCTGTCTTGTTGATGTAGTTGTTACCCAGCCCACTGTACACCACAGGGATTTTGGGTCATATAAGCACTAGTGTAAATAGTAAGAACCTGGTAGGATGCAAACCAAATAAAAAATTAAGCCTATTCAAGAACTTCGAGATATAATAAGCTTGATTTGTGTGAGGTCAGACAGTCACTAGAGAGAAGGTACTGAGCTGTCAACAGAATTCTAAATGTCTCTGGTCCCTCTTTCCCATCCGGCAAATAGCTGTATCCATAAGAAACTAGAGACTGGAATATAGTTACACAATTTTACTATTTGCAATTTGGTGCTGGGGATGAAATGCAGAGCCCTGTGTGAATTTTGACTTCTAAATTGCCATATGACAACCAAAAATGTGCTGGATTGCTGCATGCAGATTGCTGCATGTCATATAAACCCACAAAATACTTGGGGTGGCTTGACCTTTTGCTGGCAGTTTGCAATTGTGTGTTGCTGCATTGCTAACGGCCAGACTCAGACATGCTACTCACAGCTGTGTCTCAGATAGTTGGAGGGAAGATTCTATTAGTGTGTCTAAACTACTTGAAGGAGCACATTGGTGGAATGTATCATGTGACGAAGTCTAATTCTCTCCAGAAGAAGAAGTTTTCTTCTCCATGGCTGACATGGACATGTCTCACAGTCTGTCTTCTCTTCCACCCCTTGGGGACCCTCCACACATGGACCTGGAGTTATCCCTGACTAGTACATACACCAACACACCTGCAGGATCACCGCTAAGTGCTACTGTGGTAAAGTGTTACTTCATTTCTTCTGTTCTTCAGAAAGTACCTCTAAGATCCTATACCTTATTCATGTATTTAAAACCAATCTTTTGTAGCTTCAGCCAACTTGGGGAGAGTTTGCTGACCACAAAGAGCAGCCTGTAAGAGGGCCAGCATTCCCATCTGACTTGGTCCATGCGGCCCCTTTACAAAAAGCTGGTAAGATAATGTGTTTTTCTTTTTCCCCTCCCTCCTTTCAGAATAAACATTTTCTATCTTCTCTCTCATCTATCTCTGTGTGTGTGTGTGAGTGTGTGTGTGAGAGTGTGTGAGTGTGTGTGAGCGTGAGAGAGTGTGTGAGTGTGTGAGTGTGTGTGTGTGTGTGTGTGTGTGTGTGTAGCTGTTTGTCTACTTATGTCTGTCATCTGTATCCATCATGCATCTACTTCGTTTTGTGCCCCCGGGGGCTGTACCCAGGGCCTGCACTCTGCACTCTCATATTTTGTGTGTGTGTCTTTCATAATTTCTCCTTTAGTCTTGGACAATCACAAAGTTTAGAAAGAAGAATGATTGAACAGTTCATTGGAAACTTTTAGAATAGTTCCTTCTGCTCTTTTCATTTGATTTTGTTTTTGAGATAGGGTTGACGAGCTGTGATCTCACTGGACCTTTTGCCTCCATCTCCTGAGCACTAGGTTGCTAGGTGTACACCGCTATGTCTGCTTCTCATCACAGTCTTTGTGTACTTACATACATAGATTTTATGAAAAATACCATACATTTCATGTCATTGCCATTTAAAACTCTCAGAAAACTATCTGGTGTGTGTGTGTGTGTGTGTGTGTGTGTGTGTGTGTGTGTGTACTTGTGTGTTTATATGTGGTGTATGTTTTTATGTGTGCCTGTGTGAATATGGTGTGTTTGTATGCACATGTATATGTGTTTGTGTGTAAGTGTATGTGCGCATATGCACGTGTATGTTTATATATATGTATGTGTTTTGTGTGTGTAAGTGTAGCTGTGTTTATGTGTATGCCTGTGTGTGTGGGGGCTGTGTGTGTTAATGTGTGTATGCGTTTGTAGCATTGGGCATAGAACCTGAGACCTTGATGGTTCCCAAACAGTCCTCCATCATTAAAGTATACTCTGGCTTCTTGAGTCTGTTTTCACTGTTTTTAATCTTGTTTGTAAAGAAAAGTTTCAGTTTCTAGTCTGCATTTCCCTCCCCAGGATTGGGGATTGAGCTTAGTCCCTTGAGCAGGCCCGGCATTGCTTTACCACTGTTTTGCACTATTGATCTTTACTCTTCAAAATTTAACTGAACAATTGCCAAGCTTAAAGGAGCTGGTGTGCAGTTTTTGGTTAATCTTGGGTTTTCTTTTCTAACACAGTTTTATAGTGCCAAAGATCTGCCCACACAGTTCTTACTGAGATGGACTCTCGTACTTGAGGTTTAAGAGTCCTGCATACCAGATGAACAGGGTAGCAGCCTGTTTAAAATGTTTTGAATTCTGACTCTGAGAACTTCATGTATTTCAGCTCTCTCCTCTAGGTCTGTTTCAGTGGATGAGTCCAGACCTGAGTTTATCTGTAGACTGGCTATCGGCGTCTTCTCAGTCTCCGTGCTTCATATTGATCCTTTGTCTCCAGCGGAAACGTCTCTGAATGTCAATCCATTGACACCCATGGCCGTCGCTTTCTTCTCTTGCATAGAAAAGATGGACCCGACAAGATTGTCAACAGAAGATTTTAAGTCTTTCCGGGCAGTCTTTGCAGAAGCTTGTTCACACGATCACCTTAGGTGAACTCTTCTGATTACTAATGATACTTCAGAAAGAGCCAAATGCACCCTTTGTCATCTGTCTACCTTCCTGCTTTGGTTTTCAGTGGATAATGAGTGAAATTTGCTGCAGTTCTACATCCATAGTGTCTCTCTTCACGTTTTGTGTAGTGTGGGAACAGTACAGATACAGATCTAGATAGTTTTAGCTCCCTTCCTGTTCTTGCCAAGTTTATTTTACCACGTTTTGCCATCATCCCTGCTGTCACTATTGAAATGATGGAAATGGTTCTTTTTGGCACTGTCACTGGCAGAGATGATGGTGATGCTGAGGGCGGGACTGAGGGAGAGCTTGGGAAAGGCCCATAAGATGGGGAGTAATGTCAAGCTTGTGCTGAGAGTTTGAGCGCTTCATTTTGAGCCTTCATGAGTTGAGGCCTAATAGATTAGCTGACGAAATTGGAGAATATAGGGCTACCATGTAAATACTGTATATTTTAATGTAAGTGTGATAAAATTTGTATTTTAGAGAATGCCTGTTTTTGGAGACAGGATCTCATGATATAGTCTAGTCTAGTCTCAAACTTTCAGGCAGCCTCAGATAACCCTGAACTTCCTGTCCTCTTGCCTCTGCCTCCTGAGATGATAGGTGAGGAGCTGTCATGCTTGGTTTTAGGCAGTGCTGAGGTTCAGACCCAGGGCTTCATGCATGCAAGGCTAGTGTTCAACCAACCGAGCTAAACCCTTACTGCTAGCTTGAGGTTGTTTTAAGGTAAGCTTTCTCCAGTGTTAAAATTAACATAAAGTAGTTTTTGACCCCCATCAAAAGATGCTATGTAGTTTAGGACTATAGTACTTCAAATTACATTGTAAGAACATTTTCCCTCAGTTTTGTCAAAGTTCCAAATATGTCAGTAGAAAATATGAGACAAAAACAGTGAACTCCATCAACTGAAGTTTTAAAATACTGCATGATTTTTGTTCCTTGGTTTTTGGGACAATCTCAAATGTCAAAAATACCTGTCTCAAGCTCATGGTTTTCCTGCTTCATCTTCCAGAGTACTGGAATTTTAGGTGTTCACTACCGTTCCCAGCTTGAATGATGTTTTTAGATAGTTTAAAGAATCCATTTCATCCATTTTATAGATGTGAACATTTTTTAAGTTTTTATTTTTTTCTTTTTGTTTTTCAAGTCAGGGTTTCTCTGTGTAGCTTTGGAGCCTATCCTGAAATACACTCTGTAGACTGGGGGTGGTGGTGGGGGGTGGCTTGAACTCCCAGACATCTGCCTGCTGGGATTAAAGGCGTGTGCCACCACTGGCAGGCTTTTATTTTTTTTTTGTTTTAAGACAGGTTTTACTGTGTAACCCTGACTGGTCTGGAACTCACTGTGTACTAGACTGGCCTCAAGGATCTTGTAGAGATCCATTTGCCTCTGCCTCCCAGGATGCTGGCATTAAAGGTGTATGTGTGCCGCAATGCCTGGCCAGATCTAAGATATTTTATCCACTGTAGTGTAAGTTTGGAGTGTGGAAGAAGAAAGGACCCTGTTGGGCAGTACAGGACATCCTGGGAAGTTTCTCACAGTGGCTATGTTAAGGAATAGGAAATGTGAGCTTATGTCCTTAGGGACTAACAGCTTGAGCTGGAACTTGTTAGAGTGCACATGTAATTATTATACTGACATTTGCATGTTATTCTCTAGGCTTATGTCTGAAGACTCTTAAATGCTTTTTCTTTTTCTTTTTTTTTAATGGTAGATTTATAGGTACTGGGATCAAAGTGTCCTATGAGCAGAGACAAAGGCCAACTTCCCGGCATTTTAGCACCGACATGTCCATTGGGCAAATGGAGTTTTTGGAGTGTCTGTTTCCAACAGATTTTCATTCTGTGCCTCCCCACTACACAGAAGTAAGTGCCAGACACCCTTTGGGATGTTTTGCTCTTTTAAAGATCAAATGAAAAGAATAATTTTCTTTAAAAACAGTAAAGTCACAAATTTTGTTAATGTTACTTTTTGTCTTTGTGATTGATGAAACAAATTTTAAAGTATGTCATTCAAGATTATTCCATGAAGCTAGTAAATACTTCAAATGAAAGGCAAGTTATCTGAGGAGGGAGGCAGGTTATTAGGCTGTTGTTTCATTCTGTTTTAAAGTTTTTTCTTAGATATTGATCTGTTTGAACCCTTGCCTCAGGTGAGGTGCTGAGTGTCGTAGAAGTTAGCTGCTTAAGTGAGATTTACATTGCTAGAAAGTGACAAAAATGAAGTTTGGGTCAGCGTTTCTGACTTCAGAGAGCTCGTCCCACCCATCATACTGCCTCTATAGATTTAAATGATTGATTCAGCGTAGTAGCCTGCCTTTAACTTGTCTCCATCCTTGTCTTTAAGCTTCTAACGTTCCATTCCAAAGAAGGGACTGAGGCCCACCTACCTGTGTGTCTTCAGCTTTACTATAAGCATTCTGAAACGAGAGGACCCCAGGTGAGACATCGCTGGAGATTACTATTTGGTCTTTATTTTGTCACAGTTGTTAAGTTTTTAACTTAGTTTTGTAGATTTGTTAATAATTGTGTATGTATATTTTTTTAAGGGCAATCAAGCAAGACTGAGTTCAGTTCCTCAGAAGGCAGAATTACAAATTAAATTAAATCCCGTGTGTTGTGAACTGGATATCAGTATTGTGGATAGGTTAAATTCCTTGCTTCAACCACAAAAACTCTCTACAGTAGAGATGATGGCCTCACACATGTATGCTTCATATAATAAACATATTAGTTTGGTAAGTATGTAGAAAGTTTGCTTATTGGGGTGTCTGAGAGGGTCCTAATAGATTAAATAGACTATAATAGAGCACTATTATTTATAATAGTAAATAGACACTTCTCCAAAGCCACAGAGAAACTCTTGTCTTGAAACAACCCCCCCAAAAAGGCACTTTAACAATATTTTTTATTTAGATTTTTAAAATTATTTTTATTTTTTGAGACAGTCTCTCCATAGCACTAACTATCCTGGAACTCACTGTGTAGACCAGGCTATCCTTGAACTCAGAGATCTGCCTGCCTCTGCCTCCTGAATGCTAGATGAAAGGCCTTCACTGCTGAGCCTGGCTTAGGAGTTATTCTTAAATTTCTCATGCAGTCCAACCTGAAACTTGATACGTAGCCAAGGGTGATTTTGAACTTTTGATCCTTCTGCCTCTACCTTCCTAGAGCTGGGGTCACAGTGTATGCCACCTAGCTGAATGGTGCTACTTCTTCAAACCAGGTAAGGTTTGGTAATTCTACTGGAAGACAATTTCCTGCTTCATTTTTAGCAGGGTGTGCTGCCTGGTATCAGCTGTGTGCAGAAGGCTCCTCAGGAAGAGTTAAATGGGAAGCAGAATGTCTTTCCATGCATACTTCTTTTTTTTTTTTTCACCTTCTGAGATGGCAGCTCAGGTTGGCCAGAAACTTGTGTTCACCCTGCCTTGGCCTTCCCAGTGGAAAACGTCCAGGCATGTGCCACTCTGTCTGACTTCCTTAGACTAATGTTAGAGCTAGACACGTGGAAAAGGTCCGTATGCAGACGAATGATGAGACACATCAATTGACAGTGGTTGGTTGTAGCACGATGGGATTAGACTTCTTTTTTTCTGGATTTTAGAGAATACCATAATATATTCGTGAAGTTTTCTTTCTTTTTTGTTTTTTGTTTTTTGTTTTTGTTTTTGTTTTTTTTTTTTCGAGACAAGGTTTCTCTGTGTAGCTTTGGAGCCTATACTGGCACTTGCTCTGTAGACCAGGCTGGCCTCTGATGTCACAGGGATCCCCCTGCCTCTGCCTTTGTATATGGCAGCAGCCATCTGAGTCCACACTAGGTCTTTAGGGCAGCCTAAAGTGGGCAAATTCTTCAAACTGAATTGAATACGGTAGTGATTTTAACCTTATTGGATTTGTTGGTAGGTTTATGGAAAGATATGTAGGGATCTATAGTGCCTGTCTTTATTTTTACTTACTTTTTTTTTAATGTTAAGATTTAGCTATTGCCCTAACAGTTACATGGGAAGCTTCACTATATGGTAGTAGCTTGCTTGAATTGCATAAGGATGCATTGATATATGTATGTGTGTGTGGGCGGGTTAGTGAGGGTATTTGCTGAAATGCTAAGCACTGGTGTGATGTATGTTTCAGCACAAGGCTTTCACTGAAGTGTTTCTAGATGACACGCACAGTCCTGCGAATCGTCGGGTGTCTGTACAAGTTGCCACCCCATCACTGCATCTTTCTGTCCGCTTTCCCATCCCTGATCTTCGGTCAGACCAGGAAAGAGGACCCTGGTTTAAGAAGTCACTTCAGAAGGAGACCCTCCATTTAGCATTCACAGATCTGGAGTCTAAGACGGAGTTTGTGGGAGGATCTACCCCAGAGCAGACTAAACTGGAACTGACATTTCGAGACCTCACTGGTAAGAATGAACGAGCGCACCTGTGGAGAGCAGACTACCTACAGCACTGCTCTCGACAGCACCCACGATGGCAAAGCTGGGACACTGGGAGAATAGGGCAGTAGCTTTCCCCAGAATGGTGTGGAGATGTAGCAGAGTTTAAACTAAAGGTGCAGCGAGCCAGTCGTGGTGACACACACCTTTAATCCCAACACTCGGGAGGCAGAGGCGGACAGATCTACATGATTCAGGCCAGCCTAGGCTACAGAGTGATTTCTAGGACAGCCAGGGCTCCACAGAGAAACCCTGTCTCGAAAAACCAACCAACCAAACAAGCGGCAGCACAATGATCTGCTTTGGTGGAGTTCTTATTTTCTGTAGGATGTAGTGTCAGCCTTTGCTTAGCATTGCTATCCACTTGGTGTGTGCTGATATAGGCCAGGCAGCCTGCATGCCTCTCTCTGCTGGGTCCTGTACTGAGCAGGTGTCAGGTACACCCTGTCATCTCCTTTAGTTGTCATTCCCACCATATGCTCAGTTTCCTGACCTTTGGGCTGAAGAGGATGTGGTAGTAAGGACCAGTCTGACACCAGAGCCTGTGTTCTCAGTCACCACACTTAACGCACTCCCGTGACATCTTTGTAAAACCTGACTAAGATCTGGTATATTCTGGGTCCCTGTGGGTTAGTGAGCAGGGTGTGTGGAAACTCTGCCCTTTTCTCTGCCTCTGCCCTCTGACACCAGTGAGGGTGCCCATACCCCCAGGTTTCAAAAGTTTCCCTTGTCTGTTCTGATCTCTGAGTTTGGCACTTGCCAGTTACAACTTCATGAGAGGATGTTTAAGAACACTCTGCCATCCCTTGGCTCTGTTGACATGAAGCTGTCTGATTTAGAGGAAAACTATGAAGGGTAGTGGGAAGCCAGTGTGGTTTAGTTGCTTTGCATGTACAGAGTGCACACCAGAGTGTACTTGTGTCTTTTACAGTGGCCAGCTTATGTTTGCAGTGCCATGCTGGGGACCAAGTTTAGGGCCCTATATGTTGAGCAATTGCTCTACCTCTGAGCTAGAGTTCTAAGCCATAAACTTTTCTTCTGTGAAGAAATAAGGCTGGAGAGATGGCTCAGTGGTTAATAAGAGAACTTGCTGTAAAACGATAAAGACCCAAGTTCGGATCCCAACACTCATATAAACAAGCTGAGCATGTTTACCCCCATCTGTATCTGAAACCATGAGGGTAGAAAGTGGTCTCTGGCTGGCTGTCAGCTTAGCCTCAAATAAAATGAAGTGTGAGTTCCTGCCTCAAAGGATTAAGATGGTGAGTGATGAAGCGGTTACTGATGCCTCAGATACACACAAAGAAATCATTATCAGTGCTCAGTAGGTAATGCCTGATATTTGCTATGTCATAATTATGTCTCTCACACACTTAATATTAGTCATTCTGCACATTCTGCCTAGCACAGGCCACTTTAAAGCAGGAACGAATGAATGTGTGCTGTATAGCGTGAGGGTGTGTGGATAACACCCTGGTTTGGAGGGTTCTGAATGGTCTGGTCTTCAGCATTTGAGGAGCACATTGCAGTAGTACCATCTCCATTCCTTAGGGTCATTCCAGGAGGAGAAGGGAGAGCCATCTGTCAAATTTTTCCATGTGTCTGGTGGAGTCGATGGAGACACAGCATCATCAGATGACTTTGACTGGCCACGGTAAGCAAATGCAGGGGTGTAATGGAATTTTCAAAAAGTCAGAGTTTCAGTTAGCCAAAAACACACTGCTAATGTCCTTCACTTATTTCCTTATTTGAGTTATATGCTGAGTTATGTATACACTGCCCGTTCATAAGTGGGTTACTACAGGCACGGGCTTTATAAGTCGGTCTGATTGTATTAACATTTCATCAGTATTCATTCTGTAAATCTACATGAAAGTAAAAATGTTGCTGTTTATACTTAGGTCTTGATTTTTCAAATCATCTTTTCTATCAGAATGGTACTGAAAATAAATCCACCAGCCATGCATTCCATTTTGGAGAGAATAGCAGCTGAAGAGGAGGAAGAGAACGATGGGCACTACCAGGAAGAGGAGGAAGGAGGGGCTCATTCCCTGAAAGATGTCTGTGATCTGAGACGACCAGCCCCGTCTCCCTTTTCTTCTCGTAGAGTGATGTTTGAGAATGAGCAGGTAAGAGAGTGGTGAACCCTGCAGGGTGATTATCCCAGCCACAGAGAGGGGCTTCCTTCCCCCTCCTTCCCCCTCCTTCCCCCTCCCCTTCCTTCCTTTTCTCTTTGTGTCTCAGGCTAGTGTTGAACTTGTGATTCTTTTGCCTCATTCTCTGGGTTTTGGGATTACAGGCCTGTGCTACTATACTTGGCTAGTTCTTTGTTTTTGAAAGAATACTGTAATCTTAGCACATGGGAGGTGGAGGCAGGAGGATTGCAAGTTTGAAGCTAGATTGGGAGATATCACAAAACCCTGTTGAACAAACAATAGTAACACCACCAGCAAGAAACAAAAATAATGGATAGCAATAATAACAAAAATATCCATGTGTTCCTTTTTTCCAAGACAGGGTTTCTTTGTAGCTTTGGGACCTGTCCTGGAACTTCACTTTATAGACCAGGCTGGCCTCAAGCTCACATAGGTCCACCTGCCTCTGCCTCCTGAGTTCGGGATTAAAGGTGTGCGCCACCACTACCTGGCCCTGTGTTCTTTTACTAGAGATTGTTATCTATTTTTCTTGATGTATATTCTCCCTAGTTAAAGATTAGGTTTATTTATTGCTCACATGGTAACTGTAATAATAGTTTTTTTTAAAAAAACGCTGCTACTGTTTTAAATGCAGGCTGCTTCTTTGGTGCTGTTCCTCACTCTAAACTATTGTTTTAGATGGTGATGCCGGGAGACCCTGTTGAGATGACAGAGTTTCAGGATAAAGCCATCAGCAATTCTCGCTATGTGCTGGAACTCCTGCTGCCGAATATTCACATGACTCTGCCCAGTAAAAGCTTTTATGAGAAGCTGTATAACAGGTGCGTGTGAAGCACTTGGCTGCCTCCAAGCGCTCCTGCTTTAGTTGTCTGCTCTGCTATTCTTCTACATGCTTCTACATGTTGTTACTTTGTGTGCTGCTGTTGTAGTTGTGTGTCCCAAACTCTGCTTGGTGCCTGTTGTGAAAACGATGGTAACACCGCCATCAAGAACTCCCGAACAGCCAGGTGTTGTGGTGTATGCCTTTAATCCCATCACTCAGGAGGCAGGCGGATCTTTGAATTTGAGGCCAGCCTGGTCTACAAAGTGAGTTCCAGGACGGCCAGGGCTACACAGAAACCCTGTCAAAAAAACAACAGAAACAAACAAACAAACAAAAAACAAACTCCCAAACAGCAGTGACAACAAAAATATTTCACATATTGTTTGTACTAGTTTGTAACCCCAAGCTTGATTAACAGCTGTTTTTTCTTGATGTATATTCTTTTGGGTTGCCGGAGTATGGAATGCTTACTCTTCCAGTCTGCAGCTGCCCACTGGCTGTGTCATTGAGCTGCACAGGGCTGAGAAATGCTGTTTTTCTATGCATGCAATGGCATGAAGAGTGTTAGAGTTGAATAGCAGGCCAGCATGTACTGGTGTAGAGTTAGGTTCTCAGAGTCACTGTATGGAAAGTGTTTCTTCAGAAGGCAACTAGTTAGGCTTTTTCAATTTTGCCTATATATTTTGTAAACAAAAATTTTGATTTATTGTGTTTCAATACTCCAACATACCTACCCAGCAAATACAATGAGATGGAACTCTGGGTCATACACTTTGATGACTTCAGTAGCCTCTGTCAGCTGTGCTCACAACCAAAAGTATAAGAACAGTGTCTGGCCTGTGGTGAGCTCCTGGCTGTATTGTGTTACTGTTACAGTTTCTGCTCTTGAAGGACTCTGAGAACAAAAAGGAAGTGCTTAGCTTCATCATCTCCAGCTTCCACCGCAAACAAGCTCTCATTCCCTTGTCTTCAGAGACTGTCCACTGTTGCTTCTGCAGTGGGCTTCTTGCTGTCTGGTTGCCCTTGGTGCTAAGGCTTAGGGTTCCTGGGTCTCCCCACTGACTGTGGTTGTAAGTTGAATATACTGAGGTACACGTTAGTTAAGCAGACAGGACAGGATTTCACACACCAGGTTATTGGGACATAGGAAGAAAATATTAGCACTGTAAGTAAGGTTTTGTTTTTTATTAGAGTGTGTGCATATGTGTGTCTGCGTGTGTGTCTGTGTGTGAGTGTCTATGTGTGTGAGTCTGTGTGTGTGTGTGTGTGTGTGTTTGTACACAGCTTGTGGAGGCTGGAAGACAACTCTGGGGGTTGGCTCTCCTTCTACCACGTGGGTCTTGAACTCAGGTTGGGATTGGTGGCAAGTGTGTTTGTCTGCTGAGCCATCTCACCAGCCCTGCTTATTTATTTTTTTAAAGAACAGCAAACTTCTTTTAAACTGAGTATGGTGGCATACTCTGGTAATCCCAGTCTAGGAAGGCCAAGGCAGGAGGATCATGATTTCAAAGCCAGGGCTTCCTGATAAGATTCTGTTTCACAATAAAACAGCCAACCAAAGACTGTTCAGACCCAAATATAAACAAGGAAAGCATAGGAACACAGGAAGGAGAAACTCACAGAGCGTGTGCCATAAGCTGCGGCAGGAAGTGTGACAAAAGAGCCCTTCCTTCGCCTTCTTTCTTCGCAGTGACTGGATTCATATTCCTTGGCTTCCATATCCTATAATAGATGATAATGGTGGGGACATAGCTGTCAGTGCGTCTCAGGTGCCATCCTTCAGTGCTGTGTCCCTGGCATCTCACCACACCTCTTCCCACTGTGAGTCAAGATGCTCAGTGCTGCCTCCTTCCTCCAGAGTCTGAAGCTCTGCAGCTGGCTCCCTCTAGGGGGGAGCGAGGGAAGGCTGCCCCTTTTCTTGGCACCCTGACTGGTATTCACACTGGACTTTACAGTCCTCCCATGAGCCATCAGCTTGTCTTTTCCTCGCCAACTGCACGCTCTGTGACAGCCGCTCATCTGTGCACAGGCTGAGATGATTAGGCACAAGTTCCTCTCAGGGCAGCGGTGCTGGCATCCAGGAGGCGTCCAGCATTACAGGTGCTGTGATGGAGACAGATGAGGTGAAGGAGGTGTGGTGGCGCAAACCTAGAGAAGGCTGGGCAATTGCAGTTTTCATGAAGCTGGGCAGAAGGACGTCTTTGTAGTAGCGAGCATTTACTGAAGAGGCAGCACACAGCCCGGGCCTAGCTATGGCTCTTCTAGTGTGTTCTTTAGGGGGGAGACGTCTCTTTCTCTTTTTGTGGTCAGCATTCACCCCATTTCTTCTTCCCAGGGAAGCTGAGCTGTCTGTTGGGAAAAAGCTATCTCAGTTACTAGTCTAGACAAAAGATTGAGTTGAGAGCCAGGCCTGATCTTAACTGTTGTACCAGCTTTTCTCCTTGGCGCTGTGGCCTTGGCAGATCACTTAGCTTTATGTGACGACTTCTCCACGGGTAAAGTGGGAGTAGTGATTCTCCCGTCTGTCCCTGGGAATGTGAGAAGGACTGCTGAGAGGGTCTCTATGGCGCTTTAACATCCTTCCTGTCATTTGGGAGGTGGGTTTTTGTTTGTTTTATTGGGGGGAGCAGGGTCTCATACAGCTCTGGCTGTTTGGGAACTTGCTGTGTAGACCAGGCTAGCCACAGACTGCTTTTTCCCTTTAAGATTAATGGCATGCTTCACTACACATGACTATGAATTTTTATCATTAATTAGCTTCCTCCTCTGAAGTACACTTAGAGGTATGATTAGAACTTTGAGTGTAGTAACGTGGCTGATAGGAGGCTGGTGTCTGGTTGGGTGTCTAATCTCGGATCCCTTTCCCTGGTCTTGCTTTGTAACCATGTCACTTGTGTTCCCTTTGACAGACAGCACATATTCCTTGCTTTAAAAACTCCTTCATGGGATCATTTTCCATTTCCACATTTCAAACCAGTAAGGACACATGATCCTGTAAAGGGTTCTCAGCCTGTCTTCACCTTGGAAGATTCCTGTTCATTTTGTACTTTGTGTTTCTAGGATCTTTAATGACTTGCTTCTCTGGGAGCCAACAGCTCCTTCACCAGTGGAGACACTTGAGAATATTTCCTATGGCATCGGCCTCTCGGTAGCCAGTCAGCTGATAAACACCTTCAACAAAGACAGCTTCAGTCCCTTTAAATCTGCAGTTCATTATGGTAATGTACTTTACCTTTGTTGTAGTATAAAGTGCCTCATTTATAAATTAACAGAGTAGTAGCACGTTTTGAAATTCACCTGAGAGGCCCATGTCCCTGTCATCTATCCTCTGTAAAAGTGCAAAGTACTGTTGTGATCATTTTTAAGCTGCTGTCCTGCCTAGCTGTCGGAATCTGTAATAGTAGGTCTTTTCCCTGCGTAGATGAAGACAGTGGATCTGAAGAAGAGACTTTGCAGTATTTTTCTGCTGTTGATCCCAACTATCGTTCCCGTAGGAAAAAAAAGTTGGACTCTCAGAACAAGAACTCTCAGAGTTTCCTCTCAGTTCTTCTGAATATCAATCATGGATTAATGGCAGTGTTCACAGATGTAAAGGTGCGTCTACACAGTCTGCTGCAGTGAAGTGGGGGAGGTGGTGTCAGTGCTGGTGGGGTGGGGCGGAGTGGTGGGGAGGGGAGCAGTATTCTGAGATGCCAGAGAACACACTCGTTTGGGAGCTAGCTTCAGTTGCTGATCTAAGACTGTGTGGCCTCCCTTTGGAAAGCATGTACTGATTTTTCCAGTGAGGGCGTTAGCTATAGCTGTTTTCCTTCTCATTTGAAAAGCAAGTAAAACACAGGCATTTGTTACAGAGGACTCGGGCACCACATACATCACTCAGGGTTTAGTCCCACTGTACTGACTAGGTCCAGAATTAGACTGTTCTTTGTGGGATGGGAGATTTTTCTCAGTTAGGTTCACAATGAGCATGCCAAGAAGCATTCCTCCTTTCTGCATTTAAGCCATGGTTGCTGGGGCCTGCAGCTCAGTGTAGGAGCCCATTTACTGTGTGCAGAGTTCTAGGTACAATCCCAGTACTGGAAGTTAGAAGGGGAAAAGGTAACTTGTGATTTTTCCCCCCGTCCTGGTCTTTTTGTTAGCAAGATAATGGAGAGCTGATGGAAAATAAGCATGGTGAATTCTGGTTAGAATTCAACAGTGGCTCATTATTCTGTGTGACAAAATATGAAGGTTTTGATGACAAGCATTACATCTGCCTGCATTCCAGCAGCCTCAGTCTGTACCACAAAGGTAGGACACTTGTGTGTTATCATCTCTTCTGTTTAGTGATTGAATTCCTATTTGATAAAGACAGCCTGTTGAATACAACTTTGATGTGAGAAATTGTTTTCTGTTTGGAGTTCTGGTTCTATTGCCAAAATCATACTTACAGATTAAAACCTGTTGTTTGGAGACAAGGTCTCACTATGCAGCCAACACTGGTCCTGAACCTGAGATTCAACTCAGCTTCCCAAGTTCTAGGACTGTGGGTATGCACTACGACATCTGACTAAAATTAACCAAATCTTGAATGGCTGTCTGAATTACCCTGTGAATAGGCACAAAAATAGGAAAATAAGCATTTTAGAATCTTAATTTTTATTTTGACTTTCTTGTAAGTTTCTGCTCTCAGATATATGTACCAACATTGACAAAAAGAAGTAGGCTACCCCTGGCCATTGTGCCTCCAGAACCATGTTGGTTCTGTGGGGATCTCTGCAAACACCATGACCACCAGAGTAACTATCTGCAAAAGTCTCAAAGGACATCCAGTTCAACATGACTCAGTAGTGTTGTTGGTTCAAGCTTCTAGAGTCTGACACTGGCAGTTTATTTTAAACACTTAAGCATAGTACAGTTTGGAAAAATTACTAGTGTAACACAATCCTGTGTGCATGATAAAGATTAAAGCATAATTTTATTGAAACTTTTTAAAGTACGTGCCACCTCTTCAATGAAAATGGGTTCTTTAAATAAACAATAAATGTCATAAAGGCCTGGGGAAGTCACCAAACTATTAACATTTATTTCCAGCCTTCTGGTCAGAAAATAGGTAAAACATCTGTTCCTTTGGAGAGATAACCCTGAGTAACGCTCCTGGTTTCCCTAGTGCTTATCTGTGAGCACAAGGACCTCTGTGTCTCCAATAAGGCTCAAAGGAGTATAGGCTGTCCTGGAAATCCTTTTAGAAATGCTCTACATCTGAGATGTCTCAGTAACAGTGTACTGCCTCAAGTAGACATTCTGTACCTGACATCTTGAGATGGGGCACTGTCAAACATAGTGTGAATGAAAACATAGTATGAATGACCTTGAACCTGCTGCCTGAAGAGTACACAATACAAGAATGGATCATGTTCAGAGCTGTGTTCCCTTCCTAATACCTCATTTAGTAGATGTAACTGTCCTTCACAAAATCCCAATACCTCCTGTTCTGAGCATTCTGAATAAAGCAGACTCAGCCTGCACAGAGTTTGCTTTGAGTTGTGAAAGTCAAAACAATTACACAACTATTTTGTTGGTATTTTTATCTCAATGTGTATCTAGGCATAGTAGATGGAGCCATTCTTCCTACAGAGGCGCGGCTGCCCAATTCAACCCGCCCACATTGGTTGGAACCTACAATTTATTCCTCTGGAGAAGATGGCCTCAACCGAGCTGCCTCTGACGGTGTTGGGGGAGACAATTTGAATATGCTCTCAGTGGCAGTTAAGATACTGTCCGATAAATCAGAGTCCAATACCAAGGTGTGTGCCTTATACTGTTAGTGCTCCTTTTGATCTGATTGCTAGCTAACATGACTGTTCTAAGTGGCAGCACCCCAGTTGGGGATTCCATGGATTAATGTGGTTCCTTGTGTTTCCTGTGGTGCAGGAGTTCCTTGTGGCTGTGGGGCTGAAAGGAGCAACTCTGCAGCACCGAATGCTGCCCACCGGACTCAGTTGGCATGAGCAAGTAAGAGCTGTCACTTCTCTCATGTTCTTCTAACAGGGTTCACAAGTCATGAATGTTCACCTTGAGAAACTATGATGAGCACACACTGTGTAGCTGTGTCTTCCTTAAGAAATAGACTCCTCTCCCAGAAAGTAGGTGACTTTTTCCTTGAAGTACAGTCCCTATAACTTCTCAACGACAGTGTCATTTAAGAAAAGAAAGGTCTGTGGAATGTCCAGCCTGGAGGAGCTGCCAGTTGAGTGTTGACAACCAGAAGCTCTTTAAGGGCCTAATGTCCCCCGGCCATTGCATCAGAATTTCTGCAATTAATGTTCAGTTGAATCTTCCTTATAGAGTAGAGTTAGGGTTTGAAATGTTCTTTCTTCTTGTCTGTTTCTCTGAATACTTGCCTACCTATTACTTATTTATTTACTTATTTCCTATGTCTGGAACCAAACCCAGGGCTTCATGCTGAGTGCTCTACTGCTCATTGAAATGTTTTTCTAAATTTTTTTTTTTGCTACTTTGTGTGTGTGTGTGTGTGTGTGTGTGTGTGTGTGTGTGTGTGTGTATGGGCGGGTGTGGTACCCTTGTGTGCACATACCACAGTGTTTTTGTGGAAGTTAGAGGACAACTTTCAGGTGTTGATTCTCTTCTGGGGAGCAAACTTAGCTCCATCAGGCTTGACCTTTACCCACTAGACTGTCTTTGTTGGCCCTGGCATGCATTTATAAAGGTGCTGTGGCTGTTTTTCTCTGAGTAAGAACTGCAGGTGAGAAGCTGACTTTGAGCAGGATACTACCTGTTCTTTATCAGGACTGGGTCTTGTGCTGCTTTTTCTCCATGGAATGTTTTAAAAATGCTCTTCTCATGAAACTGTTTAGAGAATGTGGTGACTAACTGAGTGTCAAACACACGCAGGCACACACGCGCAGGCACACACGCGCAGGCACACACACACGCAGGCACACACACATGCAGGCACACACACACGCAGGCACACACACACGCAGGCACACACACACGCAGGCACACACACACGCAGGCACACACACACGCAGGCACACACACACGCAGGCACACACACACGCAGGCACACACACACGCAGGCACACACACACGCAGGCACACACACACGCAGGCACACACACACGCAGGCACACACACACACGCAGGCACACACACACGCAGGCACACACACACGCAGGCACACACACACGCAGGCACACACACACGCAGGCACACACACACGCAGGCACACACACACGCAGGCACACACACACACGCAGGCACACACACACACGCAGGCATACACACACACACACACACGCAGGCATACACCCACATGCACACACACACACACTGCCTAGGGAGTGACTCAACCTAGCTTTCAGACTGAGCAACATATAAATTAAAGAAAAAGAACTTGTTGATTTCTATTTAAAAAAGGAAAACAAAAACCAAACCAAAACAAACCCAACAATAACTAGGTTCTTCTACCTTTTCCCGCACTGGGTTACTTAGGAAACAGAGATGCCCCTCCAACTCAGAGCCTCCAGCATGCTAAGCAAGTGTTCTACCACTGAGCTACATGGCCACTGCTTTCCACCCCCTTTTCTCCTTTTTCTTCCCCTTTCCTTTCTTCTCCTTCCCTCCTTTCTCCCTTTCCTTTTTGTATTTTGAGAAGGGTCTTGCTAAGTAGTAGTCCTTGACTAACTTAGGACTTTTTTATCCTTTTGCATCGGCCTCCCAGGTATCTAAGATTACAGGCATGCGTATCCATACCTCATGGAAACCAGATTTTTAAAATAGTCTTTAACAAAATTAGTTTCAAGAATTGTTCTTAGCAATATGTCAGTTGTATTAGGTATACTTTTTAAAAATTTAATTTCTTAAGATAGGACTTTCTCCCATCCAAGCATAAAGTACTAAGCAGTTCAGCCCTGCTTTACCTTCCAAGATCACAGCCGACTGAATGTGTTTAGGGTGGTATGGTCATAAATGTAAGGCGGGGTTTTCTAAGGTGTCTGTGGCATTCAGTTATTGGATGTGACTCTTCATTTCAAGTCCCAGTTCAGCAAGTACTTTAGCATTTTAATTGTGTTATTTAAGGGACACAGCACCAGGCTGTGATAAACATGCACACAGAGAGAGGATTACTGTAGGCAACTCAGTGCATCTCTCTCCTTCCATGGCCTCCCTGGTGTGAGTGCAAATGCTTTTGGAATGAATCCCTTCAGAATGGCTGTATTTTTTTGTAGCATCCTAAGTTGCTTTGTTATATACTTGTTAAATATATTCAAGCAAAATGTCGTTTCCTCTGAAGTATTTGTTTTTGTGATTACAGATTTTAAACTTCTTAAATATTGCTGATGAACCTGTATTGGGATATAACCCTCCAACTTCATTTACAACTTTTCATGTTCATCTTTGGAGCTGTGCACTTGATTACAGGTGAGTCCAAGAATGGAACAAAGTAGAGTTTTATTTGAAAAACACCAATTTTAGAGTCACAGAGCCTGATTACCTGAGTCATTCCCTGGAACCCACAGCATAGAAGAGAAGAACCAGTCCTCTCAAGTTGTCCTCTGTCTTCCATATAGGCACCATAGAAAAGCACACTATGTATAAATAAGTAAAGTGTACTAAAAATTAAAACATGCTGGACAGTGGTGTGCTCTCCTTTAATCCTAGCACTTGAGAGGCAGAAGCAGGCAGGTCTCTGTGAGTTCCAGGACAGTCAGGGCTACACAGAGAATCCCTGTTTCAAAAAACAGGGAAGAAATAAAAATTAAACATGTTTTAACAACACACTAATTTTTGAAAAGTACATAATTCTGCCTAGTGTGGTGTTGTACACCTACAATTTCAACACTCATAAGACTGAATATTTGGTCAGGTGTTGGTGGCTCACGCCTTTAATCCTAGCACTCGGGAGTCAGAGGAGGCAGGCAGATCTCTATGAGTTCGAGGCTAGCCTGGTCTACGGAATGAGTTCCAGGATAGGCTCTGAAACAATACAGAGAAACCCTGTCTCAACCCCCCCCCCCCCAAAATAAAAATAAAAAGACTGAACATTTTTTTTTTTAAGACTGAACATTTGAAATCAGTTTGAGTTACACAGTGAGATCCTGTCTCCAAAAAACCTAACCAAACAAAACAAAACCCTCCAATAGTCCCACAATTGAGTAGTTGTGTTTGGAGGTGTGTTTTGAAGAGTCCTGTTGCTAATCTGTTGCTTCTGTTTGCCGCCAGGCCCCTTCACCTGCCAATTCGATCCCTTCTTACTGTTGAGACGTTCAGCATTTCTAGCAGCGTTGCCTTGGATAAATCTTCCTCCACCCTCAGGTATCTGTGAACTCATCCTGCACCCACAGCTGGTCAGATGCATCCTCTCATTGTTGTGTTTCAGTTAGGGAAGGGATTTATCCCTGAGATTCTCAGGTGACTTTTTAGGTCAACTTCCCAGTGCCAGATGTGTGTTGTCTTTGAAATGGAAATATTTTAGATCGGGGCAGCTGTTGAAACAAATAAGCAACCTGCCCCGAAAGCCTAGATCCTGTTGTGTTGGCACTTTGATGTGTTTTGGGTCCCACTCAAGTTTGGGGCGAGGTACATGGCGTGTTGATGGTGCTGTGCACATGCTCAGAGCTTAGTGTTTCAGATGCAGTGTCATCTCTTCCCCAGAATCATCATGGATGAGGCTGCTTTACACCTGTCTGACAAGTGTAACACTGTCACTATAAACCTGAATAGAGGTGAGTTCAAAACTGTGTGCGTGCGTGTGTGTGTGTTTATGCAGTAAAGCAGTTTAAGTGAGAAGTGGTATTGGGAAGCTGGATTCTTGTTGGGGAACCTTTAATGGATGTTCATGTGTGTAGTGATTGCAAGCTATGTTTAGAGTTTAGGTGAGACTGGCTTTTCAGTTGAGGGTGAAAGGTTCTTATGGTATTAGCTGTGTTTTCCTTCGTGCTCTAAATATCTATTTAATACTTAGTCTTTTATTCTAGCAAAATCTAGGGGAGGTGTCAGGTGAGGTCATGGTGAGACTGTTGGATGGGTCTGTCTGTATCCTCTCACACTACAAATCCTAGTGCTGTCTGCAGTGAACTTTGAACAGAGATTGCTTTTGTTAGATAGATGTTGGTTGGATAAGCAGTTTAAAAACCTACAATAAGTATTGTATTAAATTATAGATTATGTTCGTGTGATGGACATGGGACTTTTAGAGCTCACCATAACTGCAATGAAGTCAGAGTCTGATGGAGAACAGGTCAGTTAAAATAAGTGGAAATTTTTATTTAAGTCCTATTCTTAAGATATAAAAAACAGATTGTCTTGGAATATGTTTTTCTTTTCGCTCAATTTTGGTTAAAATATTTGAAAACTAGAATTGATTTAAGACTTCATGTGACAAAACAAATGAGTATATGTTCTATTTAATTTATTTATATGTATGAAGGTTTTGTCTGCATATATATATATGTGTGCACTATGCATGCCTGGTACCTGCAAATATCAGAAGATGGTATCAGATCTCTGGAACTGGAGTTACAGACAATTGTGAGTCACTGTGGGTGCTGGGAATTGAACTCAGGTCCTCTGAAGTAGCAACAAGTGCTCATAAACTCTGACCCATGTCTCTAGCCCATGAGTGTATATTTTAGTTCCTGTGACTCTGTAAAGTTTTAGACAAGAATGTCTAAAAAGAATGTTTGTTGCCAGGCTGTGCTGGCACACATCTTTAGTCCCAGCACTTGGGAGGTAGAGGCAGGTTCCAGGACAGTCAGGACTGTTGCATAGAGAAACCTTGTCTTGGGAAAAAAAAACAACCAGAATAAATAAATAAACAAACAAACAAACAAACAGAGTGTTTGTCATTTTCCCCTGTGCCCTGTCCAGACCGAGCCCCGCTTTGAGTTGCACTGTTCCAGTGACGTTGTCCACATCAGAACGTGTTCAGACTCATGCGCTGCGCTGATGAATCTCATTCAGTATGTTGCAAGTTACGGGGACTTACATGCACCTAACAAAGCAGAAATGAAGCCTGGAGTCTCACAGAGAAAGCCAAAGGTACAGGCAAGGTGATTCCCCTATCTCACTGACATCACTTAGTGAGAGCAACGGGTCTGGAAAGGTGATTTCTGGCCCTCTCTGAAAAGCCGTTCTACTGTTTGCTCTGTTTTAGAATATTAATCTCAACCAATATAGTACTTTTCAGATTTCTGTTGTTTTCACCTCTTCTTAGGGAAGAGCACAAGCTGTGTCTAAATGCTGCAAGCAGCCAGTGGCAGACGCTGCCACCCAAAGACTCACTTGTATGCTAGTGCTTCCACCGGCTCTCTGTGATACTCTGTTAACTTTCCATGGGCTTCCGCTCCCTCCACCACAGCCCAGCGAGGGGAGGCTAAAGGTTGTCTTTTGTGGTTAGAGCTAGATCGCTTGGGTGACTTCCCTAGTCGGCAAGAGGACCAGAACAGGTGTCCCCATCCCAGTCCCCAGATCATTGCTTTCTTATGCTGCGAGTGTCCCCTTTCCATGTCCTGTGCCCAGCGTGAGCGGTGTCCTGTTTGTTTTGGTGTTTTATCTTGCAGTGCTGTTCTTCACAGGCTTCTCCTTAGGGTAGGGCCCTCAGGACTTACTCAGATGGGTCAGCTCTGTTAGCGAGGGTCTGACTGGCATCACGTGCCTCTTATGTCCTTGTGCTCTTCCTTTCTGTCCCTTGTGCTCCACTGGTACTGAGGTGACCAAAGATGCTCCCCTGCTGTTTCCTCTCCATCCTGAAAGACACTCCGGTTCATCAGAGATGCTGTCGATTTGTGTCTTTCCAGTTCAGAGCAGTGTTCACAATTTGGGGAGCACGGCTTGGGTTTGCTGGATCTGTGGTTTACTAACCAAAACGGTGAATGGTGGTACTAGAGCTGAACCCTGAGAGTGAACCACCATTCAGATTTTCTCCCGCTTATCCCCACTGCCCTCCAGAGTCCAAGAAAGGAGGCCCTGACCTACCGGGGCAGCATACGGTTTGAGCCCGGTCAGACTTTCTCAATGAGCCCCCGCTGCACAGCACGGTTTTCAGCCCCTCCCATCACCTTTGCAGGGTCCTGGTTCTCTGTGTCTGCACCTGAGCTGAGTTCTTGTCTGTTTGTACTTTTTGGTAGCTCTTGAGGTGCTAATGATTACGTTAAAACGTGCCTGCTGGTCAGAGTGTAGGCAGTGAGCATGGACCTGCTTCTATTGCTGGTGAGGTGCAGTGACTCCAAGCAAGGATGTGGTCAGCAAGCAGTTCTCACTGGCCTGTCTTCTGCTCCCGTGCAGTGACTCAGTGACTTGACTTCTTCTCTGGAAAAAGTGTTTTCGGATGGGTCTTTCTTTGAGAAATGTCTCACTTTGTTTCCCAGGCTGGCCTTATGCACTTGGATCCCAGTGGTCCTTTTGCTTCCTCTTTCAAGTAGCTGAGAGTACAGCACACCCCACTGTACCAAGCTTTAGCTATTTTTATCTCGGCCTTTTGCTTGTAGGTAGATTCCAGTGGTCGACCCTCTTCGCGTGGTCCGGTGCTTCCTGAAGCTGACCAGCAGATCTTACGGGACCTGATGAGTGATGCCATGGAGGAGATTGACGTGCAGCAGGCCTCTCCTCCTGTGGGACCACAGACTAATGGTGAGAAGGGCTTTCCTGGGAGCACTGAGGCTACCAAGTGTCACATTATTTGTGTTCTTCTGATATTTTCAGTAAGAAAATCCCTAACGTTCATCTGGATCTGTACTAGCCAGTTAGCTTGTCTCTACTGTCTATTGGGAGTACAAGCTGTCAGGAGATGGGCACTACTGATTGGAGTGACTGAGAAATGACACAAGAAAATACTCTGGAATCTGGACTGGAAGTTTCATGACTCTAGTGAAAGCAGGATTGTAAATGGAGTTCTCAATTGTTCTAAATAATAAAAACCCAGTGTCAGATATAGAGGAAAATGCTGAGAGATCAGAGAGAAGGAGCAAGCCAAAGCCACCTTTACCATATTAGCTTCCCAGTGGAAAAGAGAGCGAGTTCCTGTTTCTCCCTGCTTATATCCTCTCTCCACTCAGCCATCTCACTTCCTGTCTGTCTGTACAGACCTCCGGACCTCTGTGGTTAGCTAGTGGCAAGCTTCAGCCTCTCATCTTCAGACAGATTTATTTGTACAAGCAGGGTATCACCACACAGGACTAGTAGCTGTGTGGGGTGCATGAGTGGAAGGTCATAGGTCTGTCTGCATTAGCATACAGAGGAAGGCGGCAGGTGTGAGCTGTAGATACTTACCTAGCTGTGACTTAGAGCACAAGTTCCCATCTGACTGAAAAGAGTTAAACAATAAAGTTGGATAAGCAGAAAGGGACCACATGAAAGCCAAATGGAAGCATTCAACTATCTTGAAGCATTTGTTTCAAAACAATTTTTCTGATTGGACGAACATAGTTATTTCTTTGTTTTGTTTTGATACAGGGTCTCTTTATATAACCCTGACTGTCCTGGAACTTACTATGTTGACCAGGCTGACCACGAACTCGCAGAGATCAGACTGCCTCTACCTCTTGAGTGCTGGGATTAAAGGCGTGTGCCACAATGCCTGGTGGAGGACATAGTTACTTCTAAATTCTGTAAACCTTAATTTTAAAATAATACTTGATGGAGCTGGGAAAGGTGGTGCATGCATAAGATCCCAATACATGGGTGATAGAAGTTGTGCCAAGAGTTTAAGGACAGATTTGTCTATACATAGTTGAGTATAGGGCTAGCCTGGGCTCCGTGCATCCTGAGAAAAATCCATGGTATTATGAAACATTTATCATGAAATGTTGCATTCATTGTAATTTGAGATAACTTAGTGTTTCCTGTGCATTAAATAGCAGCAGCTGGCCTGAGTGGAAAGGGACCCTGATTGCATATTGTACACGAGTCTTCAGTAAGCACTAGACACTGATGACAGCTTGGCCTGCAGTGCTGTTGACAGTGTTTCAATGCTTGTCTGAGACAGTCTTCAGGCCAAAACACTCTTATGCGTTTTTGTGTTCTTTGCCCCTATCAGTATTTGGTTTGAATAAGTGGAGAAAGAATGGATAACTCTACTGCATAGTATAAAATGTTCGTGTACAGATTTTTGGTCCACATAGTATCATCTGTGAATTTCATTTTAAGAGAGCTACGTGAGAAAAAGTGTCCAGCATAGGCTTCTGGAGCCCTGGAATTAGCTTGGCCACTCTCCCCACCCCTTCCCTAAGCAGAGACTCCTGTAGCTTTGTTTGGGTGAGGGTCTGCTGGCTTTTTCCTTTCCTTTGCAGTGTTGCCCAAGACATTTCCAAGATTGAACTCTATGGACGTTTGTCAGTTTCTTCCACCTGAAAAACAGAGTCTTGAGCAAAGTCAAACCCCAGTTAATGGGAACAGATCATTGTTGAATTCTTGAGTTTCACTTACACCAAATAACTGGGAAGGAACTGTCCCCTCCTAGAGAACCCCGAGTTGATTTTGAGTCACTTGTTTGTGCTTTGTGGCATTTCTGTTTCTTGCTAAGGTGTTTGTGTTACTTCAGCCCTCCCTAAGCCTCAGACTCAGAGTTGTGATAAGAAGTAGAGAAGGTTTTGTAGGCTGAAGCCCTGAGCATCCTGTGTCTGACCTGCAGACAAGAGGCTGTTGCCAGATGTTTCTGTCTTTCTGTCTAGGTGTCCCGGATGAAAAGTCGCACACTCAGGAGCCATGCTGTTCAGACCTCTTCCTGTTCCCAGACGAGAGTGGGAATGTGTCCCAGGAGCCTAGCCCTGCTTATGCCTCCCTCCCTCACCACTTGATTAGTGACACAATGACAGGCGCACCCACTGAAAATGATGACTTTTGTATTCTTTTTGCACCAAAAGCAGCCATCCAGGTAATAATTGATAGCACAATTGAAACTTTAAAATAGTGTTACAAAGGGCATCTGAAGGTCTTTTGAGTCTGCAACTCTTCCTACTTCAAAATTCCATCATCACGTAGTTGACGTGCGTGCTTTGTAAATGGTCACTACACTTCCTTATGCTCCAGTTAGTGAAGTGCAGGTGCTGAGTGGAAGGGTAGTTTAATCAAACGACAGGAAGATGAGCTGCAGAATAGCTAGTGTAAGCTCTGGGAGGGCTGGGATGTCTGTGAAGACTGACAGGGGTTCAGATGAGTGCGCACACATGAAACAGCCTAGTCGTGCCTTCATAGGTGACTATAGGCTCTGAGAACTTTCTGATTAAAAAAAAACACCAAATATCAAAGCAGTTGAACTCAGGATAAGCCTGTAATTAGAAACATAATTTGATTAGTATATACAAATTTGTCAGGTTTTGGTTTAGAATGCAGTATGACTTTAAACTAATAACATACACACTATCATTCAATCAGTTTGTGCTTTCTTTTATTTTTTCTTTCAAGACAGAGTTTCTCTGTGTACTTCAGAGCTTGTCCTGTAACTCACTTTGTAGACGAGGCTGGTCTCAAACTCACAGGATCTGCCTGCCTTTGCCTCCCAAGTGCTGGGTTTAAAGGCATGAGCCTCTACCACCTAGTTTTCAATCTGTGTAATTTCAGTTATCAAATAGTAAAAGCCACATTAGAAAGTTTAGACATTGTTTGTGAGGTGATTTTTATAGGACGGATTTTATTTTTATCAAAAAAGTACAATATATTACTTGATGATTAATGTCAGAAATTATTATCCAAGCTGGATATGGTGGTGCATACCTGTAATCCGAGGCCTTGGGAGACAGGAGATTGCTATAAATTCAAGGCCAACGTCAGCTATTTAATGAGTTTCACACCAATCAGAGATACAGTATGAGACTCCATTTCAAAGACAGTAAATTATTACACTGTTTTATATATTGAAACTACTGAAAAGAGTGTAGACTCCAGAAAGCCAGTTGGTCTGTGAGGCACCATTTGTTGTTTGTGGTGGGTGAGAGCGCCATCTCTTGGTGGTTTCAGGAGAAGGAAGAAGAGCCCGTGATAAAGATCATGGTTGACGATGCGATTGTGATACGAGATGACTATTTCAGTCTGCCCATTACAAGGACAGATAGCAGCAAAGCCCCGCTCCACCTTCCCGTCCCTGCCATTCGCTATGCTGTTAAGGAAGTGTCTCTGGTGTGGCATCTCTATGGAGGCAAGGACTTTGCAACAGTTCCTCCTACTTCTCCAGCTAAGAGTTACAGGTAAGTTCATTTGATGGCTCAATATAACTGTCCATAGAAAAACACATGGCATTTATCTTTTTTTCATAAGATTTATTATGGGTGTTTTACAGGGATGGATGTCTGTGCTTACAGAGGCCAGCAAAGGCCATTGCATACCCTGGAACTGGGGTTACAGACCATTGTTAGTTTTCATGTGGGTGCTGGGATTTGAACTCGAATCCTTTGAAAGAGCAGTCAGTGCTTAACCACTGAGCCATCTCTCCAGCCCTGATATTTATCTTGAGGATGAGTAAATTAGTATTCAAATATGTAATCTAAATGTATACCTGTAGTTGGCTGTGAACTTATTTGTATTTGTCATGGATTTACTAAAACGTTGACGTAGAAGATTTTCTCTTAACAAGCATTACCCGTCGTGTGTTTGTTTATGAAAGTGAAAGATACCCATTCCTTGCCCTCAGTTTCAAAGGGAGCAAAAGTTATGTGACTGAATGGGTCCATAAAATGGAGTGAGTGTGTCAAGAGGCAGAGTTCGTGCTTGCCCTGAGCCCCCAGCATCTAACAGGGTATGAAGCAGAGCCAAGTGCTTCATTTCATTTTAGTTTTGCAGCTGTTTGCTGTTGAGGCCTACGTATTTTATGTATGGGTTTTGTGTGTCGGTGTCTGTGCTCCACATGCATGATTGTTACTCTGGGAGGTCAGAAGAGGGAGTTGGACCCTCTGCAACTGCAGTTATATACAGATGGTTGAGCCAACTTGTGGGTGCTGGGAACTGAACCCAGGTTCTCTGTAAAAGCAGCCAGTGCCCTTAACCTCTGAGCCGTCTCCCCATCCCCAGAGCTGAGTATTTTGGTTAAGCAAAGCAGTGTTCATAGTGTAGGCGTGCTGGAGCCAGTGTGTCTACGGGATGAGCTGGCACAGAAGCTTCCCAGACAGAACATTTGGCTCAGCAGCTGAGGTGCTTCTGTCTTGGTTGAGTTCTATTGTTGACTTGGATCTCTGAGACAAAAAGAAAGTTATACAAGCTTCATTTCAAATGTGTTTGGCACCTAGCATCATAATTAGGTTTTGCTGTAGGTCTGAATATTGAACAAGTAAACGACTACTATAATGGCGGTAATAAAATTGCATTTTCAGTATATCCAAAATATTATAAATAACATATTTCCCCCATGGTGTTGGGGATTGAACCTCAGACATTGCACATAGTATGCATGTGCTGTCCCACTCAAGCAAGCATTGCCTCTGGGGTAGCTGGATCACACACCACTACCACTCCTGGCTACGTGGTAAGATTTTATTTATAGTGAGTTTGTGGAACATTCTAGTAGTTCTGTAATGTTTTCTTTTTGTATCTTATTAAGTTTTCTGATGCCATTCACTGAGTTGAATATTGTTTTAACAAAGCAGGTTTATCTTTATTTAACTTTTTTCTCTTTCTCCATCTTTAGTAGTCCCCATAGCTCACCTTCTCAAACACCAACAAGGCACGGACGTCAAACAGTCTATGGTGGCAAAGGAAGGAACCATGACTTTTTAATGGAAATACAGTTAAGCAAGGTAAGAAGGTGGGTGTATTAGCAGGGGTTCTCTGGTTATGCCCACCATGAGTCTTGAAGCCTTAAGTCCCTGCCTTGTGGAGTATAGGTCTCACCTCTTTTTCTTTGATGATTTGAAAAGCCTGAGGTCGTTTTGTTTTCCCAGGCCATCCCTGCAGCAGGGCTTCCCAGAGTCCCTTGGAAGCCTTTGTACAATGCATGTTTCTGAGCCCTGCCCAGCCTTTGCCTTTCTGGTGGATCACTTGAAGAACCACTGCCTGATTTAGAGTATACCTGTGGAAGGTCCCCTGTGAGCATCTAGAGTCCACAGACAGCACTGGTGACATTTACATTGATTTAATGCTTAGCTTGGCCAAGACGCTCACAGTCAGCTCTAACTTCAGTTCCAGGGGATGCAAACCCTCTTCTGACCTGTAGACACTGCCTGCACATGGTGCATAGACAGAGTCAGCTGCAAAATATAAATACATAAAATCTCAACAGAAAAAAATAAGGAGAAAGTCAAATTCAAGTTTATGTCAAGATTGCTGTGTTGTTCTTGTGTGTTAAGGTGAAGTTTCAACATGAAGTCTACCCCCCGTGTAAGCCCGAGTGTGAGTCCAGCCTCCTAGAATACCCGGTCTCCAGGCAGGTGTTCATCGTTCAGGACCTTGAAATTCGAGATCGGCTGGCAACGTCCCAAATGAATAAATTTTTATACCTGTATTGCAGCAAAGACATGCCTCGTAAAGCTCACTCCAACATGGTAAGACTCCTTGAAGCCATGCTCTCTTTTCGTTAGTCCCAGAAAATGTTTCATTGTATGTAACTGCAGGAAAATGAGAGTGGGAAGAAAGACTTCCTATTAAACATACTATTTTAAGTTTTGTGTTCAAGAATTATTTTACAAACACATTCCCTAACTATAATTGCCAATATGTTACACATCAGGTAAAATAAAACCACTTGAAAATAACTAGGACTGCTATCAGCCCTTCACACTTAGAAGACTTTAAATGTTAGGGAGGTGGGAATGCCTGGCTCTGGACTTTGGAAGTCTGACAGGCAGGCTCTGGGCTTTGGAGGTCTAACAGACAGGCTCTAGACTTTGGAGGTCTAACAGACAGACTGTAGACTTTGGAGGTCTAACAGACAGACTGTAGACTTTGGAGGTCTAACAGACAGGCTCTAGACTTTGGAGGTTTAACAGATAGACTTTAGACTTTGGAGTTGATGCTGGTGGTTTTCTTATCCCTCCAGGTCCTGCAGCTGCTTCTCAGCCCCAAATAAGCACATAGAGACTTATGTTAATTATTAATCTGTTGACCAATGACTAGGGCGTCTTACTGGTTAGCTCTGTCTTAATTATTAACTCATAACTATTAATCTATGTATTTCTACATGGTCTTATCTTACTGGAGAAAGCCTGGTGCATCCTATCTTCCGGGTCTCACATGGTGTCTCTTCTGGGGGGCTCCCTCTGCCTAACTTTCCCAGAATTCCCCTTGTTTCCTAGTCCCGCCTATCTTCCTGCCTTATTGGCCAACAGTGTTTTATTCACCAACCAGTAAGAGAAACATATATACAGAAGGATAGCCCCTATCAGAAGGTCTAACAGGCAGAGTCTGGACTTTGGAGGTCTAATAGACAGACTCTAGACAATGGGCCTGTGCACTAGCTTTGGGAGCTCAGCAAGCTCCATTGAGCCTGAAGCTACAGTGTTGTCATTTGATGTTGTCCTCTAAAGAAAATCACATGTCATGAGATTTTTCTTGAAGTTTGAACAGGCTTTTAAAGAAGGAGGGTTAATATAATTCTCTTCCTTCCTCCTTCATTGACAAGGTCTCACTGTCTAACCCAGGCTGGCCTCAAGTCTCAAAATTCTACTTTTTTTCTTAGATAGGAATATGATTGCTTACTTAAAAAGTTTTTTTTAATGAGAACAAGGTCATACGTCACCAGGGAAAATGTTTTCCTCTTTCTGCAGTTGACAGTTAAAGCGCTGCATGTCCGTCCGGAATCTGGCAGGCTGCCCCAGGAGTGCTGCTTGAGAGTGTCCTTGATGCCGCTCCGCCTCAACATCGATCAGGTTTGTGTTGTGTGCACACTGATGCAGTTCTGATCGCCGAACTTCTGAGAAAGGGTCCCAATTAAAGACTGTAGGGCAGAATCATCTTGTGAAGTTTGAAGTCGGGCCTTTTGGTGTGGTCCCTTGCTCATTGCTCATGTGACATGGGACTGAGTTCTGTTTCCACTCCTAACTTGGGCATCATAATTTTAGAGACTTAAAGGACTCCTGGATAGGTTAAATGTTAGAAGGATTGTGTTACAGATTCCGCAAGAGAATTTTTCTGTCCTAGGCAAAATGACAAAATAGTAAATGGGGTCACAAGTAAAGAGGCCATTAAAAAACAGATTTGTGGAAAGCTGTAAAGAAATTTCTATCAAATTTCCCTGGGCGTTGCTTTAATGAGAGAGGCATTAAATGTGAGCATTAAATCAGCCAATGTATGGACAGCATTTAGCTTAGTGCCTGGCATTGTATGCTATGGATGAGGAATGTAAACTTTCATAAATATTAACTGAAGCAAGCCATAGCTGTGGAACATACGTGGAATTTTAAAATAACAAAATCGCTTTGTAGTTTTGGGTTTGTAATACTTATTTTTGATGATGTCACTTAAATGAAGTTTGGATAATGTCTGGCAAGTGGCAGGTGTCTCAGACATCAACTAAAATAATTGCTCAAACTGTAGACAATAGGCCCGGTGCAAGAGGGTGTGCAAGAGGGCACTGGCTTTAATGTATAATATCACAGGTTCTGAGCTGGTCAAGCTTCACATTTTTAGTTTTTCATTATGGGAATACCTTTGATATGCATATTTTTAAAATATTTATTTTTATTTATGTGTTTGTGTTTGTATGCATGTGAGTACACATTGTGTGCAGATTCCTACAGAAGCCAGAAGAGGGCATCAGAGTCCCTGGAGCTAGAGCTATGGTGGTTGTGCGTTGCCCAGTGTGTGTGTGTGAAAAGAACAAGTGAGTGGTAGAAATGCCAACAGAGAAGTGCAGTGACTGCTGTGTCAGGGTGAGTGATGCAGACGGAGCCCTCAGACTCTGTTCTGATGGTTACACTGACTTGTCTCCATTCCAGGATGCCCTGTTCTTCCTCAAGGATTTCTTCACAAGTCTTTCTACAGAAGTGGAGCTTCTGTTGACTCCAGATCCAGAAGGTACTCAGCACGTACAGTCTGAGGGTTCTGCATGAGTACAGAGGTCCTTACCTAGGATGGGGTCATGTGCTCAGAATGCCTTTGTCAGCTGAGTAATGTAACTCAAATGAATCTAGTACCTGGAGCCCACTTAGTGCTGACTCAGCAGCACACCATTGTGGGTGTCGTTTTCCCTAGCGACTGCTGACTAAACAGCTACGGCTGGCTATGGCCACCCAGAATCACGCGAGGATAGAACTGCACACTGCCTGGAAAAGCTCAAAGTTCATATTCCAAGTCCAGGGTTTACAGGATGTATACATGTCTGTCCATTGTGAGGGAAGAATTTTAAGTCAGCTTATCGCTAAGTCAGGACTGGATGCACAGAGATGTGTGCTACTTGCTGTGTGTTGTTTTGAGAGTATGTGTGCCGTGCTTATTTCCGTCTGCATATGCACATTCCATGTTATACATGTGTGCTTATGTAGCAGTAGTGGTGTATGGGTGGGAGCAGAGTTTCTCTGTGACAGTTGTAGTTACTCAGTGAAGTGTAGGGTGCAGGCTTGTCAGTATTGACTGCCATGGTACTCAAGAGTAGCAGAGCTGACTTCAGGTGTGCCCCTCATGTTTTCAGTTACAAAGTCTCCTGGAGCTGATGTCACCTGCAGTTTGCCAAGGCATTTGAGTACCTCAAAGGAGCCAAATCTAGTTGTTTCTTTCCCTGGGCCAAAACAACCTTCCCCAAACCATAGTGCCAGTTCAGTGGAGGGGGCTAACGGACCGGAGGAGGACTTCTCAGCCGAGGAAGCCTCGTTTAGTGACCAGCCTGTGTTCTTTAGGTAAGTGCTTTTATCTTGCTAAGAGATGAAGTTCTGCCCAGGTAAATAGATGTAGATGTAAGTTCAGAGATGAGGGATAGACCTGGGGCCCAGACTTAGACACTGACCATGATAGGTAACACATTGCCATCTTACTGTGGGTATGGTGGGTTTGGTGTATAACCATTAGCATTTATTCTGTTGGCAGAAATCATGTTTTGGGTCTGAGCATCAAGTTTCTAGTCAACTGTTAGAAGGCAGCTCAATGTGTTGGCTATATGTCATCAATGTGTAGTTTTTATTTTACTCCCACAATTCCCAGTGTTAGTATATTCATATCTACTTGCAAGCATTAATTTCACAAACTCTCACCAAAATTTGCCAGGGTATGTATTTTTACAGTGCCGAAGAATTGAGTCTCAGAGAGCTGAGCCGTCCATACTCGTATCTCATGTAGTGTCAGGAACAGGGGCCAGGCTGGGGCCTACCCGGCTCACATTCATCAGGGGTGTCTTCTTGCTTCTCCTGTCTACTTTTTATTTGTCCTCTGTATGACTTGAGACTATGTAAACATTTTCTCTAAGAATAGATATTTAATAAACTAAGAACATTGAAATACCATACATTTAAGTACAATAGACAACACTTAAATAAGCATTTAATAAACCAAGAAGAGGCATTTGTGACATTTAAATACAATAGATAGAATTTGTCTGTTTAGTCATGATTTTAAGACAAGGTGGAACTAAAAGACATTCTTTTGTATTGAGGACATATGATGTGTTTATAATTTGCTTTGTGGTTTTGTTTTGATTTTTCAGTTTAACAAGTTAGGTCTAATTTTATGATCATTAATGTGAGTACAACTAACTCCCTTTGTTTCCTCCCAGAGAATTCAGATTCACGGCAGAAGTTCCTATTCGACTTGACTATCATGGCAAACATGTATCAATGGATCAGGTGGGGAAACTTTGCATGAATATGGAATGCAAAATTACCTTTTAAAAATTGCTTTTTTTTTTTTTATTTGGTTTTATGAGACAGGGTTTCTCTGTTTTGGAGGCTGTCGGTCCAGCCTGGCCTCGAACTCACAGAGATCCGTCTGCCTCTGCCTCCCAAGTGCTGGGATTAAAGGCGTGCGCCACCAACGCCCGGCTGCATTTATTTCTTGAGGCAGGAGGAAGTACATGAGGAAAGGAGGCACTTGTGTGGAGTCAGAGGACAACTTATGAATTCTCTCCTCCCACTGTATGGGACCTGGAGGTTAGACTCAGGTCGTCAGCTTGGTGGCAAGTATCTTTACCATCGGAGCCATCCCAGTAATGCTCTATCTCTTCTAGATTCAGTTAAAAACAATACCAGATGAAGTTGGTGCCGTCATGGTTTATATGTGAGCATGTGTTTGGCGTGAAGGACAGTACCTTTACTAAGTAAATAGGAAGTCCTGTGAGTGAAATTTCATACATGTTGCTTATTAGCTGGTATAGTGTTTTGTATGGTATAAAATATTTTTTTCTGTAACTATTTGAAGCATTTATCTTCATTAAAGAATATTGTATAACCAGGTGGTAGAAAATAACTAGGTAGCGGCAGTGCACACCTTTAATCCCAGCACTCTGGAGGCAGAGGCAGGTGGATATCTGATTTCGAGGCCAGTGTGGTCTACAGAGTGAGTTCCAGGATAGCCAGGACTGTTACAGAGAGAAAACGTGTCTTGAATACCCACTCCCCCAACATTGCTCGGACTTCCCTAGTAACAGCTATGTTAAATATTGAGTCTCTCCTTAGTTTATGAATTAATTGGCCACTCTTTTCTATTTCAGGGAACATTGGCTGGGATTTTGATTGGCCTGGCCCAGTTGAACTGTTCTGAGCTAAAGTTGAAGAGGTTGTTTTATAGGCACGGGTGAGTAGATTGATCTGCCTGAGACTTTAAGGTGAGGGTACTTAAGCTAGTGTAAACATAAAAGTGGAGTGTTTTCTCAAGCAGTGTTTTCTGTGCAGAGCGGAGAGCGTATCTTTGGAAGACCCTACTGATCTGGGACTAATATTTGTTTGGAGGGAGTAGAAGTAGTTGGAACAGAGTGGGATTTCTTGAAAATATCTTCTTCTCTTTAGGATATTTTAAGACAACTTGCTGAAGTTGTAGATTAGCTTATTCAGTTACAGGAATGCAGGTTCACAGATGTGTGCCTGAGCCATGGGGGAATCAAGAAATAACAACAGTGGAGGACACTCACATATGCGTGCTTCTCAGGTGTTATCGGTCTTTGTCCTGTCTGTCTGTCTGTCTGTCTGCCTGTCTGTCCTGTCTGTCTGTTATCTGTCTTCTCTAATACACACCCAGATCTAGATTGTGGATTTAGTAGCTGATTTATATTTCTCTATGATACAAAAATGTTTAGCCATTTTTGGAGCGTGGTTAGTATTTTGCCCTTGTGATATGTAGTTTCCAAACAGGAAAAGTCCTTAAGCATGTACTTTATTTCTTCTTTGCATTAACAGTCATTTTTTCTAGTTTGCTAGGTATTGACAAATTGTTCTCATATGCGATTTCTGAATGGCTCACTGACATTAAGAAGAACCAGCTACCAGGGATCCTGGGAGGCGTTGGGCCTATGCATTCTCTAGTTCAATTAGGTGGGTTGTCTTTTTAAATCTTTTTGGGGTTATAAATACCTTGAGATACTATGCAAAGAACTTTTTTTTATAAAACCTACACGCACACTAACATGCATATAAACTACCACTGATTTTAGAACCTCCATCCAGGTTAGACTCACTCTATATTGCAATGAACATATTCTGGATATATCTGGGTTAAAATATTAAAATTAAGTTTACTTTTTGGAATGATTATCAAAACACTTCCAGTCACACACATGGCTCAGCCTGTATTTCTGTTGGGAAGCCTGGCCTTTGGGGACGTTGATGAGAATGAGACAAGGAGCTACAGGGTTAGACTCCTGTGACCTATAGTTGTCATTGTGATTTCTGTGTCTAGTGCAAGGCCTGAAGGACCTGGTGTGGCTGCCCATCGAGCAGTACCGGAAGGACGGCCGCATCGTCAGAGGCTTCCAGAGAGGCGCTGCCTCCTTTGGTACCTCCACTGCCATGGCTGCCCTAGAACTCACAAACAGAATGGTTCAGACCATACAGGTACTGTTCCCTGCCTGCCTCATCTGGACAGATGGGCCCTGTGTAGCTGCTACCACGCATTTATGATGATTTACTGTCATTTTGGTTTTTGAGACAAATTCTTGCTATATAGCCCAGACTGTCCTTATAGTTGATAATCGAGTTGTTTTTACTTATAGAACTACCAATTCATATACTAATTTCATCTGAAGATGTTCTTCACTCCTCAGCCTTCCAAGTGCTCAGGTGTGCACACCCTGTCTGGCACTTGGTAGTGTTTAACTGTCTAGTACTGAGCATTTAGGTAACAGAGTTGTAGGATACTTGCCAAGTCTGTTTGATTTTTTTTTGGTTTTACGAGACAGGGTTTCTCTGTATTGTTTTGGAGGCTGTCGGTCCAGCCTGGCCTCGAACTCACAGAGATCCGCCTGCCTCTGCCTCCTGAGTGCTGGGATTAAAGGCGTGCGCCACCACCTCCCGGCCTGTTTGAACATTTTAAGAAAACAACACTGATTAAGTCAGCAGGGGATTTATTTCACTGATCTATGTAAAAGGAGCAGAACTAAGTTGAAGACCATGTACCGGGTTAGACAGTTGCTACATGGGATAATAAGAGGAAGGGGCTGTGTGGTTCTGCTCAGTCTGGATGGGTGTTTTTAGTTCCCTTCTGGGTTCGCACTGTGAAAGTCCTCAGCTTTTGTTATGAGCGTTAAACAGAGGCGCCATCTGTGGGGGTCTCTTTACTGCTACAGGAGAGCACTGCCACACCGTTGGTGCCCAGCTCTGCAGACTGTCCCCTTATTCATTTCTCAGGCAGCAGCAGAGACTGCGTATGATATGGTGTCTCCGGGTACCCTCTCCATTGAGCCCAAGAAGGCAAAGAGATTTCCTCATCACCGTTTAGCCCACCAGCCAGTAGACCTGAGGGAAGGTGTGGCCAAGGCCTACAGTGTTGTCAAAGAGGTAAGTAGAGACTTCAGCTGACAAGTCAGAACTGGCTTATGTGTTGGTTGGGCTTTCTGTTGCTAAGATGGAACACCATGACCAAAAGCAGCTTGGAGAGGAGGGGCTTTTTTTCAGCCTACACTTCCACAGGTCCATTACTGAAGGAAGGCAGGACAGGAACTCACATAGGCAGGACCCTGGAGGCAGGAGCTGATGCAGAGGCCATGGAGGGCGCTGCGTGCTGGTTTGATCTTCATAGCTGGCTAGGCTAGCTTTCTTATAGCACCCACGACCACCAGCCCAGGAGTGGCCCCACCCATCAGTCACTAAGAAAGTGCTCCATAGGCTTGCCTACTGGACAATCTGGGGGGAACATTTTGTCAGTTGAGGTTCTCTTCCCAAGTGACTAGCTCATAGCAAGCTGGCATGAAAATTAGCCAGCACACCTTGCTTTCCCCACAAGGGCTACTTGCTGACATCAGTGTTTTGGAAGAATCACTGGGAATGGGATGTAAGCAGCCAGTAGTAGCATGTAACTCATGTGTGGAAAGTGGAAGAGAGCCAGATTGTGAGTGGTGGGCGCCATCTAGTGGTGTGCAGGGCAGGGGAGGCTGCAAATAGCCGATATTTCTGCCTGGCTCAGTGCTTTCCCTTAGTTATCTTAGGTTTGCTTAGGAAGTGTAAATTTGAGGGAGATCCCCAGCCCTAGCCCCATTCCTATGCCCTCTCTATTCTGAAGGTGTCACAGCTTTTCTAGACATGTTTTTACAGTTAGATTATGTAAGTATTTCCAAGCAGAACATAACAGTGTTTATGTTCTAAGTTTGCATAAAGAGTGTCTTATGTATCCTGTAGCCCATCTTTCAAGATACATCACAGACACATAGTATCATTTAAATGGTCTGATAGTATTTCATTGTAGAACTATGTCATCCCCTTTTTTGTTTTTATTTTCTAAGACAGGGTTTCTCTGTAGCTTTGGAGGCTGTCCTGGAACTTGCTGTGTAGACCAGGTTGGCCCGAGACTCACAGAGATCCACCTGCCTCTGCCTCCTGAATACTAGGATTAAAGGTGTGCGCCGCCTCCTGGCTCATCTTTTCTTCTTAGTGGGCATTTAGTTGCCACTTGTTTTCTGTGTGACACTGAAATGGGGAATGTTTTTTAGCTGAGTCTATGTTCATGTGTGCAAGAAGTCCCATAGAGTGGAATTGGTTAGTGGTAACTATGGGAATCTCCACATTAGTTTTTTACACTTACCTCCTTTTCTGTTTGTTTTGTGGGGGACACATGCCACAGTGTATCTGTGTTAGTAAAAGGACCAATGTGTAGAATCAGTTCTCTCCTGTCCTGAGGGTTCTAGGGATCAAGTCAGGCAGTAGGGCTTGGTGAAGCCTGGTGCTCCCCAAGTGTTGGCACAGCACTCACTGGCTTCATCCCTTTTACCTTCTTACTGCTATAACAGCAGACATTTGTGGTCATTCTACCTGGGGTTCAGTCTCAGGATTTCATTAGGTTCTTTCTAACCGTATTCTGACAACAGCAGGAAGGTATAGTAGTCTTCACGGCACAGAAGTAGCCTCTGGAGTCCCAGAGAGTTGGGTCTGAAGTATAGTTCTCTCTTATTTTCAACCCATAACCCCAGCGCTGAGGTTACATACATACACTTCCACACCAGCTTTTACGTGGGTGTTGGGGATCCAAATCAGATCCTTATGCCTGTGGTGTCCTGGTTTCTTTTCTGTTGCTGACCAAATGAACTTCAGGGCACAGTGTGTCGTGTTGGGGAAATGAAGCAGCTGGAGACTGTATGAGTCCAAGGACGTAGTGTGTAATGAGCACATGCTGTGGTGCACTGCATCCTCTCTGTCTGTACAGTTGGTGCCCTGCCCAGGAACTGCTCAGCCACAGTGGGAGATGGGGTGGGTCTTCCCTCCTCTATTGACGTCATGAAGATAACCCCACAGAGGCCCTCTAGCCCAGACAGTCCCTCCTTGAGCCTCCCTTCCCAGGGGGCCCTGACCCTGCCAGCATCACCTGAGCCATCTTGCCAGCTCCTTAGGGATTAAAAAAAATCTCACCACCATGGAGTGCTGCTGAAGCTGTGATGTGACTGTTTAGGCTCTCACTGGTGTTTTCCTAATTTCCGATGTAGTCCCAGAGTGTTTGATCCACGGTTCTTTTCTAATACATGACGAGTAATTGTAGATGGAGTACATGCATTCCGAGCACCGAGTGATCTGTGCTTGCTTGCGCTGCATCAGAGGAACCCTCACTGCAGGCCTCTGTCAAGAGTGTTTGCGCAAGAGGCCCTGATTGCAGTATTGTATTTAGCTGAGGGATTAATTGGGCCAAAGTTGCTTTTAGGTCATGATGTGTTTCTGTGGGTTTCCTTTCTTGGAACTAACTAAGCTCCATTTTCTGTACACTAGTGTCACAGAAAAATGCTAGGTCATGGTGAGTGCCACTTAGCTTCACAGTTGGATCCTGTTAAGTAGCTGAGTGAGGGTGGCTGGCTGTTTTGCTTGTGGCTGTTCGGGTCTAGTTGTAGACATGTTGACTAACTGTACAAAGTGAAGTGTGGGCATCTTGTTTCCTGACCGGTGCTTTTCTCTTCCCTGCTGCCCACCCTCTGCAGGGAATTGCAGACACGGCTCAGACCATTTATGAGACGGCCGCTCGAGAACACGAGAGCAGAGGGGTCACCGGTGCTGTGGGTGAAGTCCTGCGCCAGATCCCACCAGCAGTGGTCAAGCCCCTAATTGTAGCCACCGAAGCAACATCAAATGTGCTAGGCGGCATGAGAAACCAAATAAGACCAGATGTTCGGCAGGACGAATCACAGAAATGGCGCCATGGGGAGGACTGATGCTTCTGGTGTGACTCCCCAGAGTGCGTGGAGCTAAGGAGCAGGGTGTCCTGGTGGCAGCTTCTTAGAGAATTTATTTAATTTATGTGCTCATCTCAGGAACAAAAGCAGTTTTTAGTTAAGTAATTAATGTCAAAACACATGCAGCCAAAACCTTGTGACATTTTAGGGCCTGATACTTGCCTGCAGACGTGACTGGTGGCTGGTATCATGGTCAGTAGAAATTTCTGTCATGTTGAATGCTTTGCTTTCATTAAAGTGACTGTAATTGTACTTGTTACTGACAAGATCTCATTGGGAACATCTTTGTAAACAGCGTTAAGTGATTAAAGAAAGAAAAGATTAAAGCACTCTTAAAGCACCAGGGAGCACTCTTGTAGTTCTGGAGAGTTGATTTCTCAACTCACAATGTCAACACTCTCAGATGCTGGTGAGAGGAGAAACGGAGAGAGCAAAGCAGCTGGGCTCCAGTGTCGGTAGAGCAGGACTCCTCGAGGGACTGCCTGCTCAACTCACCTGGAGAAAGTGAGTCACAGGCAAGACCTGCTGTGCTGCACTTCATCCTGTGCGTGCGTGCGTGCGTGCATGTGTGTGTGTGTGTGCGCGCGTGCGCGCGCATTCGCGTGTGGAACAAGGTGTGCTGTGCTCTCTGTCATTTACAAGGTTACATGAATATGAAGAGAAGTGAAGATGTCTCAGTTTTTGGTAAAGGAAGGTAACCCAAATGTAGTAAGTTTCTGTATTCAAATGCAAGTAAAAATGTGTGCTCTGTGGTGGACTGTATGTGCCCATTGTTAAGTACATAGTGCAGACTATTAGGGATGTGTGACAAGGGACACTGAAAGTGGGCTTTATTCTTAGAAAGTTATATAAATAAAAGTACTCCAAATATGTCTTAGTCAGCTAATTCTAAGTACCATTTTTACTTGGTTAATAATGTACATTTTGATAACATGTCAGGAATGAATAAAGTATTTTTATTTAAAGGTAAGATTGTTGTATACTTCCATGAATATTTTATTTTTCTGAGAACACACTCATTGATGCAATGTTATGATTGATGGCGGGATATCTGGAGATGCTTCTCAAAATAGATTGTTAGTGTCACTCACTGTTGTGGAGAAAAGGGGTAATTGTTTGCAGTCTGCCTAGAGACTCAGCAGAAAACCAGGACTTTGTATTGGTCTCTGTTTAGACTCGCATACTGTCCCCTCTTGGTTTCCAAAGTGTTGGTGGGTATCAGGGTGAACTGGATGCCACAATGCATTCCAGTTTGTGGGTGAGAAAGAAAAGTCAGTTTTACTCTCTGAAAGCTCTGAACAAGGAGGTGCCAACCCCAAATCCAAACTTTATAGAAATAGTGTTGTAGACATTTGCATAAGCTTGGTTTCCTTTTACTGCTGTGAAACTTCAAAAGAACAGAGCACTTGCTGGTGGGCCTCTTGGACCTCATGGTGGGCTCTTCTATTCTTAAGTGGAACAGGCGTCTAGTACGGCTCCAGGCAGACACTGCAGGTAGTAGCATCATTTGTTGCCATGACTGGCTAGCTACTATCTGCTCTTCTAACGAACAGTTTGTTTCCTGTTGTATTTGGTCAGACTTCACTCCACATCTCCTCCTTGGTTATGTTTAAGATCAGTGAGAGTCGGTACATGGAGGTAACATCCCTTTGCCCTATGAGCTGTGTACAGCTCTTTCTTTTAGCTAGTTAAATTAATTAAGCCATGTAAACAAGTGTCTTTATGATGTCATCTCCTGTTTCTCCCTGCTGTCCTGCACCTTGACAGAGAGGGTGATTCAGTCTCTGGGTCTGTGTGCATTATAGAGGCCCTGGTGAAGACCTGTCTGTATTTGAACACATCTAAGTTATATAGCTGTTGTGTTTTCTTTTTAAAAGGTCTGCTCAGACTTTTGTGTTGTGAAGACATGTAGTGTGTTGACAGGATCCTTGGGTTGCCTCATCTGCAGTTACCAAGCAAATAACTTGACTTGGCCAAGACGTCTCCCTCAGTCTCAGTGTGCTCTCTGTAAGTGAAAAGGTTTCTTAGGCAAAGCTTTTGGGAATTTCTGTGCAATTAGGTCATGGTGACATATGCACAAATAATGGTGTGTGTCCTTACATTCAGTAGAGTGCACAGAACTGTGGTGTCAGGCTGGTGGCCATGGACACTGGCTGTGCCACACTACAGCAGCTGTGGGCTACTTCAGATCTCTATTCTCAAAGGGACACCTTCCTGATCTGGCACCATGCCTGCATGGTTAAATCTAGGTTGATAATTCTGACTGAAGTAGGCTGCACATGCCCACCTAGTCTACACAGATTCTCCCCCTAGGAATCAGGGAAACGAGCATGCTCAAGATCAGATCACTCAGTTGGTCCAGACCTGACTATATTGCCAATGGGAACAGCGACCATAGCAATGTGATTGCCGAATGGGATTGGCTGGGAACCCCTACTCTCCTGACTATCCTTGCACCCCGTTAGTCTGAGAGACATCATAGCAGTAGGTTTCCATTTTAATGAGGTTTCTGGATAACTTGGATTCCTACTTAGGAGTACATATATTTGTCATATTCTTAAAATGTAAAAGTCATAAGACAAAAAAAAAAATCCAAGTAGCAGTGTTCCTAAGTACACTATCGGGGCCCATCCGTCTGCACTGCCTCCTGTCCTGTGTCACTCTGAAGGGCTGCTGCAGGGCTCCCATTAGACCAGCCAGCTGTGTCTGCTCCAGTGGCTGCCTATCCCGAGGCCCTCGTCCCTCCCTGGGTGTCCTGTAACTCAGGACTAGCACCTGCGTGTTTTCACCATTGGGGCTGGAAATGAGGATTCTACCCTCAATAAACGGCTTCAGGGTTTAGCCACTGATTATCTTAGCTGACAGGATATGCACTTTAGGCTGAAAGGAAGGTTATTTGTATAACGCAGAGAAGCGTATCGATGATTCCCTTTTCTTATCAGGAGGTTTTGTTTTAGTTTACAAGAAGGTATAGCCAGTCTTGTAAGAACACTAGTATGTCACATGCCAGCCTTTGTGTGGACATTTTCAGCAATGTGCTGGGCACACTTACCTTTGAGAGATTCCATGTGCACAGTTCCAGGTCAGCCAGCATCGTTCAGGAATGGTCTCCATTTCTGAGACAGAAATTGTGGATGAGAGACCTTTGAGTCTTAGTACTTCATATTTGAATCTCGCCATTTCCTTAGGGGTAGGACTGAGAGGCGCTGCACTGGCCTTCTCTACCCAGCACAGGGACACATTGGGCAAGTCATTCACTTGCCTGCTCGCTGCAGTGTAGAAGATGTGATTGTACTGTCAGCTGCTGGGGCTGGGCTGGCCTCTCCCTTCACCAAGATGTTTACCCTGCTGCCTCTCGAGTGCACGTTCCCGGTTGGAGTGTCTAGCTTTGTTTGTGTAGCTCACTGGTCCCACTGGGCTGCTTGCTTTTTCATGGGGTTTTTTTTTTTGGCACCAAGTTCATCCTTTCTGTGGGTCCTCCTTGCCTGTCTCAGATGTTAAATCATCCCACTACATGGCCATTGTCTTTGCTTAGAATCCTGACTTTCTTAGTTATGGTACCTCTGGATGTAAATAGGAATATTCCTCTGTACAAGTATTTTTGTGAAAAATGTAACTTGTTAGTGTGTCTGTTTAAAATATGATGTTAAGGATACTTGTGAAAAAAATTAAAATATTTCCTCTTTGTTTTTTGCTTTAAGTATCGTCTGTCACCGAGAAACGTTTCCCGAGTCTGCCGGAACCTCTGGGGGTGGGTAGACTTCATAAGGATCCGTCTTCCTGGTACCTCAGCTCTAGTATTTAGATGCCACCAGTGTCTGAGCTGTGTCAGGCTGTAATGTTAACATGTGCTGCTCCCACCCCGTTGGTACTGATGGCTTTATTCTTTATCCCTTCAGTTTGGACGTCTGGCAAACACATCTTGTAGTATTGGTCTTAGAGGAAGAGGATGCAAGACATTGAAATAGACAAATTACTTTAAAAGGAGTTTTGCAGTGGCGTGTCTCTTTCTAATCATATTGGCAGTCAGGTGAAAGTGACAAGTCAGGCATCACACATGGCACTTAGGAAGGATGGAGGGGGCATCTCTGTGATGTACAGATATCAGCCAGGCTTTCCAGAATGTTCTTTATGTAGGAGCCTGTGTACCTAGTGAATAGACAAGCCCAGAGACTTGCCTCATGTGATCTACACACCTCTTGGCTTTCTTGAACGGCTGTGCGTGCGTGTGAGCACATGTGTGCTCTCCTGTGTGTGTGCATGCATGCATGTGGAAGAATGGCTTATGTTAGTGTTCTCGACTTCCACCATGTAAGTTCTGGAGGTCAAACTCAGTTGTCAGGCTTCAGGCTTGGTGGCAAGCTCCTTTGTCCCCGAGCTACCTTCCTGACCCCCTTGAACTGCCAGGGTAAATCAGACAGTTTCCTAAGGAGAAGGAGCATTCATTCCACTGCAGGAATCGGCAGGCATTTGCTGATGAGGTTCAGAAGGACCGAACAGCCTTAAATGTGAGTTGGGAGGGGCTTGCTTGTTTTGTTTACCTGTCTACTCAGCTGCCCCCTTCCTGGTATGTCCAGTACATTGTCCGTTCTTCAGCCCTGCCACAGCCTGACAGTAGTGGCTACAGGAACCTGGAGAGTGTCTATTTGTAAACAAAACTCAGTCTCCAGTCAGTACATACCAAAATTGGAAAGTAGGTCTAAAGTAGTTTCTCCATTTCAGCTTGGTATTTAGGGCCACAGTTCCATGTGGGGAGGAGTTCTGTATGTTGTAGAATGTCCAGCAGCCTGCCACTAGACAGCAAACACCTCCCTCTTTCCCCCAGACATGCCAGATGTCTCCTCAGGGACAGAATCCTCTCAGAAGTCTAGGTAACTCGTGTGGTTGCTCGCATCTGTACTCATAGCCCTTGGGAGACCTAAGCACAAGGATGCTATCTCTTCAAGCTAGCCCTGGGCTACCTTGTTTAAAAATATCATCATCATCATCATCTCTGGTTAAAGGTTGCCTTGTGGAAGGACTGTGTGGATTCCATGTCATAAAGCAGAGTAGAGCCTAAATGTTTCCCACCCACCCAAGACCCTGTAGAAATTCTCAAAGGACCCCGAGTGCGTACATAAGTAGGAATGGATCCCTCATTTACTGATGGTAAGTTATCAGGAAACCTATCTTAAAGCCTTTGCTGTACGCCATTTGTACAACTTGTTAAAGGTGAGTGGGTGTTGGTGGCGCACGCCTTTAATCTCAGCACTCAGGAGGCAGAGGCAGGCGGATCTCTGAGTTCCAGGCCAGCCTGGTCTACAGAGCGAGTCCAGGACAACCAGAGAAACCCTGTCTCTGAAAACCAAAAAAAAAATAAAAATTAAAAAATAAAGGTGAGTGTCATCTGCATACCAAAGAGATAAGTGTCCTTGTTTACATTTATATAAAGCAATCTTAATGCTGCAGAGTATGGAGATTCCTATCTTCCAGAGTAGATTGGCATTTTGATTTCATAACGTTAGCTGAGAACTCAGCTTTGTGTAAATGTGTTGTACAAAGTGGCAAAGATATTTAGGGCTGTTTGAGAATACCAAACCAAGATTTCACTGAGTTTTCTTGTTTTTGTTTTGAGGCAGGGTGGGCTCAGACTCACTAAGTTCAAAGCTGGCTTTGAACTCCTGATCCTCCTGCCTTCCTCCAGGTGCTAGGAATACAGATGTGCACCACCACACCCGGCTAGAGATCTTTGTATGATAAATGCTTAGACGACCAAGTAACTATCTCCGTTGAAGTTTCAAGTTTTACTTCTCCCATGTCTGGACATTTCCTTGAACACCCTTCCTAGCCTTTCAATCTGGATCTTGTTCTAAAAGCCATCTTCAAGAGCCCCGGCCTTTGTGTCTTGCTTGTGTTGGAACCAGCTCACCTGGGACTCAGCCGGTCCCGAAAACCAAGTTTCCCCTGATGCTAGTAATTTACCATGCCTTTCCATAGTTGCATTTGTTGGGTGACTCACTATACGAGGAACTGTTAATCCCACAAGGCAAGAATAAGACCACTATAAACTTGAGCCAAATTTGTGGCAAGCTTGATTTTATTGGAGCTCACCCAAAAGCTGGTCAGTGACTGCCTCCTAAGTTGGTTAAGGTAAGTCAGCTCTGAATCCATTTCTTGGGCCCCTTTTAAGGAGTAAAACCACAAGGAGTTGCAGAGGTAGAGAAGAGAGGCAATGGAGCAATACGGGAATACAGAAAAATTAAGATTCTAATTAACAGCCCACCATGTAGTCACCATGTGATTAGGGAGGGTTGGGCTTTTCTCAAAAAGTAAGTCAAGGTCCAAAGGTCCTGGGGTGGGGCAGGTCTGGCTCCAGAAAAGACTTAAGAAGCAACCAGCTCTTACAGTAAATGGAAACAGTTTAGTTAATACAGTATAATGGCTCCTGCCTTCAAAATGGACTTAGGCAGGTTCCTCAGGACCAGTGAGGTGATAAGATGTGACAGCTATTTAAAGTCTTGAGTGGTCATTGCCAATTGCCTGCTAAGAAAAGTCGTACCTACTCACATAGCCACCATTAAGACTTGCGATTTTAAAGACATTTATGTGCACCTGCTTGTGTGTAGGCACATGTTAGGAAGCCCGGGGTGTCTTGATGTCAGGGTATGCATGTATATGGTTGGAATGATATCAGGTGTTCTTAGTAGTTCTGCGCTGTGGTTTTTAAAATGTTTTTAGCATGTGCTAATTACACATAATAATGGGTTGTTTTCCAGATATTTTTGCATTTTTAAGTCTTTTTTTATGTCTGTAGAAGACAGAGCGGGTGTCATTCCCTAGAACTGGAGTTACAGATGGTTGTGAGCCACCATGTGAGTGGTGGGGACCAAACCTGATTCTCTGGAAGAATAGCAAATGTTATTAACCACTGAGCCATCTCTCCAGCCCCTGTGGGTTTGCCTTTTCTCCCTCCCCTCCCCAGCCTGTTTTCTTTCTTTTCTTTTCTTTCTTATAAATTCTTATTATGTTGCTCAGGATAGCCTTGAATTCTGACTTCTCCTTCCTTGGTACCAGGCTTCAAGATTTGGCTTACTTGAGAGCAGGTCCATTGTGGCCTTGGGAAGGCTTTCTTGAGAATGTGTGCGGAGCAACCTGCCTTCGTTGCCAGCAGAGGGCGCTCATGCTCTCAGCGCTGAAATAGAAGTTGACCCCTATTGTGTGGCCCCTTAGACTGAATGAGACCTGACCCAATGCAACCAAGAAGGCTTCAGAAAAATCCTGTCTTCAACCAGGCCTGTGTCTTAAGTCGAGGCCTGCTTCAATAAAATTTTACAAGATGCTGCTCCCGCAGACTGGCTCAAGGGGTAAAGGCCCTTGCTGCCAAGCCTGACAGCCCAAATTCCTTCCCGAGAGCCCATGGCGGAAGGGGAGAACCGACTCTTGAAGGTTCTCTGACATCCACTCAAGCCTGCGCGCATGTGTGCTGGTGTGCAGACACACCATTAATGCAATAATAAAAAAATGAAGTGTCGTTTTACGTCGACGTGATTCCTCCCTGAAAACCCTGGGCTGGGGAGCAGCAAAGCACAGGCCCATCCTTCCCTGCTGTGGCCAGGGAACAGGCTCAGAAGCAAGGGGCACCTGGCAGCAGGCAAGTCTGAGAGATGTACGTGGCTGGCTAATCACTCACCATCCACCACAGCTGTCCCAGCCTCCCTTGCTCCTGTCACTCCTTTTGCACCTCAAGTCTGAAGGCTCACTGTCAGGGCCAACCACTCCGTCCCCGGAGGCTGCCATTGGGGAGCAGGGTTGGATCAGCTGAGTGGGGAAAGGAGACTTCACCCTCTATGAAGCACTTGTCGTGTGGGAGACATTTGTTGTTGTGTTTTGTAGGGTGGGTTGCTCCTGGTGGCGCTATGTCCACAGAAGCCCAGGATGCATATTCACCCTCTAATGCTCTGGGGGGGTCTGAGCCAGAACCCGCCAGAGGTCAGTCCCACCTGCTCAGGAGGCAAGAGTCGAGTTCAAAGTCTAAGGCCAGTCTGAGCAAGTTAGGGTGCTCAAAAGTTAAACAATAGGAGGGGACCTCGTGTTTGGGATTTGAGTTCACTGTAATAAGAAGAAATAAGTATCTAAGTCCATCTCCCGTGGCTGTAGACAAGCACTTGACTGGGAAATTTATAAAGAGAAATATATAAATTTAAAAGATATTTCTTTTTCAAGGTGTGTATGTGTGTGCAGGGGTACTTACATGTGCAGAGGTGTGAGGACAACTTACAGGAGTCAGTTGTCTCCTTCCACTCTGTGGAATCTTAGGATCAAATCCAAGTCGTCAGTTTTGGTGGCAAGCACCTTTATCCACTGAGCAACCCCACTGGCCCAAGACACTTCCTTCATATAGTTCCCAGATTGGGATAACTACGAGCTGGGCTCTGATGAGATCATGGGTTGTGCTGTGACATGAGAGACATATGCTAAGATACAGGCTGTATTCCAGAGTGTTCATGGTAGCATCCAAGCCTCTTGTAGGACTTGGGGTCCGTGGAAAGAGAATTCATCTCCCAGAAGGAGATCTTACGGTGTTCTGACAGCTTGTCAGACTGCCTTGATGGAGAGACTGGAGCTGAGATAGCAGTGGGCATTAATGGGCAGGACCACACCTTGACCAGGACTGCTTAGATAATCACGCCCCTTGCCCTCGGAGAGTCTCCGACCTTCATTCCTCCTCTCACTGTGACCATATGACTACATCTCCCTTTTCTACTTGCATTATTGTTAAACTGGCTTATTGAGGATGCTGAGCTTTCCTTGTTAGGGCCAGAGTCCCCGTCTGTAACCCTGACAACCAGAGCCCCATCTGTAACCCTAACAACAGCTCTAGTATGAAGACAGTAGGAAGCGCCTGTAGGTGTTCAGAGCTCAGAAGTGAGCTCAGTTGGAACCTAGAGATCCCCATAGCGTTGGTCTGGTTCCCAGGCCTGTGGGAGCTGCAGTGGGGGTGGGGTGGAGGTGGGAAGCCTTCCTACCTGCTTTTCATCAAATTCATGACTCATCTGCAGAGCCTGCCTTGGCCATTGCAACATGTAGGAGCTCCCCAGGGCTGGGATTTGGAGGGGCTTAACTCTGCTCAGTACCATGATGCATAGGGTGAGGAATGGTCTATGTGGCAGGGAGCCTGTCTCCTTCCCTCTTCAGAGAAGCAAAAACAAGATGGGTCCAGAAGCCGGCCAACCTTGACCTTGGCCCCTCTAATGGAGAAAGCAGGAGTTCCCGGGAGATATGGGAAAACCCTGGCTAATTCGATGTCCATGCCAGTGTTGACACCCCAGGTGTGGCTGGCTCCAGCCCTGAATGTGAAAACATGCCAGCAGAGCCTGTTGCCAAACCTGTGGGAATGGAAACTATTTCTTCTCCAGCACTGGTTCTGATCCAAGGCCAGGCTCTCCCCTGCAGCGGCTCTGCAGGCTGCTGTCCCATCCCACTGCAGACCTGAGCTCCAGGCTTCTTCATATGCCCCCTCCCCCCGTCCCGTAAATCAGGTCCCTGCTTTGTAGAGCTTCTCTTCCAGGGCTCCCCACCACCACCCCGACCCACAGGCCTGTGAGTAGTGTTTTCAAGGTTCGCACCCCAGCCAGCTCACTCTCCTCAAAGGCGGGACCACACTCAGGCAGAGCACACAGGTCCAGCTTCCTAGACTGTAAACCAAGGTAGTGAACCATACCAGAGGTGGCAACTCAATCTGGGGCTGCCAGGAACTTGTGACATCTGTGGGAGGATACCCTGTAGGCAGTGTACCACCACTCAACACCGAGGTATCTCTTCCAGGGAGCCCCAGGGGTGTCATTCTTGAAGGCACCAGGAATGACCCTCTCTTGTTCACTACAGAGTTCTCAGTGCCAGAGGCTAGACTATCTGCTGCTGAGAAAGACACACCGTCAGCTGTTTAGGCAAGCTAGAAATCTGCAGTTATGTGGGATATCATATTAACAATGACCTCAAAAGCATTGCTTAAATCATGGGGTCCAAAGTGGACACAGGCAGGCTGGATCCTACTAGTATATCCAGACCACACTACAGTCTCCAGGAAAACATTGAGCTGGGGCAATGACCATAGAGTTATCACCAAGGTTCTGGTAGCCCAGTCTGGCAGACCCATGGCCAGGCTCCAGGAATACTGTGACTTTAGTTTTTGAGTGAATCTGCATCTGAGTTATTGGATGAGGATTAACCCCTTCCACGCAGGTGTGACAGGCACCCATCGTCACCTCCCAGGTACCCTGAATGTAGGTCATTGTGCCCTCCTCATTCCTGGACGTGGGCCTTGGCCTTTGACTCAACAACACTCTCTTCCTTAGCCTTTGCGGAGTCTTTCCCCGTGGTGGCTCTGACAGGCGGCTCACCCCACCTGTGCAATCCCTTGAATCTTTATCCCTCATCGCCGTCACTATCTGTCACCTCCACCAACAGTGCCCAAGGGCCACAGCCATGCTTGTCCTCGTCACCCCTGGGGTGACTCCCATGCTGGGATGTCTGAAGACATCCCAAAGGCTCACGTGGTAGAGGCTTGGCCAGCCTGTGATGTTCCTGGGGAATTGGGGTATTTAGGTCATGGGGGGCCCTTAGAGGAGATAGTGGGACCCAGCTCCTTGTGTCTGCCTTTGATTCCCAGTTGCCGTGAAGTATGCACATCCCTCCTGCACCCTGCACTCCTGCCAAGATGCTCTGTGCTGCTGCCCCTACCACAGCAACAAGGTCAACCACAGAGGGGAAGCTCTGACTCTGTGAGCTGAGATAATCCTTCCCCCTTGTTGTGTTGGCATTTTCAGGTGTTTGTCAAAGTGAGGGAACGATGACCGCCACGCCACCTAGGCTGGCTTCCTTCCACCCCTCAGCCATTCCCCACAGGCTGACTGACACCCTCAGTCTCCCAGAACCATGACGGGCGATCTGTCGACATTCAACCTCAGCACAGCCTGACTGCTTTCTGGGGTTTGCCAAGCCTCAGTGAGCAAATTCCCACTGCCAATGCATGCTCTGAAGATTCAGTGGGACCCCTCAGAGCCCCCAGAACACCTCTCTGCTTTGTGAGCTCTGTCCGTTGGTGGGCATCTCCATGTCTCGTCTCCTCCAACCCCTCCTCTGCGGCCGCCTTGTCCTTCCCCTGGCTCATCTCTCCTAACTTGATGGCTCGCTGTGCTGCATTAGCTTTCTTCTGTCTGAACTATGACCTTTCCTATTTTGTTTGGCCAACTGCTAGTTTTTTTTTTAAGGTATGCAATGTCTCCCAGAACATTTCTCTATCTGTCCCAGCCAGCCCCTACTGTTAGACATTTGTATTGGGTTCTGACAGGTTAAGGCCCTCAGCTGCAGCCACTAAAAGCACCACCTGAGCATATTCACTACATGCCCTTTTAAAAGGGTCCTGCCCACCCCCATCCTCCTCTCTTTCTTTCCCTCTGTCTGTCTATTCCTCTTTCTTTCTTGATCTTTAGACCAGGCTGGCTTTGAACTCACAGAGATCTACCTGCCTCTGCCTCCTGAGTGCTGGGATTAAAGGAGTGAGCCGCCACCGCCTGTCTCTTTCTCTCCCTTTGTCTGCCTTTCCTCTCTCCACCTCTTTCCTCTCTCCTACTGCTTCTGTCCCCAGAGGCTGGTCTCCCCCCTCCCTTTCCCCTTTTTATTATCCCTTTCCCTAATTAAAAAACAAAACAAAACCAAAAAAACCTCTGCTTGAACCCTGTCACATGGCATCTTTCTCTAATGCACCGCTTTTCTTAAATTACAACACCGACTGCCCTGTGCTCTCATACCCACCCAGTCACCTGGATGTGTGGGTTCCTCTGTCCTGTGACACTCCATTGTGTGTCATCCAGAGTTCTCTGGAGGCAGAGGTTCTGGGAGGGTCCCTGCTGGATCCTTGAAGCAAGGAGAGATTGGGTGGAGGTTCCAGCATTCAGCAGTACTCATGTGAACTCTGGGCCACAGCCTGTGCCATCCCACTGCAGGGGCTGGGTGCTCACCCAGCCCCTCCTGACTGTCTCCACAGGTCCCAGAGTCCACCCTGCATGGACCTGAGGGGAGGAACTGACCCTTCCCTGAGAGCTGCTGAATCTAGAGCCCTCGGAGCTTTCCCCCTGACTTAGGGTTATGTAGACCTATGCAAACTCCTTGTGGACAGGGTCTGCAGCTACTCCCACCTCTGCATTCCTCAAAATCAGCCTGGGCAGGTCTGGGTGAGTGGAAGTGTAAAAAGTGACCCTTACTGGGTGCTTGTGTAAGTTCTCTGTTGTTGCTGTAGGAGTGAGCACAAACTTGGCAAATGCAAATGAGAACACAGCTTTATTCTCTCACAGTTTTCTTCTTTCACAGTAGTCAGCATGTTGGCTGGGCTGTTTTGTTTGTTTCTGAAGGTTGCAGAGGCGACGTCTATCTGTTCTTCCTGCTCCAGGCTCTAGGGGTGCCTGAAGTCTCTGCTTATGGCCCCTTCCTCATCACACATTCCAGCCCTCCTAAGTCCCTGCTTAAAAGGCCCCCTGTGACTGTTTTGCACTTCAGGATCAGCTTAATCTCCAGATCCTTAGCTTAATTACATCTGCAAGGTCCCTGTGACCCTACTAGTGGCATTCCCTGGGCATCCTTCTGGGCCCTGGGTCAGCTGACCAGCTGGTCTTAATGGTATCAGAGATGATTGGTCTAGAAGGCAGGCAGGCAGGCCTATTGGCTTGCTGTTTCAATTCTTCCAGAACAGTTGGAAGAGTTCTTTCCTAGTGGGGGATATGGGCATGCCACTTCTAGGGGTGTATCATTTATAATGTTCCCAGACTCTGGTCTTTAAAAGCCGGCCCGCAAAGACATAAATCAATGGGTTCAGGCAGCTGTTGATGAAAGCAAAGAAATTGGCCAGCTGCAGCCCCAAGTCTGTGAATTCCTTCCAGGAGCAGTCCTGGATTGCTTTCACCTGGACCAGGAAATCCAGGAAGGCAAAGAAGTGGTAGGGGGCCCAGCAGATCAGGAAGGATGTCACCAGTGTGAGGATCAGCCCCGTCGTCTTGCTGCCCTTGGGACCCCCACACCTGGTCTTGCTGGCCTCCTTCTGCCCTCTCAGGGATGCCAGGATGTGATAATTGAAGAAGATGATGGCAGCCAATGGGAGGAAGAAACCCAAAATGTTCAACTCCACCATCCTTGCAAAATGCCAAGCCTCGTGGGGGAAAATCAGGATGCAGGCAGAGATGTTCAGGTCGGGGACAACTTTGACAGAGCGTAGAAGGAATGTGGGGATGCTCAAGAGGGCCCCTGATACCCAGATGAGCAGACAGGTGGCTTGGGCTTGCCGCCGCCGCCGGTAGCCCCGGCTGGTCATGGGATATACCAGTGACCTGTAGCGGTCCTGACTGATGGCCACCACCAGGAAGATGCTGACGAACAGGTTGGCCTTGATGACCCCGCTGACCACCCGGCAGAGGTCTGTTCCAAAGGGCCAGTTGAAATGGTTCTCAATGTTCTCTGCCCAGAAGGGCAGGCCCAGCACGAACACCAGGTCGGAGGCTGCCAAGTTAGCCAGGTAGATTTCTGCTATGGTTAATCGGTGATGTCTCTGCCGCCGCCGAGGCAGGAGAAAGAAGGACAGCACTGAAAGGTTCCCCAGGAGGCCAAAGAAACAGATGGTGATGACAAACCCTGGCAGCACCCTGTACAGCAGGTCCCAGGCTTCTGGAACACCCTCGCAGGAGGTGACGTTGGGAGGGGCCTGCTGGCTTTGGTTAGAGGGCTGCGGCTCCAACAAGGCCTGGGACGCCATCCACAGTGACCTGAAATGGACAGAAAGAGTATGAGGCCAAACCCAGCCTGTGGTCTGTTCCAGACGATAAAGTTTTATTGGCACACAGCCATATGCACCGCTTGTATAACAGCATCATGGACTATTTTCGTGCTAGGGAAGCAGACCAGAGTGGGTCCAGCACAAGCTGTCGGGTCAGCAAAGTTGACAGTACTGCTAGTTCCTTTAGAGGGGGAGAGGACTGGCATCTAAGAGGGAACTAGCAGGGGCTGGAGGAAAGGCCCATTGGTTAAAAGCACTGTACTGGATGGTTTTGTGTGTCAACCTGACACAAGCTAGAGTCAGCAGAGGAAGGAGCTTCCGCTGAGGAAACGCCGCCATGAGATCCAGCTGTAAGGCATTTTCTCAATTAGTGATCAGTGGGGGCGGGCCAAAACCAGTGTGGGTGGTGCCATCCCTGGGCTGTGGTCCTGGGTTCTGTAAGAAAGCAGGCTGAACAAGCCAGGAAGCAGCACCCCTCCGTGGTCTCTGCATCAGCTCCTGCCTCCAGGTTCCAGCCCTGTTTGAGTTCTGTTCGAACTTTCTGAATGATGGACTATGATCTGGAAGTGTAGGCCAAATAAGCTCTCTCCTCCCCAGCTTGCCTTTTGGTCATGGGGTTTTGTCGCAGCAATAGAATCCTAACTAAGACAAGGCCTGACTGCCCTTCCAAAGGATGGAGTTTCAGGGCCAGCAATCCATGGCGGCTCACAACCATCTGTAACTCCAGCCCCAGAGGGTCCGGCATGCTTTTCTGTCCACGCATACATTCAGGCAGAACACCCATACACAGGAAATCAAGATGAAGGGGGAAAAGCTTTTAAGAAGAGGGGGAAAAGGTCAGGCATGGTGGGTGCACACCTTTAATCCCAGCACTCCTCAGGCAGAGACAGGAGCTCTGTGAGTTCAAGGTCAGCCTGGTCTACAGAGTGAATTCCAGGACAGCCAGGCTAGCTACACAGAGAGACCTGTCTCAACACACACACACACACACACACACACACACACACACACACACACACACACACACACACACAAACCTTAAGCCCCAAACTAGAAGCTTAGTATTGTGGCTCACACCTGAAAACCCAGACTTAGAGAGTCCGAAGCAGTATTGGGCTACACAGGTAGACTCTGTCTTGGGACAACAAAAAGCCATTCCTCCAAATCAGAAATAAACCCAAATAGACCAGACCTAGGATACAGATTCTGTTTAAAATGAATATTTGTGGCTTGTCTACATATGTGTAAAGGACACTTTTTGTTCGTTATCTTTCCTAAGAGGCATGTTCTGTGACTGCATTTAACAGCCCTAAGAGGAAAACAGATGGCTAGGACTTACCCGGACAGAAAACAAAAAGCTCACAGCTTCAGCTGGGGTTTCGATGGCGACGTCTGTCTTGGGAGGTTTCTGTACTGGGCAGCTCCCTGGACCTACGCTGGTCTTAAATGAAACCACCTCTGTTCCCATGATGTCACAGGGGATTGCCCAAAAAAATTGAGCCTTTCAAGCCAGGGGAGGCTGAGGGTTAGAGGGAGGCGCCTTCCTCTTGGCACTTGGGGATAGGAGGAGGTTCTTCACCAACCCTGCACTTTCTCCGCTGACACTTGTGGCCTGTTGGCTTTGCCTAACTACTGTGTGTTGGCAAATAGGCCCCACAGATACAGCTTGGCATGGCCAAAGCCCCCAAAGCTCACCCCTGTCGGTATATTGAGTGATGGCTTCCCCATTCCCTGTTGGCTCCGGGTGGGCGCGGGGGTGTCTGGGATTTAGCTGCAGGTTCGCAGGAGCGCACCAGGACATCCCCTCTTGAATCTGAGCAGTGACAGACGCATAGCCAAGAACCCATCAGTGTGGACCCCGTCGTACAAACAGTGAACTCAGAAAAAGTTTGACTCACCCAGGGCTCAGAGCTGAGTAAAGATAAGCAGAGCTTTTCCTAATCCTTGCTGGCGGCTCTAGGTTTGGTTTTGGTGTGAGTTGGTGCTCGCAGAGCCCAACTACTCAAGGCCTGGCTTTCAGAGAATCAGGAATTCCTTACCGCTTTCGAGAGCCGGGCGCCAAGATCCTCCCGCCCCTGGCCAGAAGGCTCTTTTCATTCCTCTGCTGTCTCGCTCTGCTGGAAACTGCCCAGGTTTGTGGCTGGAACTGTTTCTAGAGGTGAGTCCAGCTCATCCAGGCAAAGATGCTCCTGCTCTCTCTGGCATCTGGCCTTTCTCCCTCTTTTATTTATTGTTTCCTTTCTGCTTCCATGATTCCACGACCCCTAGCAACATTTCCAGATGTTTTCTCTTGGTGCTAGGGGTCGTGAAACCATGGGAGCAGAAGGAGAACAATGAAAGATGGAACATGTGAGATGCTCCCTCACCTTCCCCTCTGGCCAGACGGCTCTGCAGAGGTGGGGCATTGTGAGCCAGCCGGGGTTCAGCAGGTGCTTTGTATTCTCCTGGGGCCAGCTTAGCCCTACTTGGCATTGTAGCCAGGCCTTGCTAGTCAACGCTGGCTCTCCCTTGATTCCATAGCCTTGGCTGGACCACGGCTGAGAAGTATCTGTCCTGGGGACATGCCTCCCTGCCCAGCACTGATCTTCTCTCAGTCCTTGACTAGTTCTGGTGGGATGGGAGGGAGGGCCTCATCTCAGCTTCTCTGACCCAGAGGATATTTCGACATGTCCACAAGAATGAGAACAGCCAAGGGCAGAAGGCCAGGTTGGGGTTGGAATGGTACCCACAAGTATTATGGAGGCTTTGGGGGAATGAGTCTGAGGTGTCTGGCTCAGGCCCGAGGCCACCCTGGGTAGGATGGAAGGTTTTTGAGAACAGGCTTATCCTCATTGTACTGGGAAGCTGACCGAGGGTCAGGGAGCATAGGGTCCTTTTGACTTTGGGGTAATGAATGATGGGAGAGGGAAACCTGGGAACCAAACGGGTGTTCAGAAGGGGATGGACCCTCCATGACGACTTTCTGGCCATGTTTGAATGGGCTCCATCTGTAACTCCCACATGTGTAGTCAGGGCTGGCTCATCCCCACAGACTGGTTGAGCTCTCTTTGTTGAGTCAGTCTGGGGGGGGGGAGGAGAAACCAAGACATAGAGGAGAACCTGCTGCTACTTATGGCCCTCAGGCTAGCTGGGCATCTCTCCTGCTTAGGACACAGAGGCTTGGTCACACATGAAGACTCTTCACAGAACGTCAGTCCTGGCACTGGAGATGCATGAGGCCAATTTTCAGTTCTCTAGTTGCCGTTCTCCTCACTGGCTCTGCCTAGTGGAGTTACTACCTTTTGTTGGTACTCCAGACAGGCCCTGCCTGCCAGGCACCACAGGACCTCATCCACCCCTGTAACTCAATATCTCTACCTCCCAATGGGAAGATGATGGAGAGAAAAACAAACAAACCACAGTGGGGTCGGCTTCTTTTGAGGCGAGATCCCCTGTCCTCCTCAGAGCCCAGCCCTCACCTTTGTTCAAGGTTGGTGGCTGTGGTGGTTTGAAAGAAAATGGCCCCCAAAGGGAGTGGCACTATTAGGAGGTGTGGCCTTGTTGGAGGAAGTGTGTCACTGTGGGGGCTGGCATTGAGGTCTCCTATGCTCAAACTACACCCAGTGAGACAGTTCACTTCCTGTTGCCTGTGGATCAAGATGTAGGACTCTTATCTCCTTTGCAGCACCATGTCTGCCTGCATGCTTCTTACCATGATGATAATGGACTGAACCTCTGAAACTGTAAACCAGCCGCAATTAAATGTTTTCTTTCTTTTCTTTTTTTTTTTGTTTTTGTTTTTGGTTTTTTCAAGACAGGGTTTCTCTGTGTAGCTTTGGAGCTTATCCTGGCACTTGTTCTGTAGACCAGGCTGGTCTCGAACTCACAGAGATCCACCTGCCTCTGCCTCCCGAGTGCTGGGATTAAAGGTGTGCACCACCAACACCCGGCAAATGTTTTCTTTTATAAGAGTTGCTGTGATCATGGTGTGTAGGAGGAAGTCTGATGCTGCCATTAAACATGTGACTTACTAGAGGCGCATACAGATGAGGTAATAAAAGGGCGGTTTACCACACCGCTAACCACACCCACTTTAGGCAGGACTAAAGACGTATACGGCTGGACGTAAAGACGTATACATACGTAGGCGGAACTACGTCACTAGCCAAGCCCACTTTTGGGCATGGCTAGGGGCGTTACGGGGGAAGGCATAAAAGACAGCGCACAGGAAGTCTCGCTCTCTTTTCCTGGAGTTCGGCTTCCGGTCCAGTCGCTAGCTGAGATCTGCTGGGCTTCTCGGGGTTTGGTATCGTGTGAGTAATTTTCAACATAAAATACTTAGCTCCACTTTCCGTAATTGTGTGTCGCGTATCGTTACAGCGTCCGTAAAGCCAACAATGGTGTCTCTTCACAGCAATAGAAACCCTAACTCAGACAGTGGTCATTCCACCTTCAGGGTACATGTCAGGAACCTCATGCAGCATGGCCTGTGACTGAGGGTAAAAACCCTTCTCTTTGCTTTACCATTTTAGGGCACAGGTTAGGAGCCTCACACATCATGATCTGTGACTGAGGGTAAAAACCCTTTTCTTTGCTTTACCACTCTATGGTACACGTTAGAAGCCTCGCACGGCATGGCCCATGACTGAGGGTAAAAACCCTTCTCTTTGCTTTACCATTTTAGGGCACAGGTTAGGAGCCTCACATATCATGGTCTGTGACTGAGGGTAAAAACCCTTTTCTTTGCTTTACCACTCTATGGTACACGTTAGAAGCCTCGCACGGCATGGCCCATGACTGAGGGTAAAAACCCTTCTCTTTGCTTTACCATTCTTTCTTTCCTTCAGTGCATCCTGCCGGATGAATGTTCCAGAATTACCTGGATGTTCCAGGACAGTGGCTCCACACCTAGAGTTCACAAGCCTCTCTGGTGTCTTGCTGAGACAGACACCTGGAGACACACGGTGAGTGGACAGCTAGCTTTCCTGGTCTTTCTAAGGTTCACCGTGAGAACCTGAGACAGGTCCCTTCTGCTCCTCTCTTTCTGTTCAAACCTCGTCTATCATCTTGGTCTCCTACTGCCCTTACACCCAGCACCAGGTTGAGGAATACAGTGACACTTGGACACCTTCAAGGGGTGGTTGTGAGTGTGAGAGCATCTTGATGCCTGAGCCACCTGCAGCTAGCCTGAGGTAGGGGCCCTGGGCAGTGCCTTGGGTTGAGAAGATGCCCACTGGAGGGTAGAAGCTGGGCCAGAGTTCCATGGACCAGGAGAGTTTACGAGGAACCCACCTATGCTCTTGGGTCCTGTATTAGGCTTCTTGGAAAAAGCACATAGGAGGGGTGGGGTTCCCTTTTTCCCCTCAAGGGAGTCTCAACCCTGGTTCCAGTCCTCAAGAGGAAATTTCCCCCAAGGTCCTATCTGAAGGTACGCCTAACCTGGACAATCAGTAATATTTCTTTATCTTCTGGCGTCTAAGTCATTTCTACCCTTGAAATGTTGCCACTGTCTGCAGCAGAAACAAAGGCAGGCAATGGTCTTCAGCACGGTCTGTGGCAGCCTCTTCTGCTTTGTGAACCATCCTCTCAAAGACCCCGCCCGGATCACCCAGTTAACCCTCCAGATCTCCTCTGTGGTGTCAGGGTTGACACATCCCTCACCACCGGGCCTTGGAACTGCTGGTTCCCCCTGCCTGGAGCAGCCTTCCCAGGAAGCCACACGCTCACCCCTCAGGTCTTCCCATTATCAACCATCTCCCGATGGAGCCATTTCTGGAACCTTTTCTTTTCCTCCTCCCTGACTTCCTGGCTCTTTGTTCCCCTCGTCACTTTGTGTATGTTCCACACACACGTGTTAGCTCTCACCTGACGAGGAAGTGAGTGGGTTTATCTCCTTGTATTAAGGTCACAGTCTCAACACCTGTCCCGAGGCTGATGCCTTGTGGGTGCTCAGGATCTGGGTGAATTCAGAAACGATGCTTAATAACAGCAATGTTTGTCTGAGGTCGGTAAACATGGGCTAAACCACTTGTGCCGGATACAGTGTGCACACCAAAGGTGACTTGGTTCTTTCCCTTCTCAGAGTGAGTCTTGCCCGCTTCCTACAGAAAGCAGGAGGAAAGCCCAGGACACGCCTGAAGTTCCCAACCTACAGTCAGGTGTTTCTGGTCTCCGGGAGCCAGTCCTCGCTAGTTGGCAGATTATCTGGCCCCAACGCAAGACACTGGTTTTGGACGTGTGAGACATGGAATCACTTTCCAAGGATCTCAAGCCTCGCTCTATCAAGTCAAGCAGGGCAACTAGACTAGTTTTCCATGCTGCCTGTAAGAGCTGGGATCCTCAGCTGCAGAGAAATCACCTTGTGGTCAAAACTGCAGGCCATGCCCCAGGGAGGCAGCTGGGCTGGGAGCTCCTAACAGGGCCTATTTAGTTTTCCCCATTATGCTCTCTCACATGCCTGTGGTCCTGTCAGTTCATGAGGGCTACATGGCTGTCCTCCACTGTCTTAGTTTGGTTTTCCCCATTACGCTCTCTCACATGCCTGTGGTCCTGTCAGTTCATGAGGGCTACATGGCTGTCCTTCACTGTCTTAGTTAGGGTTACTATTGCTATGATGAAACCCCACGACCAAACGCAAGTTGGGGAGGAAAGGGTTTATTTGACTTACACTTTCACATATCTGTTCATCATCGAAGGAAGCCAGGACAGGGCAGGAACCTGGAGGCAGGCCTGATGCAGAGGCCATGAGTTTTGTGTGCGTGTGCGTGTGCGTGTGTGTGTGTGCTCTCCATGGCTTACTCACTCTGCTTTCTTCTAGAACCCAGGACCACCAGCCCAAGGATGGCACCACCCACTGTGGGCTGAGCCCTCCTCCATCAATCACTAATTAAGAAAATGCCCTACAGGTGATGGAGAATGATCTTCTGTATATGTGTTTCTCTTATTGGCTGATGAATAAAACACCGTTTTGACAATAGAGGCAGGAAGATAGGCGGGACTAGGAGATGAGGAGAATTCTGGGAAAGGTAGGCAGAGAGAGATGGTGAAGAGAAGCCATGTAGCTGCCAAAGGAGTAACAGGCCCGGGAATTCTCCAGTAAGCCAAGACCACTTGGAAATACATAGATTTATAGAAATGGATTAATAATTAAGACAGAGCTAGCCAATAAGAAGCCCTAACCATCGGCCAACAGCTTTATAATTAATTTAGCATCTGTGTGTTCATTTGAGGCCGAAGCAGCAGGTCCTGGCAGGACAAGAAACTCCAGCAACACTACAGGCTTGGCTACAACCCAATCTTACGGTGGCATTTTCTCACTGAGGCTCCCTCCTCTCAAGTTGACAGAAGACTATCAGTAGGCCCACCTTGGCCAGTCCTAGAAGAGCAAATGTTGCTACTGTCCCACTGGGGAGGCCACACGGATGACATCATCCGTGGAAAGGCAGCATCCTCAGGAGTCTCAGAACCCCAGCTCTGTAGTATCATCTGTGAAACAACAGCATTTCCCTAGGGGCTTGGTGGCTGCATGAGCTGTGAGCTGGGAGGTGGAAAATTCAGTTTTTCTTTCACCCGATTCAAGACACCTTCCCTTGGGGACCGGGGGAAGGAAAGAAGGGAGCTAGTGCAAGCCCTGGATCTGCAGAGGTGAGTATACAAACCCAGTGGTACCCAGCCTGTGCTCCTGGATCTGGAAGCCTGGGATGGCCTCTGATATGCTATGTGACCTTGGGAAAAACTCCAGTCTCTTTTGCTTGATAAACTGCAAAACTCAATAGGCTAGACGGTGCTATTCTTTCCTAGGATGCTTTCCTTCATGCTTGGGAAGACATGTTGGGATTGTGGCAGCTGGAGGCCCTGAGGGAACTCTTCTTTGCTAATTCAGATCCTGTGGCTAAGGTCACTCTTTGCTCTCACAGGCTCATGGCACATCTCTCTAGTATGTGTCCTCTCCTTCTCTTGGACTCTGGGCCCTCCTCTTTCTTGGAACGATGACAGTTGTTTGACCGAGGGCCCACTCCACTCCAGTCTAACCTCACTTGAACCTCTTATTCTGCCAAGATGTTGTTCTCAGTGGGCCCACGCTGGACTTCCACGTGGATGCGTGTTTTTCTGGGAGGGGCACTGTGTCCCCCCCCCCCCCGCAACAGCCTCATCTCACCCAGCTCACAACACCTGGCTCCTTATTTTGAGGAAAACATGAGCTGAGAACTAAGGAACCTTACTCAATCAACTTCTTCTAGCCATGAAGTGGGGGGCTGAGGTGGGAGCCAGGATCCCAGATCCCCTGCTGGGAAGCTTTTATCTTGCCGACACCTCCCACTATAACTTACCAAACCCCCTTTTCAGAGTCACAACCTCTCCTGGAGATGTTCTTGCTTAGAAAATTAGCTCTCCATATTACAGATAGAGAAACCGAGGCCAAAGCCAGGGGAGAGAGGAGGAGTAAAGTGGCCAGCTCGGGTCACATGGGGACTTCTCCTCCAGCTGTCACATCTCAGCGGGAAGAAGTGAGAGAAGCCAGACACCATCGGCACCCACACGTGAGTGTGTCAGACACCATCGGCACTCACACATGAGTGTGTCAGCATGAAATGTCTGAACGAGGCAAAAGGAGAGGCAGAGATGAGTGGCAACCAGAAGCTGTGGGATGGAAGGAATCTGAGGTGACAGCTAATGAATCTGGGATTTCACTTTGGGATGATGAAGATGTTCTGGAATTAAATAGCGGCGATGGTTTTGCAACTCTGTAAATAACTAAAGGCTGAAACAGGAAGTGTCAGGCGTATGGATTACATCTCAACATAATTTATAGGAGTGTATCAGCGTAAAGTCACGTGCTTCCCCTCTCACGATGGGACAACATTTCAATAGTCTCATCGTAAGTTGGAAACAGTACCAATGGAAAATTTAAGCTATACATCAATGCCACCCAACGTCTCAGCCTGGAAGCACAGCTTCATAGTGTGTGGTTTCCTCATGACTGTGACTCTGGAGCTGACCCGGGGCTGTGGTGTCTCTGCCCAGTGCAGAGAGCTACTCAGATGTATCACTAGCCTAGGAAAGGATTCTGATTGGACAGTCGAAGCCCGGGGCCATTGTAAAGTTGAAAATGTCTAGGTAGAACAATTGTAACTAGGGCTCGAAGACAGTTTGTTTATTGTGGCGTGAGTAGGCCAGACCCTGATATAGAAGCATGGGTGAAGCTACCTGGAGGTCCTTTCTCTGGTACTTTGTGGTTCTTGTTGGCTATGTCCTGTACACCTCAGAGTGTTTGGGGCTCCTTCCTTAAGAACTGTGGGCCCCAGTAAGTTCCTGACCTTGCTGACCTCCATGGAGAGGGGTGAGGTCCGATGTGGTGAGGATGAAACCCTTAGTTCTTAGCTCCGTGTGAAACACTCCATGGGCATGGTTGACCTAGGCCTGGCCTCAAGCCAAAACCCACAAACTTGAGCTTTCAGCCATTGTTCTCGCCAGCTCCTGACCACCGTTGCACATTCCTGACCCCCACATCCTCCCTGGACCTGGACGAAGGATCAGGGCTGTGTGAGGCTTGGCAGTGAGGTCAGAAGCACGCACTGCCGAGTTCTATGAAGCAAGCAGAGCCTTCACATTCTGAACTGTGAAGTCTGTGTTCAGTGACTTCCTCAGTCAACAAGCCATGGCCCATGGCCTGGCGTGAGTTCCTTTGGGGTCACCTGGGAGTCATTGTTCATGGCCTAGCTGAGTTCCTATAGGGTCACCTGGCACGCAGGCTATTTATCTTCACTTGTCCTTGACTGCCCTGGCCAGAGCGGATAGATGTGGAATTCCTGCTCTTGACTGATTTCTCGAGGCCTACCAGGAACTCTCCCCATGGATCTTATTGCCTGCTGGAGCCCAGAGAGGGGCCAATGTAGTGGAAGAAGAGTTCACCGTCCCACATGTAGATGTGACTGATGAGATTCTAGCTTATCTCAGGTTCATACACATATTCGTGCCCTAGATGGGTGGTTTGTCACGCTCACATCTTTATCTCCCTCAGGCACTGCAGACTTGGGGTGCTGAGTGTGGGGTGTAGGCTGACAAGAGAAATGCCACCTGAGGGGAAGTGGAATGTCTCCTGAGATCTGCCCAGGCAGCTGAGTATGGTGTAGCTGGAGGGTAGAGAATGAGGGGGTTAGAATAGATGGAGTCAGCGGAATAGACAGGGCCAGATTACCGAGGGTCTTACAAGCCAAGTGTGAACATGTAGCTTCCTTTATTCCAAGGGGTGTGGGTCATACAAAAGGTTTCCCTGTGGAGAGTATCCTCAGCACCATCACCACCATAACCACCAGCTTCTGCAACGCCTTCATCACCGTCCGTTACCATCATTTCTGCGACTATCTCCATCATTGCCACCATTGCTGACTCCCATCATCTCACCATCACAGATGACACCCATTCTGTCAAGGAGGTGCCACACACCGTTCTCAGCACTCTCCTTCACGAACCCATTGGCAAGTCTCTGACCTGATTGATGCTGTCGCTCATTCCAATTTTAAAGTTGCCGTGATATGGATGAGAATCCATCAGGAGCCCAGGGCACCAGAATGGGACTCTGCATCTCCCTGACTCTGAAAACTGAGCTCCCCAGAGCTGGTGGTCATCATGACCACAGCCTCCTGGGATCGTAGTCTTGAAAAATGCTGCTGTTATTTGAATGAAGAGTGGGAATTGAGAGACAGCTAACATTGGGGGTGAGAAGTGGCAAGACACAATGATTGGTCATTGAAAGACCCATGGGACACCAAGGGGGCAGAACCATTTAGGGATGGATAAGATGGGGGTGCAGAGAACACTGAGCCCTAGGTTTCTGGAATGTGCAGATTGAGCAGTGGAGTCACTGAATGAAGTTTTGTTTGATGAACGGGTGAGTAAAACCACGGAGAGTGGAGGTGGAACCTGAATGGAATTTGTAGGGACCCCCATCACTGGGGATATGCAAACAGTGGCTTTTCATGTTGGCACCATACAGGATGTTCTTGGTTTGAGGTGGAGGGCAAATGAAAGTATTTTATAGAAGTGAATGACCAGACTTGGCCATCCCTAGTGCTCTATGATACGGCATCTGTGAGGGGTTTGGTAATGAGCTGTCTGTGGAAGCATGGAGGAAGACACCCCAAATGCATGCATTTTCTGAAAATGTACAATTCTATTTGTTTAATATATTTAAGAGTGCATATTTCAATGCATATTAGTAAGAATACAAATTGTGTGTTGTGTCATGTTCCGCCCCTCCCCCCCAACACACACACTTTCTAACTCCTAAGGGACACACTTGGAGACCATTGACCTTCTCTCCAAGACAGAAGCCTCAGGAACTGCCAGGGTCAGTATCCCAGAGTCAGAGCTCCGGGGTTCAGGAACTGTGACACAGTCAGGCAAAACTATGCAAAACTCATCTGTTTATTCCAATGCACAGAAGAGGTGCGTGTTTACACAGGGCGTCCCCCCCCCATATCGGCACCCCAGCCACTTCCTCTGCACAAGCTCTCTGGTCTTTCTCAGCATACCATTTCCCTTCAGCGTGCCCACACAAGGCACAAGGGGAGGCTCTCCTCCTGCAGAGACCCAGGCGCTAACCCAGGGAGTCCAGGCTGTGGCCAGCTGTGTTCCTGGAGCCCACAGTCCACCAGCACCTCTTCTGAGGTCTGGGTCCAGCTTACCACTCACAGTATTGGCATGACCCGGTTCCATCCTAGCATAGCATCCTACCATTGCTTGTTTTCCTTTGCCAGTTAAGTTTGCTGGAGGAGGTCCAGAGGATGGGGTAGAAAAGGAATTTCCCAGGGTCTTCTCTGCTAGGAAATTCAAAGTCAGATTGGTCAGGATGCAAGGTTTTTTGTTTTGTTTTGCCACGGAAGCACTCCATTGGCTCCAGTGTGGCCAGAAACACCCGCTAACTCTGCTCACTTCCTGAGTCTCCACAGGTCCTGGGTTACTGAGTGGCCAGATCCTAAGTGGCTCGGTGTTAGAGGCTGTGCGGTGCATTCCTCATTTCTCCCCAGGGGCTCAGAGTTGTGTGAGTCACAGGGGCCAGTCTGTAACATTGTTACAGTTGGAGTCTGAAATTTCCCCTGCCAGGGTTCATGTTTCAAGCTCTTATTCCCTGAGTGCTGGCCCTATTTGGGGAAGCTATGCAAGCTTTAGGAGGTCAGACCGAGTTGGTGAAAGTCACTAGGGCAAGCCTTTGAAGGTCAGCCACATCCTGCCCCTGGTCTCAGTGGAGCCACTCCGATGTAAGTTGTCCCTGTCACGTGCCCAGGCTACAGTGGACTGAAACCCTTTTGATACTGTGAGATGAGATAAACCTTTTTTCTCCCTTAAGCTGTTTCTGTCCAGTAATTTGTTACTGGCTGTGAGAAAAGTAACTGATGTGGACACATGGAAAAATAAACTCCCACGCAAGATTTTGGAACTAGAAGTATGGTGTTTGTCACCTGAGTTGCTGGGACAACTGTCTCCACTGACAACTGAGCCCATCCAAGGCCTCTGAAATAGGTTCTAATGGAGAACCCACTGGCCCTGAAGCCGTCTCGGGCGGCTTTCCTCTCCTCTCTAGTGGAAGATCTGTTCAATGCACAGGTGTGTTGCTCGCACCCCCTCCCCCACCCTCTGCATCCCAGGTGTTCCCAGGCAGCACAGCCCACCTCTGCCATCACTCACGAGGCAGTCTGTGGCCATGTAGGGAGCTGGAATCAGTGTCCTGGGATAAGCTGACCTAGGATGGTATTTATGTAGCTTCCACTGCTTTGCGAGCCACTCTCAAATAAACCCCTGACTGGCGCCCCTTGGTCACAGACGGGGGCTCTGTGAAGCAGCGTGGACTCCCCTGGGCAGCTGCTGATCTGCAGCCAGGCTGTGAGCTGTGGATTCCCTGGGCAGGTCCCATCAGAACTCTTTATCTCTTGCAACACCAACCCTTGCAGTCTCCCTCCCTCGCCATGTACCAAATGCTTTATTGTGTGTGCATGGGGGTGGGGTGCTAACAGGGGAAGGCAGAAGCCAGGAGGGCCTCAGACACCTGCTGGCATGTCCTGTGTTTTCCAACACTGATTGTTCCCTGCAGGGTAGTTCCTGAGCTCGGTGACTTTCTCTGTGCCAGGAGTCTCTGTGTAATGTGCCACACAGTCACATAACACCTATCACTTTCCAGAGCGCAAGACACTCTCACGGCAGAGGAAGTGGAGGCCCCTGCTGTCCACTGTCACCTAGGCCCTGTGCTTTCTGCTCTCCCCACAGCTCTCCCGTTCATACACCATCGGCAGGCCCTGGGCATCCTCCACTTACGTTGCGGTTCCTTTAAGACTGGGTTGACAGTTACCCACTTCCGTCCTGCCCATAGCGTGTGATGCTGTGTATTCAGCAAGTGCTCCATGAATGCGCTGGAGGGTTCCCTTTCACTCCCCACCTTGTCTGAGGGTGAGAGGAGTGGCAGAATCCTGGAGTCCTTACCAGGGACTGCTTGAGTTTAACCTTCAGAGACCAAGAAGTCATCAAACCATGAGACCCGGAAGCAAGCGGGCCGGGTCTCCTGTGCATGTAGCCACAGGACTAAAGCCAGCAGCAGTTTTCCTGGAGAACTGTTCTTTCCCACCTACTGTGGGAAGGAGGTGTTGTCACTCCCATCCCTACCCCAGGACCCCTCCATTCATAGGGCCCCAGAATGCCAGCCAGTAAGGATAATCCCTCTGTGCTGCAGGGCACCCACTCCTCACAGCACGCTCATGCCATGAGACAGGTCTGGAATCATCTGCCTGTTTCCCTGGGGCTGCCTAGGATGATGCTTCCAGCTCCTTCCTGAACCCAGACTGAGTAGCCCAGATTGCGCCAGTCTTCACACATCCTGGCAGGGGTCCTGCCAGGCGGCTTCTGCTCACTGTCTGTTCCCTGTCCAGTCCTGCAGCTTGTGGATCTGGCGTTCCACTGAGATGGAGGTCTTCAGAGTCCCCAGGGAGTTCTCCACCTGGATGGGTTCCCCCATGCAGCCTCCCTTCCGGCACACTGCCTGGAACACCTCTCGAGACTTCTTCCGGAAGCGCTTGCCCACGATCACGTACACCAAAGGGTTGAGGCAGCTGTTGCTGTAGGCCACGTAGGAACTGATTTGTGTAATGACGTCGACCACATGCTCGTCCCAGCATCCAGACAGCACGCCGAGACGCAGCAGCGTGTCCAGGAAGGTACTGATCTGGAAAGGCACCCAGCACAGCACGAAGAGGCCCAGGACAGCCAGCACCAGCACAGTAGCCTTCCTCTCTGTCTGGATCTCCTTGAACTTCTTCATCTCGTTGTTCCTCAGCACCTGCAGGATCTGCACGGTGCAGAAGCTGATGACGCTCAGGGGCAGGAGGAACCCCACCAAGTTCAGCAGCACGTTGGTGAGCACCTCCCAAGTGCCGGACGGGTAGACGATGACGCAGGCGGTGACGTTGTAGCCCTCTTCGCGGTAGTCCCTCATGGTCCTGAACACTAGCATGGGTGAACTCAGAAGCAGCGTACAGACCCAGATCACCAGGCTGTAGATTTTGGCCCAGCGCACTCCGCGCATCCGGCCCATGGACATGGTCTTCACCAGGGCCAGGTAGCGGTCGATGCTCACGAGCATCAGGAAGCAGATGCTGCTGTAGAGGTTCATGTAGATCATGGTGTTCACCACGCGGCACAGCACCTCTCCAAACAGCCAGTCGAAGTTATTGGCGATGGTGATGGCCCAGAAGGGCAATCCGCAGGCCAGGATGAGATCCGCGGCGGCCAGATTGCCCAGGTAGATCTCCGCCACGGTGCAGCTGTTCTTGTGTAGGCAGAACACGCTGAGGACAAAGACGTTCTCCAGCGCAGCCAGCAGGAAGAGGACCCAGAGGAAGGGGGCCTGGGTGGCGTTGAGCCAGCTCCACCACTCGGTGTCTGGGCAGTTGTCGTCCTCTGAAAGGGTCTTGTTAAGAGCAGACCCGAGGGCATGTGTGGTGACGTTGAACATTTCAATGCTGAAAGAAAGGGGAGAAGAGACAGTTGTACTCTCAGGCCAGAGGGGGAAGCAGGGCGAAGGGGAAGGGGAAGAGGGAACGGTAGGGGAGGGAGGAATACAGAAGATGAGGGGGGACCAAAAGGTCCATCCACTCAGCTAACGGCTCCCTGGGGCAGTGAGGGTGTGAGAGGTGTCAGGACTCCAGTCCCTCTGTGGACGGCACTAGGGGACACTTGAGAGAGCCCTTTGAGAGGCCCTCTGTTCATGGAACCAATGGGTCATGCCATGTCTTGATCCACCCTAACAATCATGAGTCCCGTGCCTGGAGCCCCCCCCCCCCCAGTCTGCATGATGAGAGGATGTGCACACTATGTTCTCTCTCTTCTTGCCTAAGGGGCGGCCACCCCTCAGCCTCTCAGAGCTGGGTCATGGATGAGCAACGAATTACACTAGGGCAGTGATCTCATGCCTGGCGGAGAGATCGCAGCAAGACCACAGTGGTTTCCCTGGACGGCCTCCCCCCGCCCCCTCCCCCCGTGTCTTATCTATCTATGTCCTTGTCTACTGGCAGCCCCCCCCCCCGTCTTCCGGTAGAAGGAACATCTATGTCCTTGTCCACGGAGGTGAGCATGGGAAGAGAGGAGGCCAGGCTTTGGACCTGGGTTCAAACCCTGGCTCCTTTATCAGTTAACTGTGTGGCCTTGGACAGCTACTTAATGTCCCTGGACCTCTAAATGGTATAATGGGAATAATATTATATACTTCTTAGGATTGTGGTGGAGATCTCAAAAGCACTATACTTGGTTAAACAGACATGAGTAACTATCTATTTCTGTCCACCTATTGGAAACGGAAATCAAGCTAGCACGACCATTCACAAGTCCCTGAGGACTCCTCACCTGCATTAAGCCCTGGCCTCCTCTTTCACTTTTAGGTGACACTAGCACACAAGGCAAGCCCTTCTCGGAAGTGTCCAGACTGAGAGAATTTGCCTCTGTGTTCAGCAAAGAGGCACTTGGCTTGAACAAATGTTAGGTTCCAGCCCTAGCTGTGTGGCCTTGGGCATATTGCTTGACCTCTCTGGGCTTCCATTTCTACTTTCCTTGGACCAGTGTGCTATTCTCTTTCTGACTGGCCTGATTTGGTGGTTGTAAGGTTCAAATCAAAGAGTGATTGTGAAGATGCGTTAAAAAGCCTAACGCATACCCAGCATGCACATGTGATTGGTATGGCCCCTAAGGAATGGGTACTGGGAGAGACAAGGGGTCCCTTCCTAGAGGCCCATTGCTGGGTGGGTGAGAGGGGCACTAGGCGGTATCTGGGAAGGTTCTGTTCAACATCCTGGGACTTCCCATGAAGAGCCCCTGAGTATCTTCTGGGCTCGTGCCCCTGTGAAGCCAGGTGACGCATGGGTGACATAGTTTTGACCCTGGGGTGTCTGGAGCCTCTGTAGCTCCCATGGGGTAAGGAGTCCCATGGTCACCTGACTAGCTCCTAATAGCCATGGGTGCCTGTGTGATGAGAACTGGGTAGGACCCAGCATCCCCAGTTTTGTCGCCACCATTATCTCAACCACATCACTTCCGTCACCATCATCAGGGGCCCTGGAGCTGGTCCCAAAGGAGTTTAAAAAGTCCTGAGGATGGGGAGGACAAAAGAGCCCAGGGTAGAACAGTGACCCACCTCATCCATTTTGGGGTCATGAAGTGACATTGAACTTTGGAAGGTAGTCCCAGATATGAAAGGGGGCATGTGGGAGATGCGGGGGGAGAGGCTGAACAAGGGTCTCCGCTGTTGCCCTGGGAATGTTATGGATGTAGATGTCTCAATAACCAAAAAATTCTCCAATATAACTCCCTCTGGGTGACCGAGTCGAATTCTTCTTGCCATGGATGTGGTTGCACTTAGTGACATGCTGCTGACCTACAGTGGCAGTAATAGCGCATAATCTCCAAAGTGAAGTTATGCACCTTCCCGGCCTCACGGAGTGCTGGCCGTGGGAAGCCAGGCACCCTAGGGAGTGAACACTTGCAAGTGGGGCTGCCAACCCCAATGCAGTCTGTGCAGCTTCTGCACCCATGGCTCGGCCTCCTCCAGCGGAGCCTAGTCGTCGCCAAGCAGAGAGAAACTGCCACCTGCAGGCTGTCCTACACCCTGAGGACCTATGCCGCAGGCAGCTTCTTTTGGAATCTTCCAAGTGTCCTCGTTCCAGCCCTGGGACCTATTTCTGTGGACACGGAGAGCCCATGTTCTTACCAGCAGCTTGGGGGAGCTGTTTGCCCACTAGAGACTCAAGTACAGCATCTTAGTCACTCAGTGTTCATTCTGTGGGCCTGCACGCTAAGAAAACCCAGGAGTGTCGGGAGGCTGCCTGGCCAGTGAACATTGAGAACTACGGGACAACTCTCAGTGACCTGCTGGGTGGACATCTCTGCTGTACCTGCCATAGGAGGGACAGGTTAGGGTCCTCTGCTGTTCTGCCAGCACTGGTCTGTTAGGATGGAGCCCTGTCTCCTGACTCTGCTCTGCTCTGGCTTCCCTTACTGTTCTGTCTTCTGGCAGACATCAATTCCACAGTGACCCTGTCTTCCCAACTTGGACCTCTCTGATCTGATTTTTTTGTTTGTTTATTGCTGTTTTTTTTTTTTTTTGAGACAGGGTTTCTCTGTGTAACAGCTCTGGCTGTCCTGGCACACCTTGTAGACCAGACTGGGGCCTCGAACTCACAGAGATCCATCTGCCTCTGCCTCTGCCTCTGCCTCTGCCTCCCAAGTGCCGGGATTAAAGGTGTCTGTCACCACCTTCTTGGCCAAAGTTTGATTCTTTTACCTTTTTTTTTCCAAGGTTATCTTTTGATAGCTTGCCTGTGATGATGTGTCCTCGTGCCCTCCCCTACAGCTCACCTGTCATGATGTGTCCTTGTGTCCTACCTTAGTCCCACAAAAGCCCACTCCTGCTGCTCCTGAAGCTTTGATCTGAGGCCTAACATGGACGCCACTCCAACCATGATCCAGGACAGGATGCAGCCCTCCTGGGGTGACTAATAGTCAACTGAAGATCCCGTGACTCACCCAAAAGAGGCCGTGGTGGGCATGGGGTCCTCATGAACAGACAGGAGCATGGGTCGCTTCCAAGAATGAGGCATTTGTGTTCACGACAGAGAGGAATCTCTTCCTGGGGAAGCAGAGGAGAAAGCATCATTAGCTGTGATGATCAAAACACACATATCTGGGGCTGGAGAGATGGCTCAAGTGGTTAAGAGCACTGGCTGCTCTTCCAGAGGACCTGGGTTCAACTCCCAGCATCCACATGGCAGCTCACAACTCTCTGTAACTCCAGTTCCAGGGGATCCAGCATCCTCTTTTGACCTCCAAGACACCACACACACAGGCAGTATATAGATTCACACACACAAAACTAATTAATTGGAAGAAAAAACCCCTCATCATCCATGAGGATGCAAGATGGAGTTTAGGGCCCTTCCTGGACGTACAGATGCTTAACCTGTGCTGAGTGCAGGCACATACAGTGAATGCAAGTGCAGGGTCTACATTCAGGGAGCTTACAGGCTGTGGAGAAGGGGGTGGCACCACTCAGCTAGTCATGAAGACTTGCTAACTAGCACCAAATACAAGGACAATGGCTTTGCTGTGTTCCCAGAGGTCTCACGGGAGAAGCTTGGTGTCTATAAAAGATGGTATTACAGGTTCAGTCTGAACTGTCCTCCATAGGGGTATGTTTTGAACACTTGGTTCCCAGGGATGGAGCTGTATTGGCACGCCATAGAACCTTTAGGGGGTGGGGACTGTCCGACAGAGATGGGTCACTAGGGGCAGGCCTCTTGAAGGTCATATGAACTCCTGGTTCTGAGTCACTCTTTTTTTCCTGTCTCCTGCAGTGTGAGGAGCCTTGTCACATGCTCTCACTGCCACAGACTCTGCCATGCCTCCCCTGCCATCATAGACTGAACCCCGCTCTCCCCCAAGACTATGAGTCCAAACAGACCTTCCCTTCACTCAGTTTTGTTTCCGTCAGGTGTTTTAGCCCATCAGGCCTCCACAATCTGCCCAGGACTCCATGTGACTTGTTAGTCCTGCCTGGGAGGTGTGTAGGAAGCTGGGGCACATGTATGTACTTGTGAGTGTGAGTGCATGCTAACGGGTGTACCACAGATATATCCCACTCATCGGGTAACCACTCCTAAGCCAGAAGATTCTGGACACGGCATGGGCAGCTAGTGTCAGAGGCCAGGCTCTCCCAGTTCAGCCATGGGGGAGGAGACCAGCATAGATAGCTGGGGGCATGGGGAGGAAATGTATCCGAAGGCACCCAGATGACACTGGAAGGGGCCTACTGGAACCTTCCAAATCCAAGGCCAGGATCAGGAACTTACAAGAGTTAAGTCTACCTGAAAGCCAATGCCAGGATCAGGAACTTATAAGAGCTAAGTCTTCCTGCTTTTCCAAGAAGTGGAGATTTGGAAAGAGAAGAAACACCCCCATAGCCAGCCTTTCAGAGGGACCCTTCTAGGCCTCTGGGGGAAATCTAACTGTGTGTTTGAAGCACTGGTTTAATGACATGTCAAGAATTGGGGGGGGGTGTTTGTTAGTCCCAGGCTGGCTGTCCAGGAGAAGGGCAAAGATGCCTCTTCTGCCCAGGGGCTGGTTATCCTGTGACCTGGTGAAGTCCATTTGGATAGTTGCAGCCTCTAGAGACATTGGGTCCTTGGGCTTGGTGGCCCTGGAGAGGTCCCCAGTGCCCTCAGTGACTTTGTTATAAGTATCTGGGAAATATGGCCCAGACAGCCTCTGTTTTCAAGATAAAAGTAACGTGTGTCGTCTCCTCTCTTTGCCCCACATGTGGCTACCAGGTGCTTTATTGCCCGGGACTTGGCAACTAAAGGCTACCCCCTGCCCTGCTTTGTATATCTGGACCTCCAGTGTGGGTTCTACTGGGTCCTGCTTCAGACCACCCCTGTTCTCTGGGACCGCTCCTTGGGCTCTGTCATCTGGCTTCCCTGTGGGTCTGGCCAGGGTACAATCAGGAGATAGAGGGAGTGAAGACGGGGCATTGGCACTCCAGGTCCCTACCTTGGAGGCCCTTAGGGTCCAGAGTCCCCAGCTTTCACCAAGAGCACCACTGTCTAAAGGGGAAGGGCAGGGAGTGTGGTCTGTGCCAGCCCAAGGCAGCCAGATAGATGCCAGTCCCCCACCTGACTAATGCTACATGGTGTCTACACCTCTGCCTGTAGACCCTTTGGTCAACCTCTCTTAGTCACCCAGCCCGAATGTACCTTCTTACCCCTCCTGTGGTCCTGACAAACACAGTTTGGGACAGCGAGTTCATATACACGGAGAATGTTTACAAAAGAATGAGGGCAGGAACTTGATGCTCACGACAGCGGTGTGATGTGCTGTGTGTGTGTCGCGGTGGGGGGGTGGGCAGGGACGGGGCCCTCCCAGATGTTGGTTTGCCTGGGCTGACTCTTACAGATGCTGGGGGTGGGGGGGCTTCCAACATTCCTGTTCATTCGCATACTCAGCGTGGGCGGTGTCTTCTGGAGGCAGCCCAGATAGGAGGAGGCGGAAGAAGAAAGTTTCACTTCTTGTCTCCTTGCTTCATTCATTCTTGTTGGCAAACTCATCTCTTCTGCTGCTGCCGCATGCTGTCCCTATCGGCACTGCCCGGCTTTTGTGGGTTTCAGACAAGGAATGAAGACCAGAGGCCCCTTGGGAATCCTCCAGCTCTCTAACACCAGCCTGGGACAGCTGGGGAACCGGCCTTGTAGACTTAGCAGCCGGGGTCTTGGCCCCTCCAGAATGAAGACAGCCATTGTTGGACTACCAAGACCGTATTGTGTAAACAATCTCATAAACACCCTTTTAATGTACATTCCCTCTTATCTGTTCCACTCCTCTGGAGAACCCTGACCAACACAGACAGAAATCCTCCATGGGGCTGGTATTTTTCTCAGCTGTATCATGGAAGTTTATACCATAGCCGCTCCCTCCAGTGCATTCTATGGAGGGATGAGCCAATGCCAGTTAAGTGCCTGCCTTCCCAGTACCAGCAGGGGGCACTTCAGTCACAGTGTGTGTGTGTGTGTGTGTGTGTGTGTGTGTGTTCAGGGAGTGACCCTTCCACCTAGACTGCTCTCCTGCTCACAACCCAGGTTTTGACCCTGAGTTTATACTGGATGGACACTGATTTCTCAGGTGCAGAAGGAGACACCCAACCTGTTGATCCCTTTGAGACCATGTTCTGTCTGTGTTCCATGGGGTGGCGCTCCCTTACTTCAGCATCTCAACAAAAACTGTGTGTGCACACGTGTGTGCATGTGTACCCGTGTGTATCTCTTTGTGCAAAGTGCACACGTGTGCCCACTCCCTATGTTTATTCTCAGGGGAGGTCCCTGCCTCTCTGATCTTCCCGATCGCTACATTGCCAGGTCTCAACCTCTTGAACATCAGTTGAGCCAGTAAGTAAACCCCCTCACAACACAGAGGCCAGAGCTAGGAAGGACCAGGTCTCCTGAGTCCCTTTCCTGACTCCTCCCAGTATATAAATTTCCCCTAGTGCCTGCTTTGCATGGTTACTGCGTCAGGATGCTGTTTATAGACCATCACTAGGTAAACCTCCGGCCAAGGCACAAATGTGGAGAGGGGAAGGGGGAGGGTACCTCATAGCCTGCATCAGTCCTAACAGCAAAGTGCAGCCCTGGGCAGGGTTTCCAGGGAGCCCTTTCCCTTAAAGGAAGAAAACAGCAGCTGCCTGCAGGGGTAGGGTGGGAGATAGGCAGTGGGCAGCCACCTTGCAGGGGTGGGTGGGGGCTGGACAGTGAGTGGACAGCCTCCTGCAGGGGTGGGGGGGTGGATAGTGGGCTTTCCAGTCTCAGAACCCCTAAAGAGTCAACTCAGAGAGCCAGATCCAAAACCAGACATGAGCATGTGGGCCCTCCTAGCATCTGGATACTTTCTGGCTTTGCAATGTTTTGGAAATATTACTAAAGGACAGAGGGAGTCTTGAGAAGCAGAGCGCCTTGCAGCAGGGAGGGGGTGGGGGTGGGGAAAGGTGAGCTTGCTTGAGTGCCTGCCTCAGACCTCAGAGGGCTAATGTAATTCTTTGTCTTTTCTTGATCACCGTGGCTAGGCGATCCCGTTTAGAATGTTATTTTCCTTCCCCACACCAAATTTCAGTTTTGACAGATACGCGGTGAAATCCGACCACTCTTACCCCTTGAAATAAAAATCCCATCTACACCGTCAGCCCTCTCAAGGGTCTGCCCCCGTGCTGCTCCACAGGTCTTATAGCGACACCTTTGAAATCATGCACTGTTTTTTAAGCCATTCCTCTGCTCCAGTTCCCTTTGGTGAACGGGATCTTTACCGTTCCAGCCTCTTAATTCAGTCCTGGCTCCCAGACACTTCTTAGGCTCCTAGCTGTGCCTGAAGCCACACACCTCTGCCTGAAGCCCCGAACTCTATGCCCTCTGCCTGCTGCCCACACTCTGCTGTCCTGCCTTTTGCCTCCTGGCCACACCTCTCTGCCTGTTCCTGGCACACCCACTACCCGGACTACCCGGTTGCTGCCTCTACCTCCCATGCAGACTTCTTCAAGTGCTTTGGCATGGTCATCCCTATGTTCCCGGTCATATCCCCTGTCCCCTAATGCTGGCCTGTGTATTATGGTGGTGGCTTCCTGTAGAGATTAAAATCCATATGCTCTGACTTTCCACAAGGGAGACATCCACTAGGCATGTCCAACCCACAGCTTTTGTTCCATGTGTATCTCTGGATACCCGTGGATGTGATGTGACACACTTGTAGATGACAGTGACATGCTGAAGTGTTGAAGGGCTGGATAAACCTGTGCCTTGGATCATCTGAGTGGACTTGATCTCACCAGAAGCAGGATATTTAGAGCAGGTTCCAGATTCACGGAAGATGAAGAAACACCACTTAGGGTTGGCAGCTTCGGTCCAGGTCCACGACTCCCACATGAGAACGTTTGAGTGGTGTAGTCTCTCTGTCCTGCCGAGCTATTTATTCTAATTACCATGTGGTTCCTCTCACTTCCTCTGCCAAGCGCCTGACCCATGCCAGGCACTCTGTCAGTGTTGGCTAGTTGACAGGCAGTGGACAGGTGATGCGCACTTGCCCTTTACTCCAAAGCAGATTATCTTTGCAGAACAGAGGCAAAAGGCATTCCTACCCCAGATAAAAACGCAGAGGCACTGAAGCCATCTCAAGTAGTTCAAGCTCACACCCAATCAGTGGCAAGCTTCAAACCCAGGGCTGAGCAAGTTCTGAAAGCTAAAACTTTCTCTGGCCCTAGAGAGGCTCTTACCCAGTCTCCTAGTGCAGGACGCATCCGAGGAAGAGCCAAGAGATGGGTGAGCTCACAGCCTAACTGTCTATGGGGGAAGCTGTACCTTGCTTCTCCATACAGAAGATGGTACATGTGACTGCCCAGGACCTCTCTGACACGCTCTGCTAAGACTCAGACTCTGATGGAGACTTCTAGGGGACCTTCAGTGTAGGAAAGAAGCCTCCAACCTGTCCCTGATGATATCTAACCCCTCTGATGATGATAATATGGGGTTCTTGCCTTTGTCTCTGTCTTACCACCTATTTTTAAAATGGGGCTTGAGCAGAGTTTGACAGTGAAGCTAAGAAGAGTGGCCACTGTGTGTGTGTGCTTGTTCATTACATGTGTGTGTAGTGTGTGTGTGTCTGTATGTAGTATGTATGTAACTAGTATGTGTATATATGTGTACATAGTGTGTATATGTATACTGTGTTGTGTGTATATATAGTGTGTATGTACACATTGTGTGTGTGTATTTATATATATATAGGGAGAGTATGTATATATATATAGTGTGTGTATATGTGTGTGTATGTGTGTGTATGTGTTGGTGCACGCACTAGTGTTCTTGTGTGTGCATGTTCCAGTGAAGGCTGAGTACTAGCTGGATGTTCTCTGGGAGAATACCAAGTTGTATTATGAACCTCTCTGTCACTGTCATGTGTGCTCGGGAATGTGACCGAACAGGGCCAGGTACCAAAAGCTGTCCCAGGGACTTCATCCCGACCCACAGCCAATCCAAGGCCAGCTCCAACTCTCATTAGCTGTAGATAATGTTGGGTAAGCAGCTTCAGTTTCTGTAGCTGCTAGGCTGGGATGCTAATGCCATCCCCTTGGGGAGGTTGTGGGGCTGCTAACAATTGCAAGACACACTTGAACTGCTCCAGGCAGACAGTATTTCCTTTCTGCTAACAGCAGGCTTCAGAAAGCAGTTCTATTAGAACTATGAGCCCTGGCCAGAGGAGAAAATTTCTCTGTTCCTTCTCTCTAGCAGGGGAGGAAATAGAGTCTCCCTCACTTTCCCTACTAACCTGGGCACATCAGCCTGGAACTGGAACCCAGACTCCCTGCCTAAGTCTGGAGTAGCCAGAGGCCCTCTGGGGTTGGACCAGGGTGGGTCACCCCACCCCAATGTTCCTTCAGGTGTCCTGGTAACTGAAGGCCCAAGCTTGATGAAGACCGGAAGTATTTGCATGGTAAGGGTTCCGAAGTGGCATTTCAGAAGAGAACTTGAGGCCCAGAGGGGGAACATATTCTCCAGGACACACCCAGTTAGCTGAACTTCACCTTGAATCCAGACCTCGAGATCCCACCCCCAGCCCCTCATTCTTTTTATTGCCTCTTGGCTGCCCCATTCTGAGGTGGAAGGCCAAGACGTGTGTGTCCAGTGTCAAAACCAGAGCGGTTTTCCTCCTCACCCCATACTGTGGACACGCACGGGATGTTCAGAGTACACACCTTCTGTGAAGGTAAAGGGTACGGACACAGTCTTCCCACGGCCCTGAATGCCCCAGGTTTCCTGTCCTGAGCATTGACATAATCGCGGCTAACAGGCAATATAAATCTTTTCCAGAGAACAAAACCAAAAACCACGCTGGAGAGGAAGGCTGGGTGCACGTCCAGACAGGAACACAAGCTCCCGTGCAGCGCAATTCCCCAGGGTGGCGGACAAGGTAGAAAGCACGTGTGTCTGCAGGATAGCCATGACTCTGCAGCCTCCCCAGCTGCCCCCTGGGGGGGCCTGAGGTAGCATCCATTGTCTAGAGCTCTTGAGAGAGGATGGTGGGCCACTGACTTCCGCCAGGGTGGCCACGCTGCCAAGTGAGTGCCGTGACCAGCTTGCCATCCAGCTAGGTTTGCCAAGCAAGAGGGAAGAAGGTGCCAGCCACAGACAGAACAATCCTGTGTCACGAATCAGTTTTGGCAAACAGGAGGGGAAGATCCCATTGTGTTTGGGACAGGAGGAATTGTCCCTGCCCATGTACATACTGTGACATCCAGGGTCAAGAGCTTCCCAGGCCGTGCTTTTAGGCTGTGAAGGGACTTAAACCTTGGTCCTTTCACTTCCCGGGATGGCCTTCCTCTATCCGGATGTCTTTTCTTGTTATGTTTGCCATGCTCAAGGTGATGTCTGTGATGAAGACACGGGGCCAGGACAAAAAGAATTAAGACACCCAGCAACAGCCTCGAACCACCTTTCGGAAGTCTTAACTGAGGGTCGCCTCCTCTGAGAAGCCTTCCCTGATTTCTCTGCCAACAGACAATCCTCCCTGTCTGTCTGGGACATCAGAGCCAAAAAATGGAGGAGGTTGGTCTGGTGTTGAGTCCCGGAGACCAGGTGTGTCTCTGGGTAAATGCCTGGTGTCTGTGGACCTTCTTTTCCTCATCAGGAGACACAGGTTATAGGTGACTCTGGAGATGTCCCGGGGTTGGGGGGTGGGGGTTGGGGGGGAGAAAGCAGTGATCTCTCTGTCCCAAGAAGCATGTAAGCAGAGGCCATGGGATCTGCTCACCGAGTTTTCAGAGACACAACCTCTCCCTCCTCGGCACCCAAGGTGGACTGAGCCTGTCTGAGTCAGCTCCCTTCACTGGGCGTGGCAGAGGTGCGGACTCCCCGTCTCCTGGCCTCCCTGCCAGGCTCTCCCCAGCCTCCGAGGACCGGCCTGCTCAAAGCCCTGCCAAAGGTGGCACATCCCCTTAGTCACATGACCTCTGTGGGCTGGAAGGGGAGCCCCTTAAAAGAGGGAGTCACCTTCAGAATTCCGGCACCCTGGGCTCAGCCAGCTTTTCCTGGAAAGTGTGGGAGGGGAGCAGGGTTCTGCATGCTGCAGAGCAGGGGGCCCAGAGAGCAGCAGGGGAGACTGGGTCAGCCCCGTCCCGGAAGCTGTGTCTCATCAGGCTCTGGAGCAACACGTGTCTTGATTCTGTCTGGACAACCTAGGCAAATGACTCCCCTTCTTGGTGCAATGGGCTGACCTCGCTGTAAAAGCAAGGCGCTCGCTGTAAAGACTGGCGAATGTAACCCTGAGGGCCGCACATGGTCGTAGATATTCTTTCCATGTTTCTGACCACACGACAGGTAAACCTCTGCGTGTAGGCACGATTCCTATCAGCCTGTTTGACAGACAGGCAAACCGAGGCACAGCTAGCAGATTAGAGTTGAGATTTAAACCCCGGCAGTCTGGGCTGGAACCCAGGTTGTGGAAACTTTGAACTGATTCATAAAAGACCAGCTCTAAGACACATCTTGACGGTCCCTAGGCTTTAATGGTTTCCAGATCTCAGCAAGTCCTGCTTCTATACAGCCCGGAGCTCCGCCCCTCTTGTAGTTTGCAAATCCTGAGCAGCTGTCACTATCTCAGTCTGGGCCTGATGCTGATCTGTTTTACAGTGTGTTTGCAAATATGTGGACATGTATCGGCTTTTTTTTTTTTGAAAAGTTAAGAATTCCTTGATTTTTATTCCCAGGACCACGATTTACAGGGCAATATACCTGATGTAATGAAAAGAAAAAGAAAAAGCTATAATAGATAGAAGACCTCAGGAATGTACATCTAATTGACGTTACATTGCATGAATCAGTAGCTGCGTCTTTGGCAAGCTGTGATTAGACAGCCCAAGAAGGGCTTCCTGTTTAGGGACTATGGATTGTCACTCCATCTGCGGCAGACTGTACAGTTCCTCTTGCATTTGGGACCACTGTCACGGAGTAACCTGCAGCTTTCTTGACAACTCCTCGCTCTCCGGCCAAGAACTGTAGCCCTTTTCTGCTGCTTTTAAAACCCTCTGCTACCATATCCACCACTCCCATCACAGACCCACAGCCACCACCATGGGCACCGCCCGAGCCAAAATCATTAGTTCCCACCACCCCCACAGTTACCGCCACCACCAGTTCCTCCTTCACTGGACCCGCCATAGATAGCTTCTTCCTTCACCACCATAACCACCACCCTGGTTTCCATATCCCGGTCCACCACCACCACAGCCTCCTCTACCACTGTGTCCAGGGCACCACCGTAGCTGCCGCCATCACCTCCAAATCCATTCTGTCCGCCAACACCACCTCCACCACCACAGATTCCTTTCCCATCAAAGATTCCACCATGACCAAAATTACCCCTATGACCTCCAAGGTTTCCTCCACAACCCAAAAAATTGCCAGACCCACCTCCCTCACCTCTTTGGGATCCAGCAGGCTGCACCTCTTGTTTAGAAAGGGCTTTTCACTAGGTGATGGCACCCGACTTTAATCCCAGCATTCGGGAGGAAGAGGCAGGTGGATCTCTTAGTTCAAGGCCAGCCTGCTCTACAAAGCGAGTTCCAGGACAGCCACGAAACCATGTCTCAAAAAACCAGGAGAGAGAGAGAGAGAGAGAGAGAGAGAGAGAGAGAGAGAGAGAGACAGAGACAGAGACAGAGACAGAGACAGAGACAGAGAGACAGACAGAGAGAGACAGAGAGAGACAGAGAGAGAGAGGGGGGAGGGAGGGAGAGAGGGAGGGAGAGAGGAAGGAGGAGAAAAGCAAGGACCTTTCTCATTTCACAATTGTGCCCACTGACAGCGCAGGATCTCTGAACAACAATTTTATCTACTATGTCATGATCATCAACAGTTACAAAAGCAAATTCTCCTTTCCCTCTCTATTTGTCTTCCATAACCTCTGCGGTTTCAATCTTGCCGTAATTTTCAAAGTAGTCCCTCAGATTCTGTTCTTCTGTGTCTTCTTAATGCTTGTGTGATGGCTTTCTGTGACAGAGTTTCTCTCTGTAACAGCCCTGGCTTGTCCTGGAACTCACTTTGCAGACCAGGCTGACCTCAAACTCACTGAGATCCACCTGCCTTCGCCTCCCAAGGGCTGGGATCAAAGGCACATGCCACCACCACCCGGCTAGGATGGCTATTCTTGGTTGTCAACTTGACTGCATCTGGAATGGGCTATCATCCAAAATGGAGGACACAGCAGTAAGGTATTTCTGCTGCTCCTGAATTAGGAAGACACACACCTTAATCGGGATCTTGAGGTGGGAAGACACACCTTCAATCTGGGCCACGCTTTCTGCTGGAAGCCTATGTAAGGACGTGGAAGACGGAAGCTTTTGTGCTCTGCCTGCTTGTTCTCACATTGCTAGCAAGTCCACTCCTTCACTGGCATTAGAGGCTACTTCTTCAGGATTCCAGCATATACAGAAGACCAACTGAGACATCCAGCCTCGTGGACTGAGAAACTGCTGGGTTCTTGGACTTTCTGTTCACAGGCAGCCATTGTTGGATTCATTGTAATAACTCCCATATATATAATCATTCTATAAATTGTTAATCTAGAGAGCCCTGCCTGATACAACCACCAACAAGAATTTTCTTTACTGTTAAGTGGGTGCCAGGCTTTACAGAATCCTTTCTAGAAATGGCTTGCTTGGTTCCACCACATGCCCATCAATCAACCTTGTGTGGCTGAAAACACATGACAGTATCCACCTACTTCAACACAAGAGTAGGTCACAACCAGAGACCCTGGAATGTTTTGTTTGGAGGTCTCTCATTAGCACAGTCTTTAAGTGTGCCCCACTTCTCAAAAGGTTCTCTTAAGTCAGTGGTTCTCAACCCTGTTTAATGTTACAACCTTTTAATAGGGTTCCTCTTATTGTGGTGACCCCCAACCATAAAACTATTTTCCTTTTTGCTTCATAACTATAATTCTGTCCTTAGAGACTCCTCTAATGCTCTGTCTGTCTGTTGATCTGTGTGTGTGTGTGTGTGTGTGTGTGTGTGTGTGTGTGTGTGTGTGTAGACCAGAGGACAACTTCAGCTACTTTCTTTAGGTACCATCTATCTTCTTTCCTGGGCCTGTCTCCCACTGATCTCTAATCTTGGTAGGCTAGGCTGGCCAGCCAGTGCCCCACCACACCTGGATTTTTCTTTTTTAGGTTTGCTTATTTATTTATTTATTTGCATGGGTGTCTGCCTCCATGTATATCTGTGTACCACCATGTGCACGCAGTGACTGTGGAGGCCAGAAGAGGGCATCAAATTCCCTAGGAACTGGAGTTACAGGCTGTTGCTAGCCTCCATGTGGGTGCTGCGAACTGAACCCATGTCCTCTGAAAGAGCAACCTGGGCTTTTAATCTCTCAAGCTGGCATCTGGATTCTATTAAGGTAGGTTCTGGGGATGGAACTCAGGTCCTTACGCTTAAGCAGGAAGCCCCTTACCTAATCTGAGCCACCTGCTTATCGGGCTACCTTCTTGTCACCATTATCTGTTACATAAACACCCCATCCCCAGTCTACAACCGGCTTGCCTGGCTTGTAACATAGCTGGCTGGAGGGCATTTGCCCCAGGGCTGGGAAGGCTCAGCCAGGAACTGATCCTGCATGAGTGCCAACACAATGCCACAACATGGATGGAAAAATCCTGTCTGAGCTGGGCTTGAGCAGGGCCTCTGACATGCACTGGCTTGCTGACTTCTCCAGTCCTTCACATTCTGGAGCCGGAAATAAACCCTCCCAGATTCCCTGGCTAGCTCATTGCCTCTTTGACCTGCTGGAACCCATCCCTACTCCAAAGCCTGCCCTGGGGAAGCTGGGTCATGGTTGTTTCTTCACTTAATGGTGGATCTCTAAGTACTCTGAACCTGATGGGTGAACAGGGCAGGCTGTTATAGGAGCTCAATCAGTTTTTAGAATTGCGGTTAAGTTCGTTCCTACTGAGGCACCATCTGCCCATCTGCAAGGGTCCATTCTTGATCGTCCATCCCTGCAGGGACCTTCAGAGCCATGACAATGTAAAAATAGCCTGGTCTTCATGTGGCATGTCACAGACCAAGGGAGGCAGTGATAGGCGGCATCGTCGATGTCTTTTTTGAATGGGGTGAGGCAGGAGGAGAGGGTAGAATAATGACTTCCAACTTTGCCTCCGGAAAATTAGATTTTGGCATAATTTAGTGAACAAATTGCAAACCTTTGAAACAAACAAACAAAAAAGCCCTTTCTTTTGGGTGCTGTTTCTACAAAGAATAAAAGGGCAGGAAGTGCTTCACGCAGGAACATGCTCGTCCTCTTTTAACAGAGGGCCTTAGGGGACAGCCTGGCACTGGCTACACGCTATTCCTCGCATGATGCAATGGCGCTA